AGAGAAATAAGAACGAAAGAAAAGTATTTGGGAATTGAGCGAATGGTCGCGTGGGTTTGGTTCCTACAGAAGAATTAGTAGGTAATGTGGGTGTATTAAGGAGGGAGATAGTGAGTGGTAGTTAGGAGATGGTTGGGGGCTAGTGAGGTTGGTGACTACCTGAGTACGTCCGTGATAGTCTCTTGAATGAGTCGACTGGGGGAGCTATAACGATATGTCGCGGTAAGGCATTCCATAAAGCACATACTCTTAGGGAGAAAAATTTGGACCTGAGTATGGTGTTGGCTCTCTGGTGTGCTATCTTAATGGGGTTTCCTCGTGAAGATCGTTCAGTTGCAGGCAAAATTGATTTGTTTGCATGGTCTGCCTGATGGGCGATCTTGTATGCCATAATGAGGTCACCCCTTTTCCTGCGATAACCCAAGGTAAATAGGTTTAGGTGTTTAAGTCTTTCAGGATACGTCTTTCCCCTTAGCCCCACAACTGATTTTGTTGCAGTTCTTTGTATTCTTTCAAGGAGATTAGAGTCTCTCTTGAGTGTTGGAGGAGCCACCGTATTGAAGACCTCTAGATGCGGCCGCACGTAGGATTTGAAAATGGTGAGGAAGAGTTCGGGAGTGAGGGCGCCAAGCTGTCTACGCAGAAAGTGTAGAATGGCGTTCGCTCTGGTTGTCATACCTTTGTAGTTGGAGCTGGTGTCCAAGGTGTCGGAGAAGTTGAGCCCCAAATCTTTCTCCATGGACACTCTGGTGATAGCACGGTTGCTCAACATGTACTGGAAGTCGGTCGTACTTGCTCATTTTTACTGATGTGCATTACTTTGCACTTTTCCAGGTTGAAGCTCAGGCCATTTTCCGACGACCAGAGCTCGAGTTGCTGCAAGTCCTTTTGTAGTGCTGTACAATCAGCTTCTTCGTTTACCACCCTCCAAATTTTTATGTCGTCAGCGAAGAGGAGGATGGGTGAGGATATTTTGTCTGGCAGATCGTTGACAAACAGGAGGAACAGAAGCGGTCCTAGGATTGCTCCTTGGGATACTCCTGACGTCGAGGGTCTCCACTCCGACCTTATTCTGTTCACTTTAGTGCAGAACTGCCTCCCTTCCAGGTACTCCTTGAACCAAGAGAGTAGGGGTCCACTTATACCAGCTGACATGATCTTGTGAAGCAGTACTGTGGGTGGGACACTGTCAAATGCTTTGGCTAGGTCGAGAAATACAACATGTACAGGGTTTTTTTATCCCAGCTTTGTGTCCAGTCGTCCCAGGCGGTTAGTAAGTTGGTGGCACATGAGCGACCACTCCGAAAGCCGTGCTGAGCAGTATGGACAGTGTTTTCCTATTGAGGAATTCCCAGATGGTGTCAGCTACCAGGCTTTCCAACACTTTCGACACAATAGGGAGTAGGCAATTGGCCTGTAGCTGCCAGGCTTTTTCTGTCTCCTCCCTTGAAGATGGGTGACAAGATGGCACTCTTCCATTCTTTAGGGAGTTTGCACGAGTCTATTGAGTGCTCAAAGAGGTTGCGAAGTGGTTTAGTAAGCACCTCGGCGCAGTTTTTCAGAACCACTGGTTTCAGGTTATCGCAGCCAGGGGACTTGCCCGGACGTAGCCTAGATAGCTTCTCGAACACTTTTTCTCTGTAATAGAGACGTGACAGAGGTATTCGTTATTTACGACCTGGTCGGTGTGGATCTTGTGTCAGTGCTGAGTTGGGCTTGGAAGTGTGAGCTCAAAAGCTCGGCAATCTCTAGACTGCCTAGTACACTCCCGTCATGGCCTGTGACAAGATTCACTCCCTTACTGGTCGACTTTCTTCTCGACATGAAGCGGTACAAGTTTTTGGGATTGCTTTGTAACCTCGCCGCCAAGTTTGTTTGGTAGGAAAATCTGTCCTACGCACTCTAATGTTACAGCGGTTGCGAATCCTTTTGTAGTTCAAGAAGTCAGACTCCCTGCGTGATGTACGCCACTTGAACCAAGCCTGCTTCTTGCTCTGGATAAGCCTCTCTGTCCCACGCTTTAACCATGAGGTTCTCATTGATTGTCTGTGTGTTACTTCTGGTACACTGTGACTGATGGCCCCAGTGATTATTTTCTTCACCTCCAACCAGTGTTCATCTATTGTGAGATGAGCCCAGTCTACTGGCCATGATGCATTCATGAGGTAGTCCCTCATGGTCTCATAGTTGGCCTTGCTGTAGCAAGGGAAGGTGTTGGGCGTCTCCAGTTGCAGAGCCTCCCTAGTTATCATGGAGAAGGTGATTACAGCGTGGTCACTGAGGCCAAGGGGAGGTTGGATGCAAACATCCTCAATGAGAAGTTCATCGTTCGTCAGAACGTAGTCAAGGCGCGATGCGTTTCCGTTAGGTTCCCAGCGTGTAGCATCACCCACTTTCTCTGAGAGGCCAGCAGTCTTAATTGCATCCTTCAGCTTCTGATTGAAGGATCTGATGCGTCTCCCTTCCGTCTCGAAGAGGATGGAAGGGGTGTTGAAGTCGCCGGCAATGACTACGGAATCGTAATCTGCAGAGGAATTCTACCTAACTTACTGGTCAGCGCCTATGTGATGACCGCTGACTCCAGAGGTCTTGGTGGTTGCCGTCTCTCCTCTTGCCTTGTGGGTCTAGGCTTACTTTCACACATACATATTGAGCCACCCATGCGATCTTTCGCATTATACCATGCTTGTAGAACGTCTGTGAGGGAGGCATATGAGTCGAACTGGAGGGCGAGTAGTCTGGGCTCGGGTATGGACTTCAGATGCGCTGGCCTTGGCAGTCTACTGACGCTGTTGGCCGGTATACTGTTGAGACCAACTTTGGTTGAGAGCCACTGCCATTGTTGGACGTCGTGAAAGTACCGATCCTTAACCGAGCGGTCACTTGGCAATTCTGGAATCCCATGTACAACTATAGTGTTGTTTCTGTTGGGATTTCCAACCGCTGACTTTCTCTCCTCCTCTCTTATTCACCATGGCTTGTCAGGTCTGACCCGGATTTTACAGGCATTAACAACGTCCGGTTGTCGCGAGAGAATGAGGGTGTCTTCAGCCTCTTTAGCAGTTTTTAGGGACACACTTAAAGAGGGTGGCTTATCTCAGGGTGCCCGGCTTCCTCGAGAAAGGCGACACAAAGTTGCAGGGAGGGGAGGGAGTCCCAGCATCTGACAGTAGTCGGTCCACATTCGGCTGTCAAACCGTTCCCTCTCGACCAACAATGAGTCTGTCGATACATTGACGTTGAACAAAATGATCGAGTTGGTACTCCTGTGACCTGGATTCGTTGTGGGTCACACGCCCGACTTCCCAATGGGTTTGAGTTATTCCACTGGTTTTTTCTCAGTCATGGTGTGTGGGGTGTTTGGAGTGGGTTTCGTAGAGGGTTCAGTGGTCGATGTCTTTGGCCATGCGCTTGACGTTCCCTGAGGCCGGGTAAGCGGTATGGAGACTTGACCTAATATGGTCCCCACGCGAGGTGGAATGCCCGCAGCTGGAGCTCTAGGTCTGTATCCAGGTCTCTCTGTGTTATCCTTTGGTGTTAACCCTACTTTATTCGAGGATACTGGTAGCTTTTGCGTGGCGGAGAGCATCTCCTTCAGGCTTTCTGTGTGGAGTGCGGGCATTTTCCTACACTCCGGACAGATGTACCACAACCATTTGCATGGTTGTCTCTTCATCAGCTTATAGTGTGTCGCAATCAATCAATCAATCAATCATCATCAACATAGGGCCAGGCATTACTGCGTAACGGTCCGAGTCGCCACACCTCACGTCAGTTCATCAAGTGGAAAGGTAGTGAGGTGAAGATAAGTGAATGCAGTCAAAAGAAATATAAAGTACGAGAAGAAAGGAAAGAGGAGTGACAAAATGGTGAGATTCGGTATAGTGTAGTTAAGGTGAGGATAATGTATGTATACATCTGCGCCACTGACATCGGTTCTGAGCCATATCACCTAGGGTCTCCATCCACTGGTTCCACTTGTTCCGCGGACCCCAACCACTTAGTCTGCATTCCTTCCACCCTAAATGGCTCAAACCAACAGTTAGAGACTTCATACATTGGTGCCATGTTTTAGTCTGGCCACCTCGGGTCTTTTTCCAGCCTGGACCTACTTCGACCAACATTGTGTGACAAGGCAGTCGGTGATTAGGCATACGTAGTACGTGTCCCAACCATCTCAGTCGATGAAGGTTCATAACCTCGTCAACTGTGTCGCAGTGGCAATGAACCAATCGGTGACACAGGTTGCATGCAAATGCCTTATCGACTACCGAAACAACTTCCGTGCAAACACTGCAGCCATCGAGTGTCGTAATGCAGCCTTCTTTCCATGAAGAAGGTGCTACGGATTGTGGTGAACTGCTTGTGGCTGCCTTGTTCTGAAGCATTTTACTCCGTCTTCTGTTTCCAGGCATGGCATGATCCTTGCTCAAGATAGGACTAGTTTGTGACAGGCTAATGCTACTCTGCGTCACCTGTCTGATGGCGACTGGAATTCTAGAAACATGGGTTGGCCACTTCTTTAGAAGTTCGATGTTCTGCTCTACCTCTATTTGTTTACTAGTACAGACTAGTGTGTTGTTTCGGGTGTTATTGTCCCTTTTGTGCACGACCGCGTTATCCGCGTTTAAGCTTCGGATCTAACGTTTTGGGCAGACATGTCGCTATAATATAAACTTCTTGGGAAAACAAATAGTTAACAACCATCGAGTGGAATCCAAATGGGAAACGACTAGTTTGGCGTCCCAACTGAGGATGACATGGAGGAGATGGTGTGAGGAAGAAATGAAAGCTTATGGGCAGTCTTGGAGCCAGGTTCAAAAGATTGTGGAGAACAGAAAGGAATGGAGGCATGCTACTCAAGCCCTATGTTCGACCAGGAACCCAAGGGATAAATAATAATGATGTACCTTAACCAAATTCTTGAAGATGTTTATTACACTTTTATTGAACATTCGTTCTCTTTTTCTTTCCCTTTTTTTTCTCTTTTCTTCAATTAGATAAGAAAAGTAATAAGAAATCATGATTTCGCTATGAATAATTATCATGATTATTTATTAAGGACATCTAATTATGAATATTTAAAAGAGGCGCATTTAAAACAACTATCTGCTATTAATGCATCACGTATTGAACCATTGAACAAAATGAAAGAATCAAAAAATCGAATTTTAACAAAAACACCATTAGAATTGGATGAAACCATTGAAAATGGTAATAATAATGTTGATGGTATACCAAGTAATAATTCAATTCAAGCGACAGAATCCAGTGTTTATCATAAAACAGACATTGATAAATTGAACATAACTGTAAGTGGTAATTGGTGTTTTTTTGTTCTTGTTGATAATGTTTGTTACTATTTATCCACTGAATAATATAATGTAACATGATTGCCCTCGGTTGTATTGTGTTCTCTGAGCTGGGTACTGTATTAATTGTGGAGACTCTTTCATCGTCTTCGTAGACAGTGACATTATCAGCACTAACTTCAGTATGAAATGGGCTGTCATTATCTTAGCCTGACTGATTCAGTAGCCTGCCCTGACTAACTGGTCTCTGATTGGTTGTTTCCTTCAGTTGACTGACTGCATAGATTTTCCTGTTAGCTGTTCCTCTGCTTCACCTCTCACCTTTCTGTCGTTTATCATTTTTCTTATTGGTTGATAGATTATGTCTGTGTCTATACATCTGCTGATTGCTGACTGACTGATATGAATGCCAAGCTTCTAGGAATTCTCTGATGATATTCTTTGTGTTCCCTCGCACCGTCCAACATTACTACATTGTCGAAACTCAATTCATACCCATAGTTGTTATCCCCGTGCATTGAGTGGTGAGTGATGAAATGTCGTGTGTGACGTTTATTAACCAATTGGTGTTGGTGAAGTCTTCAAAACCTGTCGCCACGACTGTCCACGAGCTCTCATTTCTTTCTCATATCATCTCCCCCAAGTCACCCTCGAATGCCCAACTAGTATTTCCCTCTTTGGATTCCACTCGAGGGACTGGCCTGGCGCGTGATGTCCCCAATCAACCTTCTCAGTGTATGCCCAATCCATCTCCACTTCCTTCTGCATATTTGTTGAGCGATAGGTTCTTAGTTGGTTCGTTGCTAGAGTTCCTTGTTGCTTCTACTTTCTCGCCATTTGATCTTCAGTGTTTAGCGAACGTAGGCAGCAGTTGTTGATGAATGTCTGTAGTTTGTTGGAAATGCTTTTAGTGACACGCCTTTGGTTACTCAATATATTTTGCTCCCTAACCGAAAATAATTTTGAAACGTTCTATCCACTGTAACATATACTCACGAATGTACAGCTTTAGTAGTAAATAACTTCGTCGAAAATTTTTTTCTTCGGTGCAATCACGTCCTGTCTTTTTATATAACTGAAGAAATGTCATATTGGAATGATTTCAGAATACTTGATAGATATTTAGATAAACGATACATTATCGAATTTGTAAAACCAATAAATGAGTTAAGGGGAATCCCTATTTTGTGGACTTCAAGAGGTGATGAAGATACCCAACCAACAACAAGCACCAGTCATCATCAACGAGAGAAATCTAAAGAAAGTTGTCTCTGTCACCTACCTAGACAGCATCGTTTCAACTTCATGCCGCACAGGTCCAGATGAGGATGTCAAAGACAAGATCGGAAATACAGCAAGACAGGTCATCATTAACCTGAAATCAATGTAGAGATCTACTGCACTGCACTCAGCATAAAGCGTGAACAACATCCGGATTTTCTACACTAATTCAATAAAGTCAGTGCGATGGTTCAGAAACTTGGTGCATCACGAAAAGCATTTCCAACGAACTATAGACATTCATCAACAGCTGTCTACGCTCGATGCTGAAGATTTCGATGGATGGCTAGAAACAATAAACAACAAGGAACTCTAGCTGGCTTCCAACGAACTAACGAAGCAGAAGAAAGTAGACATGGATTAGGCGTACATTGAGAAGACTTTTTGGGGACATCACCCACCAGGTTAGACCATCGAGAGGAACCCAAATGGGAAACGACGAGTTGGGTGATATGGAGGAGATCGTGTGAGGAAGAATTGGAAGGTGATGAGCAGTGGTGGAGTCACATCGAAACGACTGGAGAGGAGAGTGAAATGGCGACGTGCTACTGAAGCCGTATGTTCCACTACAAATCCAAGGGACAAATAATGATAATAATAATGGAATCTAGTAGTTGTGTTCATCTTATAAGGCAATGAAAACCATGTTGCACTTCAAGTACTTACTTTTCATAATCTTCTCTATGATTTTGTAAACACATTGGGAATATATTAAGATACATTCTTATCAACAAGTTATTAACATGATATAATATAAATTTTTTTCTTAGTACATATGGTAGTTTTATGGTACTTAGATGATGGGACTATGCCTGATTGGTTCAGGTAGTTGACGTTTAACAAATGTACCAGAGGGTTCGTACTGCACTCCAAGTAGAATTTTTAGACGCGACGAAATACGTGTATGTGTGCATGTTGCTCACAGCGTATGGCACGAATGTGCTCAAGGTTGCTGAAAGTATTTTGACTGTTGAATTTCATTACCCTGGATTTATTGGCCCTCAGTAGTAGTAGTGGTAGTAAGGCATGTCTGAAGCTCTAAGAAAATAGGCACTCAGCTATTCGAAAGTATATTACTCAACTCTGTAGTTAGAAAGGTTATTCCATATATTGAATATAGAATAAATTGCCTGAAAGGTGGTGATTTTCATTTGTATGATTCATCTTCCTGATGATTCCCGATAGCTGTGAAAATGGAAATCCACAGTTTCCAGTCCACAAGTTTTGAAAATCACTACCGACTGTCAGAAGCCCTGCAGTTTAAGTAGATTCAGTTAGTACTCTTCGTTCTTGAGGATATTTTTTAATCAAAGACCATTAGTAGATGTTAGTTAGTTGTACGCAATCAGCAGAAAGCCCTGCTCGACCTAGATTTCGTGTTTGTTGACACTCGCCAGCAAGGCGAATCGATTCCGAGACCTATCAACGTATCCAATCCAAAATTTTCATCACTGAACAATTCACCGTAATAGTGTTGTTGCTTGTATGACATTGTCGTTGATTGGATCGAATTGATCAGTCTCTGTTGGCATATGGGCTCATGTGCGGATGCCTCGATATTGCCTATGTTTTAATTATGTGTAGTAATGATGGATGTAGCTGGATGTACCTGCCTCCCAGTGAGTGATGTTCTTCCAACCGGGACACGAGAGCGATAGCATCAAACACGAGCGCGTTATCCACTACATCATCGAGCCACGATAGCCAATTTTTGTGCGACGGGTATAGTTTAAGTGTTATTGCGTTTGAAGCGATCGCTCACGAGTGCGAATCTCGGTGGGAACATCATCAGTCACTGGGAGGCAGGTACATCCAGCTGACGAGTCTCAATTAGGACGAAGTGCGCATCGTAGATTCCACTGCCCATTATTACAATCCACTACATTGCTTACTTTTCATCTTTGAGGGGAATTATCCTTTTTTCTTTCTTCTTCATCTTATTTAGGCTTTCTGTTCAAAATCGATTACAATTGATTCAACACCGAAACACTTATTTATGCATCCAACTAAACTGGAAAAGGAATTGCTTGATATTGTTGAAGTAAAACAATCAACAGTTGAAATTGATAAAGATTGATTGAACAAAGTTAAAATGAATTCAGATATTTTATGTTGACTGTTTTGTTAGCCTTAACATTTCAGTTTCGTTTAACTATTTCGTTTTGTTGTTTGACAAAAGACGTCGTCATGAAGGTGTAGAACAAATAACTAGAACTAATACAGTTAACTATATCAAGTATATCTTTGGTATTCTGTTTTGAAAGAAAAAACATTGATGAAGACACATGACTACATTGTAATATAGTGGCATTGCATTTCGCCGATCTCTCATCAGCTGATTACAACATTTTTCAACTTACGTGAAGTGAATTAAACAGGTAAGGATATGCTTTAATAAAGGATACAAACATACGAATGAGGCTAAATAGATTCGCTAAGACATCACAGTTACATATGTGTCTCAACAAAGAGTAGGAGAAAAGAATAGTTGACTAGTTGGGAGGATTTGAATTGAATTTTGAAGGTGTTGTGGGGATTTGGAAATATTTCAAACCGTTATTCATCGTAGACTGACATCAGATGGAGGAACAAAGGGAACCTGAGAGCACTAAACAGCTGTTTCGTCTGACTAGTATGGGACTCCTCAGCAGTGTGTACCCACAACTCCGCCAGGAATCAAACCCGCGACCTTCAGTTTCCGTGGCCAACGCGTTACTATTGAGTTAACTGATGTCAGTCTATGATGAAATGGTGCTCATTGGTGACTAGCTTCGAGATGTATCCCCGAAGTTCCCATGAGAAATCGTGACCGGTGAAGGCAAAGTCTGATGATCGTGAGGACAGTTACTAAACGATGACATTGGGTGGCGGTTGCACTATATCGTGAGGTAACAGAAGTTGGAAATATGGACCATTGGATTCCACTGACTCAGTGGCTAGCTCAATGGTAACGTACTGGTCACGGGTCGATCCCTTTCGGGGTGGGGTCGTGGGTGCGCACTGCTGACGACCCCCATATTACTCGAACTGGACAGCTGTCCAGTGCTCCCAGGTTTCCTTCGTTCTTCCGACTGATGTCAGTCTACGATGAATAACAACTTGAAACATTTGAATTTAAATTGTTTGTTGATTACCTTAAAGGATTAATTATTCATGCTCTGTGTTGATAAAATGCTGAGTAAGTGAACTAGTGAAAACGCTTGTTCTTCTGAAATGTACGTAAAAACCTGTATACATAATTAGAGGTAAGGTGAGAAAGGAACCTATCTACTTTGAATTATACCTTGAAGTATATTATTCTGTGAGGAAGGATCAACTTAGTTGCAGAATACGTTGATTAATTTCTGTGAACAATCGTTGTCTACCAGGATCCTTTCAATATTCAGGAAATCATTTTTTTTCTTCGATCAATACACGTTTAAAATGTATTCGACAAAAACTGTTGAAATATAGGCAAAATCCTTTCCAGGCAGTCTTTTGACGAATAAACCATTGAAGAGTCGACGAATAATTATCAATCATTTCAGAGAAGATACAAAATGTTAAATCTGTGGATTTCGTGATCTGTTCCGTACAATTAAAAAAAGATTTATATTTATCCAAATCATAATAACTTAGAAGTATTTCAACGCATTTGAGTGCCTGACCTGACGCATGATGTCCCCTATCGGCCTTCTCAGTGTATGCCTAATCCATCTCCACTTTCTTCAGAGTGCATATTTCTCCTTTGACGGGTTCTTGGTTGATTCGTTGACAGAGTTCATTGTTGGTTATTGTTTCTGGCCATCCATCTAATCTTCAGTATCGAGTGAGAGTAGGCAGCACCTGTTAATGTATGTCTGTAGTTTGTTGGAAATGCTTTTCGTCACGCGCCTGGTTTGTGAATCACTCAAAGTGTTCAGAAGATTCTGCATCTTGTCAACGTCTTTACCCAACACGACTATGTCATCTACATATTCTAGGTATAACGAAAATCCTCCCGCGACTAACTCAACCTCTGTGTAATGAGGTGACGAGAGGGAGACCTCCATAAGAATATCTATGATAAAATCGAATAAGAATGGAGAGAGTGGACAGTCTTGATAGACATCTCACCATAGACTGTAACACGCTGACAAGTGTTCGAGAAGAGAGCCTTCAATAAGATGATGTACTCACTCGGGATGCCTTTCACTGAGAGACATTGCCATAAGACTTCCTGATGAATGGAGTCGATTCGAGAAGTCTTCTGGAAACATCATGAGGAGGTGACCTATGAAACTTTCTCCACAAGTGGCCTAGTGTGACTGGTTGTGTCTGCATACATATTTCGATTAACTATCCTGATGATGTGAGCTTTGATCTGCTTGTCTTTTCTTGCATTTATCAATGGCTGATGATTCCACTGAATGTCTCATTTCTCAAACCTCTATGTCAATCTTTGTGTATTCATAGTTTCTCAGTCACATTCCTTTCCTCGCTACAATGATATATGATGTGTATGAACAGTCGAGTGTACTGTGTTGCAGTCCACATTGTTCTGAACTATGGCTGCAAACTATAGGCATTAAAGGTAGAAGACATTAGAAGACTTCAAGTGTTTAACCACCTCTGTCTTTGTAATGTGTCACCACGTGAGTAAGACACATGTCAGACGTGGAGTTTTATGGACAAGAGGTAAGTCAGTTGATGAGGTTGTCAACCTTCATCAACTGAGATGGCTGGCTGACTGGGACAGGTGTTACGTTCGCCTAACCACTGTCTGCTTCGTCACATAATATTAACCGAAGTGGGTTCAGGCTGAAAAAAGGCATGGAGTGGCCATACTTAAAAGTGGCATCAGTGTATGAAATGTTTCAGTGTTCGTTATGAGCCATGAAGAGCGCTACAGACTAGCTGGTTGAGGACAAGAGAAATCAGTGGTTGGAGAATGTAGACGATGATATGGCTGAGAACCGATATCAGTCGCGCATCATAACCGCTATACGTAATCTCATTCCTCCTTTCTATCTTTTACTACTTTCGACTTCTACTTCCTTAGACCAGTTTTTCTTTCTTTCTTCATTTTCCATTTTATTACCTTATAACTTGACGTGCGCTGATGGGAGATGGGGTTGTGTGGTATATTGGACTGTTGTTATGCAGTAATGCCTGGTCTTATATTGATCTTGATGACAACTCATAGGACTAAAATTTCCTTTAAAGAAGATACATCACAACAAATCGAAGACGTTTAGCGATGTATCATAAAAGAGGCTTATTTGAAAGCTACAAATCCCTAGAAGATAGCTTCAGTCAACTTGAAGTAAGTACATAGTCTCAAAAGTGACCCAAAACCACCGTGTGAGAAATCTGAGACAAATTCCATGATTAATATAAGAGGAAATTTTGAGTTCTGTGGAAGAATATGATTCCATTTTAGTTGGTGTACTACACGATTAAATTTCACGCCGAAAACTAATCATCCCAAAAGGATTCATGATACGGATAAAATTCATAAGTCAGATTATCCTATGACACTTATAGTCTTCCTCACAAACGCTCCTTCTTGTGGCGATGAAACTAGGTCCAATTACAGACCGTTCGTTCTAAGTCAACGTGACTGACATTTAGATGGCAGAAAAAAATGGTTAGAGTCGACGTCCATTGGCATGGGATTGGAAACAGAAGTGAGCTCAATAATGACCATCAGCTTATCGTTAGTCTGGTTGATGGCTACCAGTAAAATCCAGGATGCATGTTTCTTCCTAATGGATAACCCTCTGGCGTTTTCGATGCAATGGAATTTAGGTTACAGTCTTAATGGGAACAAAATCATTCACAGGCGTCGAGGTAAATCTAGCTGATCAATTTCATCGAGCTATCAACCAGAGTAAAACATAATGTATACCAAGGCGGTCTCAAAAAGGCCTATCTGCCAAAAGACGTTGAGCAATTCGGCCCGACATAGCAACATGACGTTTCAAGCATGACACTGAAACGGTATTATTTCCTAGATTGCGTTTTGGCCACTCTACAACTTTCAGATAGTGTTCTAACTATGCCTCCTCCTTTGTGATATAGGTAGTAGCAGTTTCCATATATTCAAAAAAGATGGAGACTATTATGAATAAGGTTTTGAAAAGACCAAAGTGGTAAGTTGAAAACCGGAAACTAATAATTCCAAAAGAATTTATGATACGGATAAAATTCATAAGTCAGATTATCCTATGAGACTGACAGTTGACATTAGAAATACACCTTCTTGTGGCGACGATACTACGTCCAATTACCGATCCATGTTCTAAATCGAGATGACATACATTCAGATGGCAGAGAAAAATGGTTAGCTTCGACGTCGATATCGATTTGAATGACACTGGAAACATAAATCATCTCAATAATGACCATAAGCTTACACTAGGAATTAAGGTACTAAGTAGAGGGGATCCTTGAACTTCAGAATGAAAAATATACAGACAAACAGAAGGGTATCGCGATGGAGTCATATATATGCATAGTTAAGAAACGATGGTTGTGCAAACATTTAGTCCTGCTTCCAAACTATGCTCTTCATATGTGGATGACACGTTTACAGTGTTGAAATCGAAGCATACCACAGTCTCTTTTCACCTATGAATTGAGTAGTCAATAGAATCCAATTTACTTATGAATTGGAAAATGATGATGGGGAATTAGTGATGTTGGATTACAGAATGGAAGGAGAACAAGACAGGAGTTCAGACATTAGTGAGTGTCAATCGGAAGATGACCAACAATAACCCCCCACCCCCACCACTCCCCAAATTAATGAACCAATTAAATTCCTTAGTATGTAGACACAGACTGATCAAATATTGAACTACAACAGGAATCATCCTACAGTCTATAAAAATGTTGTATACAAACAGTATTCTCAAGAGGCAAAACACATTAGAGCATAGAAGTACTACAGAAAGCCAATAGCAGAAGAGATGACAACGGAATTTAACTCAACCCACTAGGCACATTACTCTAACTTACATCAAAGATATTTCAGAAATGGTGAACCTATTGCTTCATCCCTTCAACTTTGGAGTACCATACAAATCAATGAAATCTCTACACAGTATATAATGCAAGTTGAATGTTCACTTGCCAAAGGAAGATAGAACCAATATAATTTAAACAATCAATTGTAAACATTATTCACAGCATTATATGTTGACCAGTCTAGCTGTTGAATTGCTCAAAAAACTCATGATATGGCCTCTTTCACTTCAATGAATGCAGACAATTACAAATGTGACTAAAATAATGTTGAAAACGTTCAACGTGAAGGTCTAGGTCATGTGGATTACTCATTAGTTAGTTATTACATGATGATGGGGAATTAACGATGTTGGATTACAGAATGGAAGGCAAACAGGACAGGAGTTCAGACATTAGTAGTGAGTATCTGTAGAAAGCCTTCAAGAAATATTCTAGTAGAACAGAAGATCTAAAACACCTTATACATCAGCAATTATCCTCCTAAATTAAATGATAAATTCTTTAGGAATATATGAATAGTATGATTAGTAATATACGTGTTAATACTAGTAATAATAATGATGGATCATACTGTGAAGAGAGAATTGAAAACGTTTCCAGTATTATCCTATATGGAAGGCAACTGACAGGATTTTCAATAACACTGGCTGGAGTTAAAGTGACAGTTGAACCTACAAACTCACATGGAAATAAAAGATCCTATTAATCCAACTTGACCTGATCAATGTGTTTCCGAAGTTCTGCTTTATTGTTGTCTATCTATCTGACGTCTTGCTTGAAAGTCGGCATCCTAGATTTCATATTAGATTTGTTTATATGATTGATACAATACACAGTGAGTGATACAGTATTACCTATTGACTTGATGATGATATCATAAGCATAAATTAGCATGGTTCATAATCATACCTCAATGTGTAATCATCACACTCAACACTTTCGACATCCGGTTTTTATAGTTCTGTCAACCACCTCGTATTACTTGTTTCTATTGGTAGTAACTGTTTCCATATCTCTGTTACAGGTGTGGCGTCATTCCTAGTACATCTACGATGATACTAGGTACAATTACAGACCGTTCTAAATCCGGCCGCAGTTCATACTTTCATTTCCTCATCAATCATCACTAATGATTCATAGCCAGTATGACATACTAGATAAGTGGAGAAGTAAATTAACTCAACATATTTGTGCATCAAAAAGTCAATAGGTTATAGGTGAATAGCAATTCTCAATCAGTGTGGTACGTTTCACAATATCCAAATCTTCACTAAATACAATACTGGAGTTTTTCAAACACAGTCTATTATCAAGTATCTGGAAGGAACAACACCTTTCAAGGTCTCCGGGACACGTGGATTACTCATTAGTTAGTTAATACAAGATGATCTCGGCGTGTTTTTGTATGTCAGAAGGATCGATTATAGTGACTTCTGAGAAGGGATTATATTCTACTACTATTGCTACACGATGGGTAGATGCTGTTGCAATTCCTGATCAACGAGAGAAGACAGTGACGGCAGCGGTGATGCGGCATATTGTCGTGGATCACGGTGTGCCGAAAGTAATACTGACCGACTAAGGTTCCTGTTGCTATTCATGACGGCGTTCCACGCCATCATATGCTGCTTTCGCTCTACCCCTAAGCAACGTGCCCAGCACCATGACCTTCGTCCTTGGATCTCGGACCCCCATCAGCTCCGAGACCGACTCGAAGTCCCTGAGGGATATTTTGATGTCTTCATCCTTGAACACTGCATGTCACGGAATGTTCATCACATCTAGAGGTAGCGACACCAATTGAAGAAACAAGAAAACAGACATGACGGAAAAAGTGTATGTCATTCATAATTGGGACGGCAGTCGTTACCTATGGTATATCTTGAACTAAATCCGTCATTTGCAAAATGTGCTTCGTTTCCTCTTCTGCTTCTCTCTGGATTTGCTCTTCTTACATTCTTATCAGCAACATCCACTGTAATACGCCTGCGTTGCTCTTAGCAGAATGTTTACCCGCTGCTGGTAATTCCCTATGATTTCTGCCACCCTCTGAACACATACTACTTATATCCATTTTAATCAGCGACGCCCACTATGCTATAACTTAACGAGTAAGTAGTGGTCAGTCAGTCATATGGATGGGTATACTCCTAGCATCATCAACAAATACTTCTTGCTTCCACATGCCATTTCAAATTACATAAATCTTTTCAAATTTCTTCAAGCATTACAGGCGTCAAGTGAGTGTTTTGTTCAGGTTTTCACTGATCACTGCGTTATTGAATATTGGTTGAAAGTGGCGTGGACAGTAGGATACACGTGAATCATATACTTCTCTATCAACATCGTCTGGGGATTTTAACAAAACTTAATAATCATAATAGTTGACAGTAAGAGCTGCTATGAGAACAATCTATTTTGTATCAACTGAAGAAAGTCAAGAAGTCAGAATTTGTATGAATAACTGATAAAAATGCTTGGAAAACCTTATGACATGTGACGTTGTAAAGTAATTGAAATCCATTCACTCAGTAACTAGGTGGATAAGCAATGAAGCGTACCTACTCCGTATCATCGACTGCTGGACTGACAAAATTACCATGTGAAATCTCTTACATAAGTACATCACTTCAATTAGACGAAATTATCTGACAGAATCAAGAGTTTGAACACAAAGGTTAGCGCAAATATTCAAGCTTTAGAAAATGTCAAAGAGTGAATATATCTGCATACATTGTCACTGATATACAGTCATTTCACTAAAAGTCCTCAATCACTGATTCCAGTGGTTTCACACACCCCAATTAAGCAGGCTACATCTCCCAATGCGACTCAGATCGACAGTCACGTACTTCATTGACTGGTATCAGGTCATGGTTCGACAACCCTGAGCTTTCTTCCAATTTATTCCAACTTCTGCTAGCATGACATATCGAGTCAGTCGACTTAAGTTCACAACCTTATCAATCAACTTGTCTATCTCGAACCCTACCTTTCATCTGATTCCACGAAACACTAGTCACCAGGTTACACAGATGTTGACCTAATCACAGGAGATTTTTCGTTATATCTAGAATATTTAGATGACATAGTCGTGTTAGGTGAAGACGCTGACAAGATGCAGAATCTTCTGAACACTTTGAGTAGGAATTTGAGAATGTTTGGGATGCGGTTCTCACCACCGAAATGCAAATGTTTGCTCCAGGACTGGTCTTCAGTGGTGCCAGCGGTCGACATACTCAGCCACTTCACTTACCTGGGAAGTAGGATCAGCCAAGGTGGATGAGTGGCCGATGAAATCTCCGCAAGGATACAGAAGGCTCAACTGGTTTTTGCCAAGTTACGCCACCTATGGCGCCGCTGTGATATCCTATTGTCTATTACGGGCAGCGTGTACTACACAGCAGTCCACTCTCTTCTACTGTATGGCTGTGAAACATGGCCATTGAAAGTGGAAGATATAAGAAGGCTTCAAGTGTTTGACCACCATTGCCTTCGTAGTATAAGCCGTATTCCGTCGTGTCAGCATGAGTTTTAGGGATGGAGAAGAGGTAAATCAGTTGATTAGGTTGTGAACCTTCATCGATTGAGATGGCTGGCTGAGACATGTGTTACGTATGCCTAGTCACCGATTGTCTCATCACACAATGTTGGTCGAAGTAGGTCGAAGCTGAAAAAAGGCCCAAGGTGGCCTGATTAAAACATGGCACTAATGCATGAAATCTCTGACTGTTGGTTTGAGCCATATGGGGCGATGCAGACTGGGTGGTCGGGGTCGGCGGGTCAAGATGAACCAGTGGTTGGAGGCTCTAGGGGATGTATAGTTGAGAACCGATGTGAGTGACCAAATTTTCTTATCTTCATCTTTCAACTCACTGCTTTTCTACTTGATATAGTGATATAAGGCGTGATGGCAAGTGGGACCGTTACGCAATCATACCTGATCCTATGTTGATATTGCTGATGATGAGTAATGCTACAAATAAATGTGTAATCAAAACCATGAAATCGTTTCATGTTGTCTACATTCAACAGTCATGTCTCTCACATACATAGAGTCACCGTTGCCACATGACTATCTAAAACTCAATCAACAGGTCTAGGTTCGAACTCATGATATATCAACTAGAAATCAAATGACTAGACAAATAGGTATCAGAGTAATAATAATTTGAATAGCAACAGAAGAATAATGCAAAATAAATAAAAAAAATCAATAGTCAGTAAGCATTACATCATTTATCCTATTCACAATGAGAAAGGATATCAACTTTATAGAAGAAGATGAGATAGACTGAATACAAAGTACCTTAGGCTTAACATCTTCCAAGATATATCAATTATGCCTGTATTATCACTGTGATTATAAGCAATGTAAAGCATCCCCGATGATGATATTGCTTATCGTTGAATATGTGAATGTTTGAGGAGACGATTTCCCAAACACACACACACACACACACACATTTACACACTGATTCACTCATTCCAATCTATCACTTGCTGAAGTGGTCAGTGTATATTCAAGAAATGTTAAAACTGTTGCTTCTACATGACATTGATGTTTTAAACGATGTCGAGAATCAGGATAATACTAGAATCAAACAGAGAGAGAGAGAGAGAGAGAAAACATATTTAAATCAATATGTACATAAATATACTCTAAAAACACAGAAGTTATGGGGAACCAATTTAGAGCTGGAATACTTCGATGAAACATCTATCATTGTTTTATGACTATTATCTGACATTTGGGTTCCTAGTGGAACATACCACTTCAGAAGCACACCTCCATTCCAGTCTGCTCTATGAAATCTTTTGAACCTGGTTCCACAACAGCCCACAACCTCTCATTTCTTCCTCACAAGATCTCCTCCATGCCACCCTCCCTCAGATGCCCAACTCGTCGCTTTCTATCTGGATTCAACTCGACGCCTGATGTCCCCAATCGGCCTTCTGAGTGTATGCCCAATATATTTACACTTCCTTCCACTGCATGTTTCTTCAGCGACAGATTCTTGCTTCGTTGGTCCATTCCCAAACTTCCTTGTTACTTATTCGTATTATTCTGACTATCTGAGCTTCAGTAACGAGTCAGCGTAGACTGCAGCTCTTCATGAATGTTTGTAGTTTATTCGAAATCCCTTTCGTAACGCGCCAAATCTCTGAGCCATACAGACACACCGATTTGACGTTGGTGTTGAAAATCTGGATCTTGTTCCACATGCTGATTGCAGAAGTTCCCCACACTGGTTTCAGACTAATGAACGCTTGTCTTGCTGTGTTTCTGATCCTGACTGGCTTTGACGTCCTCGTCTGTGCCGCCACCTGTACTTGAGACAGTGCTGCCTAGATAGGTGAAAGAGGCTACTTCGTTTAAGTTTCTCCCGTTCATGGTGATTGATGATTGTTGTTGGTTGGGTAGCTTCATCAACTCTGTCTTCTATACATTCACTTGAAGTCCCGTCTCCCTTCACTGCCTCCTCTGCCAACTTGTTAGTTTTCGCTCGTAGATCTTTGAGTTTGTGCGACATTAGACATAATTCATCGGCGAAATCCAAATCTTCTAGGTTCTTCTCCGCGGTCCAGAGCATCCCCCTCCTCTCGCTCTTCACTGTTTGTTGCATGATTCAGTCCACTAAAATCAGGAAGATGATGGGTGATAGTAGGTGGCAGCCTTGTTTCACTCCTATCAATCAAGAAAGGTTCATTTCAATTTCATCACCTGTCAAGGTGGTGAATCGAGGCTGGAGCTGTCATTAATCGTGACATAAACACTTGAGTTCAAATTCCATTCTGTCTATGGAGGTACGAGTAGCCATGTAGCATCATACAATAACTGTTTGCAGAGTTGGTTCAAATAGTTGAACACACAGTCTTCTCTGATAAACATTAATATAAAAAGAAACTAACCATATGCTTAATGACTTACACATAGAAAAGAGTGAAAAATGGTTGGCTTCGATGTAACAAGTCTGTATACTGAAACACCAAACAATATCGCACTAAAGACAGTCAACCAAATATTCACTCAGAACTTACTCATATAACTTAGACATCGGTTGATGAAATCATATTAGGCGTACAGTTGTGCCTGACCTCTACAGTCTGCAAGTTTCAAGACTGTGGCACCTGTAGTTGAAACAATGCTGCCTATTTAGGTAGGTAGGCGAAACAGACAATTTCCTTTACATTTCCCTCGCTGACGGTGATCGATACTTGTTGGTGTTCCTGTTGTTGTTGGTTGGGTATCTTCATCACATCTATCTTCTCTACATTCACATGAAGGAAGTCTCGTCTTCGCTGACCTGCCCTGCCTCTTCTGTCGCTCCTCACGGTTTGGCGCATGATCCAGTCCAGTCCACTACAATCAGGAAGATGGTGGGTGATAGTAGGTAGCCTTGTCTTACACCTGTCTTCACTTCAAACGTGTCACTTAGCTTCCCATTGTAAATTACTTGGCATGTGGGGTCTTCATATAGTTTTTGGATGAAGTTGATTAAGGTTTGTGCTATCCCGTAGTGTTGAAGCAATTGCCAAATTACTTCTCAGTCGATGCTATCGAAGGCCTTTTCAAAATCGATAAGGTTGAGGTAGAGGGTTGACTGCCATTCTGTACTCGGTTCTATGATGATGCTTAGAGTAGTGCTGCAATTTGATCCGCACATGATTTGTACTTCCTGAATCCAGCCTGTTTCGGTGGTAATTTTGAATCCAGCACCTCCTTTAGTCCTTCAAGGATAATGTGGCATAATATTTTGCTTCAGGTGGACAGCAGCATGATTCCTCACCACTTCTTGCAAAGCCTTAGATCTCCTATCTTCAGGAGTTTGACAGGTAGCTAGCTTTCCTTTCTTCCTTCCAGACCCTCTGCAGTAGTGGTGTGAGCATGTCCGCTGTTGTCCCTGCGTCTGTTCCTAGTGCTTCTGGAGGAATTCCATGCGGTCCTGCTGCTTTCTCGCATTTCAGTAGTTTTATAGCGTTCAGGACTTCTACTTTCTTCGGAGGGCTTGTGTTCACTTGTAGTTCTGTGGCTGCAAGTAGTATTTCTGGACGAAGTGAAGGTGGTGGTCGATTCAAGCGTTTTCTGAAGTGGTCAGTTCATCGTTTCCTTTGTTTCTTTTCTTCGGTGATTAGATTTCTTTCATCATCTTTTATTGGTTTCTTCTGTTTTGATCTCTTTCCAGATCTATGGTAACCTGATTATCTGATACAACTTTGTCAGGCCTCTATCTCTCCTACCAGCAACCTGTTCTCTTCCAAATATGCTATTCCTACCATAATATTGTATTCTGTATTCTGTTTAAATCTCCATAAATCAACTGGATCACCATGGCCTCCATAAAAGGAGCTACAAAAAACAGGGATCAAGTCAACGCAGAAGATATCCCCAACAGACAGTTTATAAGGAAAGGATAAGACGAAACCAGTGTGGAATGCCACAAAGAAGTGCTTCACTTCCAGCTATAACATACTTCAGAGTAGTAAACAAAGAACACGTGTAGAGAAAAAAACTGATACTAAGGTGGACAAAAGTGTATATGGAGAGGGGAAGGTAAGCTAAAACATTCAAGCTTTAGAAGGCTCAGAACAGGTGGTCTACACTACCATACAAGGATCAAATCAACAGTTATTAACTTCGAAATAATGAAGAATATTTGTAGCTCAGGTGGATGGTCTTGGTTGTATGGTGTTCTCTGTGCTGAGTCGTCCTTCTAGACAGCGACATCATCCACAGTATGAAGTTAGCTGTCAACATCTCTCCGTCAGTGATTTAGTAGTTTGTCTTGACGATGTGGTCTGTAATTGGTTGTTTCCTTCGATTGTTGTGTCATCGACAGACTGTATAGACTTTTCTGTTGGCTGTTCCCCTACTTCACCTCTCACCTTACGACCGTTTATCATTTTTCTTATTGGTTGATAGATTGACTCGATGTCTATACATGAGTTGATTGCTGACTGACTGAGCTAAATGACAAGCTTCTAGAAATTCTCTGATATTCTTTGTGTTTCCACTGTCTAAAATTTCGACATTGTCGAAATCGAATTCATGTCTATAGTTGGTATCCCTGTGCATTGAATTGAGTGACGAAATATCATGTCGTTTAACAGCCAATTAGTGTTGATGTAGACGAAGGCGAAGATGGGAGACCACTTTTTCCAATGTGTAATGATGACTACAGTTATTGCAATTGATTTTGTAATTGATATTCAGTTTGTCTTCTTTGGTGTGCATAATAGTGTTTGGAAGGGATTTGTTGGTTTATGAGTGGCCACACCAATTCCAAATGGTCTCAGCAATCTGTCATGATTTCTGATATGTTCCCCAAGCATGGTAGGATGATGAGTTTATTGATTTCTGTGGATGACTTTGTAGTTGATGATGTATGGGATAGGCATTTTCTGAAAAGTTTCGTGGGTAACCGCTCTTCTTTAGGGGGTGGACATCAAGTAATTTCCTTCGTTTCTCTGTGAAGTTGTTGTACTGCAGTGTGTTCTCGCTCTTTTGAATAGAGTCTGCACACAACTGATCTTGTGGTTTGTTGCCATTGTAGTTGAGGATTTGATCATTCAATGTGTGTTGGTTTCTTGTACACTTGAGTTTCCAGCTTTTCGGCATTTGTTCTACTGACTAAAACATCAAAGGAGGAATGGTAGTTGGTTGTTCGACTCTTTCTCCATTGTGAATTTCATGTCAATGAAAACGTTTAGCAAGGCGATGAAAGTTTCACAATTCAACAATCCACTTGAGAGAACACAATACAACAAAGTTATTAATTTCATCGACTAAATCAAGGATTAGACATCATGAAGTAAACTGAGTAAGTTATAACAGTTTATAAATGAAAATTTTTTTTTTGTTGATACCTGAAAATGATACGGTTTACCAGATGCTTTGAGTTTTTCAATCAACAAAGAAGTATGTACAAAGTGTACATTCTCATCTTGACCACCATGAAATATGTACAGACGATATTCATTCGATGGCATATTTGAAATATACTCCATTACATTACCTTTCCTATAAGTGAGGAGAAAAAAACAAAAAAAGAAAATGGGTTATACATGAAAGATAAAATTGAAAGATGGGAAATAAAAACCAGTAATGCATTATCATCATTGATATTTGTCATGTGGGTTTCAAGTGGAACATAGAACATCAGGAGTATATCGCCATTTCACTCTTTTATCTACAGTCTTTTCAACGTGGCTCCACAACTTCCCTCAAACTTTCATTTCTTTCTTACACCATCTCCTCCATATCACCCTCGGATGCTCAACTCATAGTTTCTCCTTTGGATTCCACTCGATGGCCTGGCCCGTGATGTCCACAGTTGATTTTCTCAGGGTATGCCCAAACCACTGCAACTTTCTTCTGCATAATTCTTCGACGATAACTTCTTGTTTCGTTGCCAGGCCAGAGATCCTTGTTGTTTATTCTTATTATTCTGGCCATCCATCTCATCGCCATCTTCAGTATCAAGTGAGCGTTGGCAAAACCTGTTCACGTATGTCTGCAGTTCGTTGAAGACGCTCTTCATAACCCATCAGCATTCTCCAGAATTGTACAGAAGCACCCATTTGACTGGATCCCTTTTGAAAATCCGGATCCAGTTCACGATCTATGCTGAGTGCACTGTAGTGCACTACATCTCCACATTGATTTCAGGTTAATCAAGAACTGCGTTCTGTCTTTCAAAACTGACTTTGGCGTCCTCATCTGTGCCTGTGCCACCGCCTGTAGTAGAAACAACGATGTCTAGGTAGGCGGGTAGGCGAAAGAGACAACTTCATTTACATTGCCCTCACTGACGGGGATCGATACTTGTTGATGGTGGTGTTGTTGTTGGTTGGGTATCTTCATCACCTACGTATTCTATACATTCACATGAAGGAAGTCCCGTCTTCACTGACGTACCATGCCATGCCCTGCCTCTTCTGTCAACTTCTTGGTTTTCGCCTGCACATCTCACAGTTTGTGCCACATTACATATCAGACATTATTCATCATCAGCGAAATCCAAATCTTCTAAAGTGTCTTCATCGGTCAAACAACCAGCCTATCCCCATCTTCTCACACATCCTCACACCTGGGTGTTGCATGATCTAGTCAACTTGAGTCGAGTTGAGTCGACCACAATTAGGGAGATGATCGGTGATAGTAGGCGGCAACCTTGACTTACCTGTCAACTTGTCATCTTCACTTCACTTCACGTCGAAGGCATCACTGAGCTTTCCATTGTCAATCACTCGGCATGTAGCCTCATCATATAGCATATACCTGCTGTTCAATGTACTTGATAAAGGTTTGTCTCACTAAAGTCGTAGAGATTAAGCGGCTGCAAAATTACTTCTCGGTCGACGCATTGATCGAAGGCCTTTTCAAAGTCGATGAAGTTGACGTAAATGATTGACTGTCCTTTTCTATGATGATGCGTAGCGTAGCGTTGCTTTTTCATATGCACTTGTTTTTCGTGAAGCCAGCCAGCCAGCCAACCTGTGGCATAGTTCTTATGACTTGTAAAATTTTCTAACGCCATACTGAAAGCCAGAGTTGCATAACAACAGTCCAATATGCCATACAACCACATCTCCCATCGGCGCACGTCAAGTTATAAGGTAATAAAATGGAAAATGAAGAAAGAAAGAAAAACTGGTCAAAGGAAGTAGAAGTCGGAAGTAGTAAAAGATAGAAAGGAAGAATGAGATTACATATAGCGGTTATGATGAGCGACTGATATCGGTTCTCAGCCATGTCATCGTCTAGATTCTCCAACCACTGATTTCTCTTGTTCTCAACCAGCTAGTCTATAGCGCCCTTCATGGCTCATAACGAACACTGAAACATTTCATACACTGATGCCACTTTTAAGTCTGGCCACCCCGTGCCTTTTTCCAGCCTGAACCCACTTCGGTTAATATTATGTGACGAAGCAGACAGTGGTTAGGCGAACGTAACACATGTCTCAGTCAGCCAGCCATCTCAGTTGATCAAGGTTGACAACCTCATCAACTGACTTACCTCTTGTCCATAAAACTCCACGTCTGACATGTGTCTTACTCACGTGGTGACACATTACAAAGACAGAGGTGGTTAAACACTTGAAGTCTTCTAATGTCTTCTACCTTTAATGCCTATAGTTTGCAGCCATAGTTCCGAACAATGTGGACTGCAACACAGTACACTGGACTGTTCATACACATCATATATCATTGTAGCGAGGAAAGGAATGTGACTGGGAAACCATGAATACACAAAGATTGACATAGAGGTTTGAGAAATGAGACATTCAGTGGAATCATCAGCCATTCATAAATGCAAGAAAAGACAAGCAGATCAAAGCTCACATCATCAGGATAGTTAATCGAAATATGTATGTAGACACAACCAGTCACACTAAGCCACTTGTAGAGAAAGTTTCATAGGTCACCTCCTCATGATGTTTCCAGAAGACTTCTCAAATCGACTCCGTTCATCAAGAAGTCTTATGGCAATGTCTCTCAGTGAAAGGCATCCCGAGTGAGTACATCATCTTATTGAAGGCTCTCTACTCGAACACTTGTCAGCGTGTTACAGTCTATGGTGAGATGTCTATCAAGACTGTCCACTCTCTCCATTCTTATTCAATTTTATCATAGATATTATTAAGGAGGTCTCCCTCTCGTCACCTCATTACACAGAGGTTGAGTTAGTCGCAGGAGAATTTTCGTTATACCTAGAATATGTAGATGACATAGTCGTGTTAGGTGAAGACGCTGACAAGATGCAGAATCTTCTGAACACTTTGAGTGGCTGTATATGGTTCAGAAACCAGGCGCATGACATAAAGCATTTCCAACAAACTACAGACATACATTAACAGGTGCCGCCTACTCTCACTCGATACTGAAGATTAGATGGATGGCCAGAAACAATAACCAACAATGAACTCTGACAACGAACCAACCAAGAACCCGTCAAAGGAGAAATATGCACTCTGAAGAAAGTGGAGATGGATAAGGCATACACTGAGAAGGCCGATAGGGGACATCATGCGTCAGGTCAGGCACTCAAGTGCAACGCAGATGGGAAGCGACGGAGCCAATTTCAAAAGTTTGCAGAGAACAGAGTGGAATGATGACGTGCCACTGAAACCCCATGTTCCACTAGGAACCCAATGGACAAACAAAGAAACACAATAAGGTTGAAATATTCAATAATTCAGCAAAGAATCAATCGGAGTGGAATCAAGTCAAATGGAAAAGGCGTATGGTAACTCTATGCAACTGTCACTCCGATATATACCTCAACTATGAATATATGTATATACAGTCATTATTTAAGTTAAACTTACCGATAGGCATCTGGATTATCTTGAGGCATACCAATATATCTCTCAGTATACGCTGAATCATACAATATCCAATGAACAACTGGTGAAATAGCTATAGCTGCTCTATACACATGATGATAACGCATAGCAGCCATTAGAGACATATAACCACCTAAATAGGAAGAGAAAATCAAAACCAGAACAAAAATGACATTGATGTACTAGGCTGATAACCGAAGCTAAGAATCAACTTGAATTCATAGACTGTTAGTGCCACCCATGATGTGCAGAATGTGAAATTCTACTGCATTCTAACAGTCTCCTATGAATGTGTAGGAAAAGCCTAAAGGCAGACTATCGTGGAGGACAGCTGTTTCGCTTGTTTCGGGTGCAGTTCATCACCGCTATACTCGGACAAATTCACCTACATGAGCTGAATTTCTCCGGATACAATAATGATGAGATCTGTCCAAAAAAGCGAAACAGCCTACAGATCCATCTGAGTGATTTCTAAAAACTTGTTCTTTATTTCATGACATTTTTGTGTAGGAAGTTAGGCCTTGTGATATAAGCTAAAGGTTCTCCAGAGGAAATCCTCTTGACATCATAGTACAAAAGCTTGAAAGCGAGGAGGTTGTGAGAAACGATAACGTGGACCGTTCTGTTCTTCATCATCCATCAATATGGGACCAACCATTACTGCATAACCGTGGCACGTGCTACACCTCATATCACTACATCAAATGAAAACGCAGTAAAGTAGAAGATGAAGATAAGAAAATTCAGTCGAAAGAAACATAAACTACCAAAAGAGAGGGAGAGAGAGAGAAAGGGAGAATGAGAAAATGGTGAGATTCGGCATAGCGTCGTTAACATGAAGATAATGCGTGTGTCTGTATACATCTGCACTACTGACATCAGTTCTCAGCCATATCACCCAGAGTCAGTATCTAACCATTGGTTCCTCTTGTCCCGTCGACCCCAACCACCTAGTCCGCATCGCCCCACATGGCTCTCCATACATCGATGTCGCGCTCTAGTCTCGACGCCTCGAGCGCATTTTCAGACTGAACATGCTTCGACCAACATTGTGTGATGAGCCAGACAGCGACTAGCCATGTGCAACTCAGTCAGAAGCTTCACAACCTCGTCAACTGATTTACCTCTTCACTCTCTCTCCCTCCCTAAAACTCTACACCTCACTTCTGCCTTACTCATGTGATGACACCACGGAATACGGCCTATACTACGAAGGCAATGGTGGTCAAACACTGAAATCGTCTCATGTACTCCACCTTCAATGGCTATGTTTCACAGCCATACAGTAGGACAGAGTGGACTGCTGCGGGGTACACACCACCCTTAACAGACAATCAGATATCGTGGTGGCAGGCGCCACAGGTGGCGTAAGTTGACAAAACTCAGTCGAGCCTTTTGCAATCGTGAAGAGATTTCATCGATCACTGAGCCACCAGGGCATGGCTGATCCCACTTCCCAGGTTAGTGAAGTCGTCAACACAATCACTATACTCTCTACTGTTAACCGAGGCACTGTTAAAGACCAATCCTAAAGCAACAATTTGCATACTGGTGGTGAGAAACACATCCCAAACATTCTCAAATTTCAGAAGATTCTGCATCTTGTCAACGTCTTCACCTAACACGACTATGTCATCTACATATTCTAGGTATAACGAAAATTCTCCTGCGACTAACTCAACCTCTGTGTAATGAGGTGACGAGAGGGAGACCTCCTTAATAATATCTATGATAAAATTGAATAAGAATGGAGAGAGTGGACAGTCTTGATAGACATCTCACCATAGACTGTAACACGCTGACAAGTGTTCGAGAAGAGAGCCTTCAATAAGATGATGTACTCACTTGGGATGCCTTTCACTGAGAGACATTGCCATAAAACTTCTCGATTAAAGGAGTCAAATGCCACATTCTTACTGTATTGTATGTTTCTGCCGTGTCGAATTTATAGTTTTCCCCTTTTTATGCATTTTTAATGTGTAGTGTAGTTCATATACTTCATTTGTTGAAACAAAAGAAAAATCATCCTGACAAATAGTCCAAAGTAGTAGGTTCTAGGAGCATTAGACATTTGACTGGACCTCGAGAACAGCAAGTCCGAAGAAACCAGGAAGGCTTTGGATTTAACTGTAAGTGCATCCATCAGATATTCAAACGCCGTCAGATACCTGAACACAGTCACACCTATCCATGCCCGACATAGGGTGCATTTCTCAACCTCAAGGCGGTATTCAACTCCTTCAACCAAGAGGTTTTATGGCAGTGTCTGTCACCGAAAGGGATTCACATAAAGTGTATCCTTTGGCTGAAGGCTATTTTACTTGAACACCTGTGGGGGTGTTACAGTCTATGGTGAGTTGTCATGTGAACTGTGTACTTCCAGGGGTGTTCATCGAGGATACCCACTCTCTTTATTTTTAAACAATTTTGTCATAGACGTTCTTGTGAAGGTCTCGCACTCATCATCGGACACCACAAGGAGTCATCTAATCACAGGACAATCCTAGTAGGTGAAGACGTTGTCAAAATATAGTCTTCTGGATGAGTGACAAATTTATGAATGTTTGGGATACGTTTCTTACCAGTTATATGCATAATATTGCTCCATGATACACCGATCAACAATAGAGAGTAAAGTAGTGTAGTGCGTTGACCACTTTCACTTACGTAGGAAGTCAGATCAGCCCTAATGTGTTGGTCAGTGACCAACGAAATCTCCGCATGGATACAAAAGGCCTTAATGGTTTTCGTTAAATTAGGCTGTTAATGACGCCGTCGCGATATCTCATTATCTATTAAAAATGTAGTGTATAGCCTTGTAGTTCGCTCTCTTCTACTTAATTGGTATGAAACATGACCATTAAAAATAGAGGATATAAGAAGGCTTCCGATGTTTGACCACCGTTCCCTACATGGTATAAACCGTGTCGACGTATCACTACTTTAGTAACGCAAAAGTAGGGTGTAACAATTTAGAGGAGAGAAGAAAGTCAGTTGAAAAGGCTGAGAAACTTGTGGACCTCCAAAAATCTATTCATCCGTAAAATTTTATTATTATTTGTCCGTAGGGTTCCTAATGGTACATACCGTTTCAGTAGCACACCTCCATTCCACTCTCTCCTTTGAAATCTTTTGAACCTGGTTCCACAACAGCCCACAACCTCTCATTTCTTCCTCACAAGATCTCCTCCATGCCACCCTCGCTCAGACGCCCAACTCGTCGCTTTCCATCTGGATTCCACTCGAAGGCCTAGCATGAAGCCTGATGTCCCCACTCGGCCTTCTGAGTGTATGCCCAATATATCTACAATTCCTTCCACTGCATATTTCTTCAGCGATAGATTCTCGGTTCGTTGGTCCATTTCCAAAGTTCCTTGTTACTTATTCGCATTATTCTGACCATCCGAGCTTCAGTAATGAGCCAGTGTAGGCAGCTGTTCATGAATATCTGAAGTTTGTTGGAAATCCCTGTCGTGACGCGCCAAGTCTCTGGGCAATACAGAAGCACTGATTTGATGTTGGCTCTGAAAATCCGGATGTTGTTCACGCTGTATGCTGAGTGCAGAAGATCTCCACACTGGTTGCACCTTAATCAACGCATGTCTTGCTGTCTTTCTGATCTAGACTGCCTTTGACGTCCTCGTCTGTGCGTGTGTCGCCTGTAGTTGCAACGGTGCTGCCTAGATAGGTGATAGAGGCTACTTCCTTTAAGTTTCTCCCGTTCATAGTGATTGGTGCTTGTTGTTGTTGCTGGTGGTGTTGTTCGGGTATCTCCATCACTACGTCTTCTCTATATTCACTTGAAGTCCCGTCTCCCTTCACTGCCCTGCCATGCCCTGCCTCTTCTGTCAACTTGTTAGTTTTCGCCTGTACATCTTCGAGTTTGTGCCACAAGACATTAGATACAAGTCATCGACGAAATCCAAATCTTCTAGGTTCTTTTCCGCAGTCCAGCGTATCCCCCTCTTCTGTCTCCTGCTGCATGATCCAGTTCACCACAATCAGGAATATCATGGGTGATAGCAGGCAGCCTTGTTTTACTCCTGTCTTCACTTCAAAAGCATGAACCTATTGCTCAACAAGTATGCAGAAGGAAGTGGAGATGGATTGGGCATGCACTGAGAAGGCCGACCGAGGACATCACGCGTCAGGCCAGTTGCTCGAGTGGAATCCAGATGGAAGGCGACGAGTTAGGCATCTGAGCGAGGGTGACATGGGGCAGATTGTGTGAGGAAGAAATGAGAGCTTGTAGGCTGTTGTGAAGCCAGATTCAAAAGATTTCGGAGAATACAGCGCACTGGAGACGTGCTACTAAAGCCCTATGTTGGAATTAAGAACCCAAGGGAGAAATAATAATAAATAACTGTGTAATGTGTCAACTTGAAACGACACAGTTGTGTTCGAGGTTCTATGCAAAGGTTTGTACACTAACCAATAAGTCGATACAGGTATGGAATGATAATACTAAATTCCTGCACACGTTTTAGTAAGTGGGGCAGATGACTCGAACCTATATCATAGAACATATCGACGTTACACACCTTCCTACAACTTGAAGAATGCATGATTTTATTTTTAATTATTATTTGTCCCTTGGGTTCCTAATATAACATACTGCTTCAGTAGCACACCTCCATTCCACTCTCTTCTCTGTAGTCTTTTCAACCTGGCACCACGACTGCCCACAACCTCTCATTTCCTCCTCACAAAACCTCCTCCATGTCACCCTCAACTCCAACGCCCAACTCGTCGCTTCCCATCGAGGTTCCACTCGAGCAACTGGCCTGACGCCTGATGTCCCCAAACAGCATTCTCAATGTATGCCCAATCCATCTCCACTTCCTTCCAGTGCATATTTGTTCAGCCATAGGTTCTTGCTTAGTTGGTTCGTTATCAAACAGAGTTCAGTTCCTTGTTCCTCATTCGTCCTGGCCATCTGATCTCATCTTCAGTAACGAGTCAGCGTAGACTGCAGCCCTTCATGAATGTTTGTAGTTTGTTGGAATTCCCTTTCGTAACGCGCCAAGTCTCCGAGCCATACAGACACACTGATTTGACGTTGGTGTTGAAAATCTGGATCTTGTTCACGCTGGATACTGAGTGCAGTGCAGAAGTTCTCCACACTGGTTTCAGATTAATGAAAGCCTGTCTTGCTGTCTTTCCGATTCTGACTTTGACATCTTCGTCAGTGCCACCTGTAGTTGAAACAGTGCTTCCTAGATAGGTGAAAGAGACTACTTCCTTTAAAGTTTCTCCCATTGATGGTGATTGGAGTTTGTTGTTGCTGTTGGTGGTGGTGGTGTTGGTTGGGTATGCATGATATGCGTGATATATCAACAAAAATTAACTATCTAGATTAATACACATAAAGACATGTTAAAGCATAGAAATATAACATACCGAAAGAATAACCCATGATAGCTACACGTGAAAGGTCAATAAGACCAGTAGCTTTAGCAGCATATCTCAAAAATGCCACATGATCATCAAGTTCAACTTGACCCTAAAATAACAAAGAAACATTGTACCATAAATGATGCAATCACTTTTTGTATCAGTAATGATGAATTAGAAAGAAATCTTTATGCATAAATAGGACCAGGCATTAAATGCGTAACAATCCAATTGGCCACCATACTTCATATTACTACATCAAGCAGAAAGGCAGTGAGGGGCAATATGAAGATAAAGTACTCGAAGACAGAGAGAAAGGAAGAATGACAAAATTGTGAGATTGGGTAGAGTGTCACTCCTCGGCCATGTCACCTAGAGTCTCCAGCTCCTTGTTTCTCATGTCCGACTGACCCCAACCACCTAGTCTGGTATTGCCCTACACTTCATACATCGATGCCATGTTTTAGTCTGGCCACCACGGGCCTTTTTCCAGCCTCGACCTACTTAGGCCAACATTGTGTGACGAGGCAATCGGTGTCCCAGCCATCTCAATCGATGAAGGTTAATAACCTCATCAACAGATTTACCTCTTCTCTCTCTGTCCCTTCCTAAAACTCTACACCTCACTTCTGCCTTACTCATGTGATGACACCATAGAATACGGCCTATACTACGAAGGCAATGGTGGTCAAACCCCTGAAGTCGTCTTATGTACTCCACCTTCAATGGCTATTTTTCACAGCCATACAGTAGAACAGAGCGGACTGCTGTGCAGTACACACCACCCTTAATAGACAGTCAGACATCATGGTGGCGGACACCATAGGTGGAGTAAATTAGCGAAAGCCAGTCGAACTTTTTGTAATCGTGAAGAAATTTCATCGGTCACTGAGCCACCTGAAACTGTAATCAACAAGCAGGCTTAACCAAAAAGACATAAGGATAGGAAGCAGGCTCAAACCGTTCATTTCCAACTGGATCCAAGAAAAGCAAAGGTATCATTGTGTTTTTTTTTCGAAAAAGGGAAATTTTCATAGGTTCCAGATTCGCATAACATGTTGTTATCGATCAGAACATTCTATTTATATTGTCGTTTTCATACCAGGATGACTACTAGTTAATTTTTTCCGATCCCATTTGCAATGTGACTCGCTGATTGGTTCATCTTTACTCTCCTAAACTGTCTTCTCCTCTATTCGTTCCAGGTTGCAGTCAGTAGATCTTACATATAAAGTTAGCTAGTCAGTTAAGTATAAACATCATATCCAATCGGAACATATATCAAAAGTGATTGTTATTATTTATTTGTCCCTTGGGTTCCTAATGGAGTATACAGCTTCAGTAACACATCTCCATTCCACACTCTTCTCCGCACTCTTTTCAACCTGGCTCCACAACTCCCCACAAGCGCTTATTTTTTTCCTCACACCATCTCCTTCATGTCACCTTCGCCTCCAACGCCCAACTCGTCGCTTCCCATCTGGGTTCCACTCGAGCAACTGGCCTGACGCTTGATGTCCCCAACCGGCCTCCTCCATGTATGCCCAATCCATCTCCACTTCCTTCCAGAGCATATTTGTTGAGTAATAGGTTTTTGCTACGTTGGTTCATTGCCAGGCCAGAGCTACGTGTTGCTTATTCTTACTGGCTATCCATCTGAGCTTCAGTAATGAGCCAGTGTAGGTAGTTATTGATGAATATCTGAAGTTTGTTGGAAATGCTTCTTGTAACGCGTCAAGTCTCTCAACCATCACATAGAAGCACTGACTTACTTGACTGACTTAGTGTTGAAAATCCGGATGTTGTTCACGCTTTATGGTGAGTGCAGAAGATCTCCACACTGGTTGCACCTTAATCAACGCATGTCTTGCTGTCTTTCTGATCTAGACTGCCTTTGACGTCCTCGTCTGTGCGTGTGTCGACTGTAGTTACAACAGTGCTGCCTAGATAGGTGATAGAGGCTACTTCCTTTAAGTTTCTCCCGTTCATGGTGATTGGTGCTTGTTGTTGTTGCTGGTGGTGTTGGTTGGGTATCTTCATCACCTACGTCTTTTCTATATTCACTTGAAGTCCCGTCTCCCTTCACTGCCCTGCCATGCCCCTTCTGTCAACTTGTTAGTTTTCGCCTGTACATCTTCGAGTTTGTGCCATAAGACATTAGACACAAGTCATCGACGAAATCCAAATCTTCTAGGTTCTTTTCCGCAGTCCAGCGTATCCCCCTCTTCTAGCTCCTGCTGCATGATCCAGTCCACTTTAATCAGCAATATCATGGGTGATAGTAGACAGTCTTGTTCTACTCCATGGCATTTTTTAATCTTTCCAGGATGATGTGGCTTAATATGTTGCTTGGAGTGGACAGGAGCATGATTTCGCGTCAGTTCTTGAAAAGATCTAGATCGTCTTCCTTCAAGAGTTTGATAAGGTAGCCCTTCTTCCAATCTGCAGGTACTTTTATTTAAAGTAAGCAGCGCTAGTTAATCTAACGTATAAATCATTAACTTACTAGTCGATTTTTAATATGACCATCAAATTGAATACCTCGATTAGCTGACCCACGACAATCACACAACAAAACTGCATAACCATAATGACAAAATAGTTGAGCATGAGAAAATCTATTGAATGAAAAAAGGAAAGAAAAATTGTTAAAATGTTCACTTTTAGGAAAGTGTGAACAGAAAGAGAAATACATTTTCAAACTATTATTATTATTATTATTTAAGACGTAGTATTCATCATAGACTGATATCAGTTGGGGAACCATTGGAAATCTGGAAACACTGGAAAGTATGGGACTCCTTAGCAGTAAGCATACACGACCCGGTTAGGAATCAAACCCGGGACCTTCAGGTTTCACGGCGAAAGCGTTAACTATTCAGTGGTTCACAATTTCCAACTTCTGTCAATTCACGACATAGCGTGACTGTCACCCAAGGTCTTCAGTTAGCATCCACTTCACTTCCCAGATTTTCAATGGTTCCCTAACTGATGTCAGTCCATGATGAATACTATTTCTTGATTGAAAATCACCATTCATCTCAAAAATACTATATTCTACAGCGCTCATTAGTGACTTGCGTCCAGATGGATATCACGAAGCTATAATGAGAAGCTGTGACCTGTGCGGTCAACCAGTCCGAAGCGAAGTGGATGCTAACTGAAGACCTTGGGTGACAATCACGGTATGTCGTGAATTGACAGAAGTTGGAAATTGTGAACCACTGAATGGTTAACGCTTTCGCCGTGAAACCTGAAGGTCCCGGATTTGATCCCTAACCGGGTCGTGTGTGCTTACTGCTGAGGAGTCCCATACTAGGACGAAACAGCTTTCCAGTGTTTCCAGATTTCCAATTGTTCCCCAACTGATGTCAGTCCATGATGAATACTACGTCTGAATTGAAAAGCCCAACTCATCTCAAAAATATATTACTATTGTTATTATTATTATTATTACTTCTATATCATACCATCGTTGATGTGACCGAATTGATCCGTCTCTATTGGCCTAAAGGCTCCTATGCGGATGCCTCGATATTACACCTGTGCTCTAATGGCAGCATGATGGATAGTGGTTAGCAGTGGAATCCAGGATGCGCATTTCGTTCTATTTGGGACTCATCATGCGCATCCTAGACTCCATTGCTAGCCAATATCCATCATCACTATTATCATTATTACTACTATTATACAGCTTAGTGAATAAGAACTTCAATAAAGTTGTGTTACAATAATCTAGAATGTCTATTATAATTGTGAAATCCGGGTACTGTGGCAGAATGTGATTCCTGTTAGATTTCTTTATACAATTGATACAATACACAGTGATACAGTATTACCTATTTACTTGATGATGATGTCACAAGCATAAATCAGCATGGCTCATAATCATACCTCATGTGTAATCATCACACTCAGCACTTTCGACATCCGGGTTTTTATAGTCCTGTCAGCCACCTCGAACTACTCGTTTCTATTGGTAGCAAACTGGTAGTCAATTCTCTAACTCAACTTCATCGACTTTCAAAAAGACCTTTGACAGCGTCGACCGACAAGTAATTTGGAAACTGCTTCAACACTACGTAATACTACAAACCTTTATCAGCCTCATTCAACAACTATATGAAGGCGCCATATACCAAGTGATTCACAAAGGAAAACTCAGTGATGCTTTTGAAGTGAAGACAGGAGTAAAACAAGGCTGCCACCTACTATCACCCATCATCTTCCTGATTGTGGTGAACTGGATCATGCAACAAACAGTGGAGAGGGAGAATAGGAGGATACGCTGGACTGAGGAATAGATCCTAGAAGATTTGGATTTCGTCGATGACTTGTGTCTAATGTCTTATGGCACAAACTCGAAGATGTACAGGCGAAAACTAACAAGTTGACAGAAGAGGCAAGGCATGGCAGGGCAGTGAAGGGAGACGGGACTTCAAGTGAATATAGAAAAGACATAGGTGATGAAGATACCCAAACAACAACAACAACAACAGCAAAGGCAAGAGAGGCACCAATCACCATGAACGGGAGAAACTTAAACGAAGTAGTCTCTTTCACCTATCTAGGAAGCACTGTTTCAACTACAGGTGGCACTGACGAAGATGTCAAAGTCAGAATCGGAAAGACAGCAAGACAGGCTTTCATTAATCTGAAACCAGTGTGGAGAACTTCTGCACTGCACTCAGTATCCAGCGTGAACAAGATCCAGATTTTCAACACCAACGTCAAATCAGTGTGTCTGTATGGCTCGGAGACTTGGCGCGTTACGAAAGGGATTTCCAACAAACTACAAACATTCATGAAGGGCTGCAGTCTACGCTGACTCGTTACTGAAGATGAGATCAGATGGCCAGGACGAATGAGGAACAAGGAACTGAACTCTGGCTGGCTGGCTGGCGACGAACCAACTAAGCAAGAACCTATGGCTGAACAAATATGCACTGGAAGGAAGTGGAGATGAATTGGGCATACACTGAGAATGCCGGTTGGGGACATCAGGCGTCAGGCCAGTTGCTCGAGTGGAACCCAGATGGGAAATGACGAGTTGGGCATCTGAGCGAGGGTGACATGGAGGAGATGGTGTGAGGAGGAAATGAGAGGTTGTGGGCTGTTGTGTAGTCAGGTTCAAAAGATTTCAGAGAAGAGAGTGGAATGGAGGTGTGCTACTGAAGCAGTATGTTATATTAGGAACCCTAGGGACAGATAATAATTAAAAATAATATCATATATCATGATCCCGACCGACTAGCTTGACCTATGTACTTGACCTCACTCACAGTCATTACATGGAATTTGATAGATCAGATTATCCTGTTTCATTTGTTCTATCGGATCCTTAAACAACTAAGCGACAAAATTTATCTCTGAATGAGATTGTAGGTTTAAATGTCACCCTAATTCCAGCTGTGTTGAGGATTCTACGTAAACTTTCTGAAGTACCTTCTGTATAGAGTAACACAATGGACACTCTGAACTCCTTTCTACTCGTCTTGTCTTTATTATTATTAAATGTGTCACTGTTGTTGTTTTTTTGTGCCTTCTGTGTTCGTATGAACATTTTAATGAAGTGTAGAGGATAATCATTAACTATTGGCGCTTATTTTACGCTCATTTTGTAAATGACGGATTAAGTCCAAGGTATATCATATGTAACGACTGCCGTCCCAATTATGAATGACATACACTTTTTCCGTCATGTCTGTTTTCTTGTTTCTTCAATTGGTGTCGCTACCTCTGCACGTGATGAAGATTCCGTGACATGCAGTGTTCAAGGATGAAGACATCAAAGTATCCCTCAGGGACTTCGAGTCGGTCTCGGAGCTGATGGGGGTCCGAGATCCAAGGGCGAAGGTCATGGTGCTGGGCACGTTGCTTAGGGGTAGAGCGAAAGCAGCATATGATGGCGTGGAACGCCGTCATGAATAGCAACAGGAACCTTGGTCGGTCAGTATTATTTTCGGCACACCGTGATCCACGACAATATGCCGCGTCACCGCTGCGGTCACTGTCTTCTCTCGTTGATCAGGAATTGTGACAGCATCTACCCATCGTGTAGCAATAGTAGTAGAATATAATCCCTTCTCAGAAGTCACTATAATCGATCTTTCTGGCATACAAAAACACGCCGAGATCATCTTGTATTAACTAACTAATGAGTAATCCACGTGTCCCTGGGACCTTGAAAGGTGTTGTTCCCTCCAGATACTTGATAATCGACTGTGTTTGAAAAACTCCAGTATTGTATTTAGTGAAGATTCGGATATTGTGAAACGTACCGTATTGATTGAGAATTGCTATTCACCTATAACCTATTCACTTTTTGATGCACAAATATGTTGAGTTAATTTACTTCTCCACTTATCTAGTATGTCATACTGGCTATGAATCAATCAAGCAAGACGTCAGATAGATAGACAGATAGACAGACAACAATACAGCAGAACATCGGAAACACATGGATCAGGTCAAGTTGGATTAATAGGATCTTTTATTTCCATGTGAGTTTGTAGGTTTAACTGTCACTTTAACTCCGCCAGCATTATTGAAAATCCTGTCAGTTGCCTTCCATATAGGATAATACTGGAAACGTTTTCAATTCTCTCTTCACAGTATGATCCATCATTATTATTACTAGTATTAACACGTATATTACTAATCAAACTATTCATATATTCCTAACGATTCCTAAAGAATTTATCATTTAATTTAGGAGGATAATTGCTGATGTATAAGGTGTTTTAGATCTTGTGTTCTACTAGGATATTTCTTGAAGGCTTTCTACAGATACTCACTACTAATGTCTGAACTCCTGTCCTGTTTGCCTTCCATTCTGTAATCCAACATCACTAATTCCCCATCATCATGTAATAACTAACTAATGAGTAATCCACATGACCTAGACCTTCACGTTGAACGTTTTCAACATTATTTTAGTCACATTTGTAATTGTCTGCATTCATTGAAGTGAAAGAGGCCATATCATGAGTTTTTTGAGCAATTCAACAGCTAGACTGGTCAACATATAATGCTGTGAATAATGTTTACAATTGATTGTTTAAATTATATTGGTTCTATCTTCCTTTGGCAAGTGAACATTCAACTTGCATTATATACTGTGTAGAGATTTCATTGATTTGTATGGTACTCCAAAGTTGAAGGGATGAAGCAATAGGTTCACCATTTCTGAAATATCTTTGATGTAAGTTAGAGTAATGTGCCTAGTGGGTTGAGTTAAATTCCGTTGTCATCTCTTCTGCTATTGGCTTTCTGTAGTACTTCTATGCTCTAATGTGTTTTGCCTCTTGAGAATACTGTTTGTATACAACATTTTTATAGACTGTAGGATGATTCCTGTTGTAGTTCAATATTTGATCAGTCTGTGTCTACATACTAAGGAATTTAATTGGTTCATTAATTTGGGGGTGGTGGGGGTGGGGGTTATTGTTGGTCATCTTCCGATTGACACTCACTAATGTCTGAACTCCTGTCTTGTTCTCCTTCCATTCTGTAATCCAACATCACTAATTCCCCATCATCATTTTCCAATTCATAAGTAAATTGGATTCTATTGACTACTCAATTCATAGGTGAAAATAGACTGTGGTATGCTTCGATTTCAACACTGTAAACGTGTCATCACATATGAAGAGCATAGTTTGGAAGCAGGACTAAATGTTTGCACAACCATCGTTTCTTAACTATGCATATATTTGACTCCATCGCGATACCCTTCTGTTTGTCTGTATATTTTTCATTCTGAAGTTCAAGGATCCCCTCTACTTAGTACCTTAATTCCTAGTGTAAGCTTATGGTCATTATTGAGATGATTTATGTTTCCAGTGTCATTCAAATCGATATCGACGTCGAAGCTAACCATTTTTCTCTGCCATCTAAATGTATGTCATCTCGATTTAGAACATGGATCTGTAATTGGACGTAGTATCATCGCCACAAGAAGGTGTATTTCTAATGTCAACTGTTAGTCTCATAGATAATCTGACTTATGAATTTTATCCGTATCATAAATTCTTTTTCAACTTACCACTTTGGTCTTTTTAAAACCTTATTCATAATAGTCTCCATCTTTTTCGAATATATGGAAACTGCTACTACCTATATCATAAAGGAGGAGGCATAGTTAGAACACTATCTGAAAGTTGTAGAGTGGCCAACGTTTCAGTGTCATGCTTGAAACTTCATGTTGCTATGTCGGGCCAAATTGCTCAACGTCTTTTGGCAGATAGGCCTTATTGAGGATACCTCGAGACCGCCTTAGTATACATTATGTTTTACTCTGGTTGATAACTCGATGAAATTGATCAGCTAGATTTACCTCGACGCCTGTGAATGATTTTGTTCCCATTAAGACTATAACCTAAATTCCATTGCATCGAAAACGCCAGAGGGTTATCCATTAGGAAGAAACACGCATCCTGGATTTGATTGGTAGCCATCAACCACACTAACAATTAGAAATGAATTGTGGTTATATAAGTGCAAAACCTTGGCACTGTGGTCGATTGTAATTCCATTTTAGTCTATTTATTAGAAATGTGACACACAGTGAAACGACAGTAGCATTTACTGGATATCTACGTTTCGGATACAATTCATTGTCCATATTCATATCAGGTAACTGGCTCCACAACTTCGAGACAGACCTTATATATTCCTAATTCTCTCTCCTTCTCTGTGATGATAAGGGTAGTAGAATTTTCCACATATCTGGGACAGGTGCACCATCATTTCGATTGCCTCATGTGTTTGGTGTTGATTCGACCAACGATCAATGAAGATTCACTCGGTTATCAATCTCTCCCTCCACCTCCACCCAACTAAGTTAGTTTTCAACACTGTCGCCCTATCCCATTCTACTTTGTGATTGATTGTGTGTCATCGCATGCAGAGCTATGACCAGGTGAGCTTTCTCTAGATTTCTTATCTTATTAGGTAGGATCTACTAATCTTGATTTAGCTAAGTTGTTGTACTTTGTTATTCTAATCGACTCTGGTCGACTGCTTTCACCTATATACTTGACCTCACAATCATTGTAAGGGATCTGGTAAACCAGATTATTTTGCTTCATTACATCAGTAGGATGTTTTAACCTACAAAGCTTGTTTCTAAGCAAGTTTGTTGGTTTGAATGCCACTTTAGTCCCAAACAGCCTTATTGAGAATTCTTCGTAATGCTTCTAAGGTGCCTTCCTTCTATAGTAAAACAGTAGAGGCTTTAAATTCTCTCTTAACCCTGCCGCCATTATTACCACAAGTAGTGAGATTATTATTAATAATACCTGTATTACTACTACTACTACTACTACTACTACTACTACTACTATCACTGCTAATATTTTTCTTTCGATTTCTTGTGAATTTATTTATATCTTATATCTTACTAATAAACTTCCGCTAGATAGATAGTCACTCACACACACACACACACACAAATTGATAACTTACATCGATTTCGAATAACTACCACGAACAAGTTGAATACCAGGACCACCGTAAACAAAGTGTACGGTAGGATAACCACCATTCATATGTCGACTATGATTATAATTTGGTAGAAATAATTGTCCATAAAGAATTGACTGTGGATTATTGAACTCAATATACGTTGATAAGGCATCTTGTTTCAGTGTTGTATTATCCTTCAAATTATTAACATCTAGATTACTGAATATATCACATCGAAGTATCATTGGTGGATTGGGTGGATGAAAACTATTGAAAGCATGATAATGCGATACTATAAAGGTGAGAATGACAAAAAAGAGGAATGAAAAAGATAATAATACTGATAAACACAGAGGAGATCCTAAAAGATTTGGATTTCGCCAGCGATTATGATTTATGTTTAATGTCTTGTGGCACAAACTCCAAGATCTACAAGCGAAAACTTACATGTTGACAGAAGAAGCAGCGAAGATGGGACTTCAAGTGAATGTAGAGAAGACAGAGGTGATGAAGATACGCAACCAACAACAATCACCAATCACCATCAACGGGAGAAACCTTAAGGAAGTAGCCTCTTTTACCCACCCACCTAGACAGCATCCTCTCAACTGCAGGCGGCACAGGCACAGATGAGGACGTCAAAGGCAGTCAGGATCGGAAAGACACCAAGACAGACCTTCCTGCATTAATCTGAAACAAGTGTGGAGATCTACCGTGCTCAGCATAAAGTGTGAACAATATCCGGATTTTAAACTCGAATTCAGTCAAGTCACTCAGTGCTTCTGTGTGATGGTTGAGAGACTTCGCGCGTTACGAAAAGCATTTTCAACAAACTAAAGATATTCATCAAAAGCTGGCGTCTACGCTCACTCCATACTGAAGATAAGATGGGCAGAATAATAAGAATAAACAACATGGAACTGTGGCTGACTGGCAACGACCCAACGAAGCAAGGACCTATCGCTGAACAAATTTGTACTGGAAGGAAATGGAGATGGGTTGAACATGAAGTGAGAAGACCATTCGAGGACATCACACGTCAGAGCAGGCCAGGCCAGGCTGTCGAGTGGAACCCAGATGAGAATCGACGAGTTGGGCGTCCGAGGCGATGGTGACACGGAGGAGATGGTGTGAGGAAGAAATGAGAGCTTGTGGGGTGTCGTGGAACCAGGTTGAAAAGATTGCAGAGAGGAGAGTGGAGTAGAGACGTGCTAGTGAAGCCCTATGCTCCACTAGGAACCTAAGAGATAAATAATAATAATAATACAAAGGAGAGTAGTGTGTTACGTGAATGTACCAGCCAGCCAGCCAGCCAGCCAGCCAGCCAGCCAGCCAGCCAGCCAGCCAGCCAGCCAGCCAGCCAGCCAGCCAGCCAGCCAGCCAGCCAGCCAGCCAGCCAGCCAGCCAGCCAGCCAGCCAGCCAGCCAGCCAGCCAGCCAGCCAGCCAGCCAGCCAGCCAGCCAGCCAGCCAGCCAAGAGTACGACTTCGTCCTACTACAACGGCAAATGCTTTTTTTCCCTAACCACTATCCAAGAGATATACGATGTATGATATGCAAGCCCGACCACCATGCAAGCAAATGGGAGTAAGAATCGTGATTGGGACTGAAGATGCAACTAATTGGCCTAGACAGTTGACTTTCGAACAATGTGTCATGTGTTGAAACCTCACTCTGTTTACTTCAGTCTGGTTATACTCGTTGGAGGATATACCCTTAAACAAGAGGTGTGATTCATAGCCTAGTACATAAACCTGTTCCAGGTACAGTTGGATTCAAGTAGTAGTGAAATACCCCTACTACATGTAGCCTATTCACTCTATTTGACTGAATAAATCTGGGTAAGTTTGAAGCATGATTCGGACCTATGCCTCAATGGTAGCAAGGAAACAGGTCATACCTCTAACTACTTCAAAGCGGCATTCTGCTCCTTCAAGCAAGAGGTCTTCTGGATGTATCTCTCAGTAAGAGAGTTATCGAGTAAGTGTGTCACACTGTTGAAAGCTTTGTACAAAATACTCGTCAGCGTGCCAGAGCTTATTTTGAAGTATCAGACGAGGGGTTTTTCTATAATGATATCCATTCTCTTCATTGTTAGCTAACCTTTTTCACAGAAGTACTCACACAGATCTCTTTTATAGTCCGTCATCTTCTCATAGAGGAACGCTTAGTCGATTTAGAGTACGCAGGTGGCACAGTCCAGTCAGCCAGCCAGCCAGCCAGCCAGCAAGAGTTCCTTATTCTTATTATTCTAGCCATCTGATATTGAGTATCGAGCGTAGGCACCTGTTGATGAATGTCTATAGTTTGTTGGAAATAATTTCCATAACGTGACAAATTTATGAACCATATAGCAGCACTGACTTACTTCACTGAATTGGTGTTGAAAAATCGGATGTTGTTCACACTTTATGCTGAGTGCAGTAGACCTCCACACTGATTTCCAGTTAATGCAGGAAGGCCTATCTTGCTCTCTTTCCCATCCTCGCATTCATACACTTATCTTTGTGCCACCTGTACTTGAAACAATGCTATCTTTGCAGGTAGGTGGAAGAGATAATCTCGTTTAGATTTCTCTCATTCATGGTGATTGGTGCTTGTTGTTGATGCTGTTGTTGGTTGAGTATCTGCATCACCTCTGTCTTCTCTATCTCCACTTGAAGACAGTCCCGTCTTCGCAACCCTGCCTCTTCTGTCAACTTTTCGACTTTCGCCTGTACATCTCCGAGTTTGTGCCACTTTACACATTAGACACAAATCATCGTCAGCGGAATTCAAATCTTCTAGAGTCTTTTCATCGGTCAAACAGCCAGTGTATGACCATCTTCTCACAACTCCTCACAGTTATTTCTTCCATGATCCAGTTGAGTCGAGTCGAGTTGAGTTTAGTCGACCACAGTGAGGAAGGTGATGGGTGATAGTCGACAACAACCTTGTCTTATCTGTCAACCTGTCCTCTTCACTTCACTTCGAAGGCGTCACTGAGCTTTCCATTGTCAATCACTCGGCATGTAGAATCATCATATAGCATGTGGCTGGTGTTGAATGAGGTTGATAAAGGTTTGTGTCACTAAAACCGTAGGTTTGGAGCAGCTGCGAAATTACTTCACGGTCGACACTGTCGAAGACCTTTTGAAAGTTGGTGAAGTTGACATAAAGAGTTGAATGACATTTTATGCTCTGTTCTATGATGATGTGTAGCGTTGCGTTGCAATTTCATCCGAAGATCATTCATTTTTCGTGAAGCCAGACTTCTCTGGTCGTAATTTTGAATCTGGAGTACTTTTTAAGTCGTACAATATGTAACACAATTATCAATATAAAAATGCGCATTCGTGTAGTAGGTAATGACTTATTTTGTGTTATGGCTAACGATATTACCACCATCACCACCTGGCTGTTTTAACTTTCTTTATGCAGAACGGGTTTCGAACCCGCGACTCATTCTTTGAAAGTCATCTCTTAACATAGATGAACGACAGCTTCATAAGGAATTATCTAGTTTATATCCTAAGATATTTTATCGATATTCAAAGTGGAGGAGGAGGAGGGATGAAAATGAGGGTAAAAAGTGCTTACCATGTTTACGAAGCCATCCAATATGTTGAAGAATTGGTTGATGATGTAGAACAGATTGATTCATTTCATTTTCATTAGTTGAGATAATCATACGACAGACTTGAACACCGACAAGTTGATCTAGGCTACTCGATTCAATTACAATTATACCACACTGTATATTCATTCCAACTATTTCATATGATAAAGGATATGGTTTTAAGCGTAAATATGCATCACGAAAGTGTGGATCTAAAATATTCTCTTCATTAATATTTATAGATAAAGATGATTCTGATAGCATATTGACATCTTCAACAGTTTTCATTGTTTCAGTGTAATCACCAATGTTAAAAAGGTTAGATGTTAAACAGCTCAATCGACTGCAATCTGTTTCTCTATAACTTACACAATACCTAGATAAATATGTTTTTTTTTAAAATTGGGAACCGAAAAAATAAAATTAGCAAAAAAACAATCATACAACTAACTACAAATTGACAATTTTCTATCAGTAAAAAGGAGAATATATAATCATAGTAGAAGGTATGAAGAGATAACTAGTTATCGAATACACGTAGCTTTCGAGGAAGTGCTTATCTATGGTCGAATCACCATGTAGGCAGCAATGTAGAGGTTAGACGAATGATATATGCAGGGAAATTGTGTTCTTTAGAATTCATATTCATCGATAATCTTCTCTCAGTTACGCTTAAGTTTCGAAGACAAAGTCTACAAAGGCATTGCGTGTAATTCTGATGAAGTTAAAGGGTATTTGTTTATATTTTTGATCAAATTATGACCAATACTCTGACGCCTAAATCACCGTTTCCCCATTTGAATTCCGCTCAACGGCATGGTTTGAAGCGCAATGTCCTAAGTTGGTATTCTCAGTGCATGTCCAATCCATCTCGACTTCCGTCTGCATATTTGTTCAGCGATAGGTTCTATGTTGGTTCGTCGATAGGCGGCAGCTGTAGATGAATGTCTATAGTTTGTTGGAAATGCCTTTCGTGACACGACAAGTCTCAAACAAACAGCACCAATTATTTGACTGAATCGGTGATGTAAATCCCGATATTGTTCACGCTTCATGTTGAGTGGAGCAAATCTCCACACTGGTTTCCGGTTCATCAAAGCCTGTATTGCTGTCTTTCCGATCCTGGAGTTGACGTCCTCGTCTCTGCCGTCACCTGAAGTTGAGATGATGCTGCCTAAGTAGGTAGTTGAGTGAAAGAGACTACTTCTATTAGGTTTCTCCCGTTGATGGTGATTAGTGCCTGTTATTGTTGTTACCTGGTTGGCTGTGTGTTATCACCTATGTCATCTCTACGTTCATGTGAATACAGTCCCGTTTTCGCTGTCCTGATCTGACCTGACCTGCCCTACCTCTTCTCTCAACTTGCTACTTTTCGCTTGTAAATTCTCCACTTTGTGCGACATTACACATTAAACATAAATCATCATCATCATCATCATCATCATCCTCATCATCGGTGAAATCCAAATCTTCTAGAGTCTTCACATCCGTCAAACAGACAGTGTATGCCCATCTCACAGCTCCACACGGGTTGTCGTTGCATGATCTAGTCGACACAATCAGCAAGATCATCCGTGATAGTAGACAGCCTTGTTTTACTCCCCCCTATCTCTACTTCAATGGCGTCACTGACATTTCCATTGTGGATCACTCGGCATATTGCCTTTCTATATAGCTGTTGAGTGAGGTTGATAAAGATTTGTGGCACTCAGTTATGCTGATGCAACTGACAAGTTACTTGTCGGTTGATGCTTCTATCCAAGGTCTATTCAAAGTCGATAAAGTTGAGGTAGAGAGTTGAATGCCATTCTATACTCTCTTCTATGATGATCCACAGCATAGTGTTGCAATTTGATGTGCATATGATTTATTCTTCCTGAAGTCAGCCAGCCAGCTTGTTCCAATCGTAATTTTCAATCGAGCGTGTCCTTTAGTCTTTCCAGCATGATGCAGCATAATATTTAGCTTGGGTTGCTTGAGGTATTCTAGTTCTAAATTACCATTATCACTTGTGAGGAAAACCTCGCCTAGTTTACTAGTTTCCTGGCTGGTCCTAAGCCCGGATAAATAGGGAAGGTTGGGCATACGGCTACCAACCCTACTCCGGAAAACCAATCCCATCCAATCGCTAAAGAAACTTCGAAGTACAGAGAAAATATAAAAAATAAAAATAAACTGATTCTTCGCTAGAGTCGGGGAGACGAAATGATGCCTGTTGGTGAAAGTATTCGAGAAGCCAGTCGGCCGATGTATCTTCTCTCGATGAAAACGAAAGTAAGCATGCGGACATGGAATGTCCACAACATATATGAACCTAGCAAGGCTGCCCACATTGCAAAACAAATAAGAAGACATGGCATAAAAAGTGGTAGGAATCTACGAAAGTAGATGGAATGGAAATGGACTCTCCAAACCGCCAACTGGAGTGTCAATGATCTACTTCGGTCACCCAGACGATAACCAAGAGCACAATCAGGAAGTGGCCACGATGATGGCGCCTTCAAGAGCATCATAAGCTCTTATACAGTGACAGCCAGTCTCGTCCCGCAGGATCATGACAGCAATATTCAAATAAAAAGGAAGGAAAGTTATAATCATACAATGCTACGCACCTGCAAACTTTACAAGGACTGGCAGGAAATAATGCTCCTGTTTAAACCAATTAAAACATTAAGCCACACAATCCTGAAGAGACTAAAAAATGCTCTAGTTGCAAAATTAGGACCGGTAAAGGCTGACTGGCTGGTAGGCTTCAAGAAAAATAAAACAAATGAGGATAAAATTGCAACGATACGCATCAGCACAGAACTAGATCTTTACCTCAACTTCATCGATTTTGAAAACGCCTTCAACAGTGTCGACCGTGAAGTAATTTCGCAGCTGCTCCAAACCTACGGTTTTAGTGACACAAACCTTTATCAACCTCATTCAACACCAGCCACATGCTATATGATGATTCTACATGCCGAGTGATTGACAATGGAAAGCTCAGTGACGCCTTCGAAGTGAAGTGAAGAGGACAGGTTGACAGATAAGACAAGGTTGTTGTCGACTATCACCCATCACCTTCCTCACTGTGGTCGACTAAACTCAACTCGACTCGACTCAACTGGATCATGGAAGAAATAACTGTGAGGAGTTGTGAGAAGATGGTCATACACTGGCTGTTTGACCGATGAAAAGACTCTAGAAGATTTGAATTCCGCTGACGATGATTTGTGTCTAATGTGTAAAGTGGCACAAACTCGGAGATGTACAGGCGAAAGTCGAAAAGTTGACAGAAGAGGCAGGGTTGCGAAGACGGGACTGTCTTCAAGTGGAGATAGAGAAGACAGAGGTGATGCAGATACTCAACCAACAACAGCATCAACAACAAGCACCAATCACCATGAATGAGAGAAATCTAAACGAGATTATCTCTTCCACCTACCTGCAAAGATAGCATTGTTTCAAGTACAGGTGGCACAAAGATAAGTGTATGAATGCGAGGATGGGAAAGAGAGCAAGATAGGCCTTCCTGCATTAACTGGAAATCAGTGTGGAGGTCTACTGCACTCAGCATAAAGTGTGAACAACATCCGATTTTTCAACACCAATTCAGTGAAGTAAGTCAGTGCTGCTATATGGTTCATAAATTTGTCACGTTATGGAAATTATTTCCAACAAACTATAGACATTCATCAACAGGTGCCTACGCTCGATACTCAATATCAGATGGCTAGAATAATAAGAATAAGGAACTCTTGCTGGCTGGCTGGCTGGCTGGCTGGCTGGCTGGCTGGCTGGCTGGCAATGAAGCAACCACGAAGGCGTCACCCAAGGAATATGCAGATGGAGAAAGTGGAAATGGATTGGGCATGCAGTGAGTTGACGGTTTGGGGATATGACGCGTCAGTTCAGGCCACGCCAGGTCCTCGAGTGGAATGTAAAGAGGAAAGGACTAGTTGGGCATCTGAGGGTGACATGGAGGAGATGATATGAGTAAGAAATGAAAGTTTGTGGGCAGTCGTGGAACCAGGTTCAAAAGAGTGGGGAGAACAGAGTGAAATTGTGATGTGCTACCAAAGGCTTATGTTCCACTGGGAACGCAAGGGACAACCTATGCAACAGCTGCTGCCATGTGAACAATGTTGAAGTAAGGTAAGGGATACTAGTCAGCATAGGTAAGTTGACTGATGAGGTTGTGAATCTTCAGTGACTGAGATGGCTAGGATATGCACTGGATATGTTGAGTTACCGCCTACCTCGATATGTCATGCTCAGAGAAGTTGACTAAGGCTGGAAGACGGTTCGGGATAGTTACAGTAAAGTATAGCAACATTGCATGTATACTTTCTGGGTAAGGATCCCAAGGTAATAGGAATGATTGGTTGTGAACTCTTGGTGATATGACTGAAAATCGTTCACAATGGCGCAGATGTATTCACCATTTAACGTCGTCTAAGGCCTTAATATTCTTTTCTATCCACTTGTTTTTTTTCAAGTTTATATTCATCATGGACTGACAGGAATTGACAGAAATTGGGAATATGAAACTAAATTCACCTCCTTTTTTTGTTATACTACTGAAAAGTGTGGTAATTAGTGCTAATCTACTTCTATAACAGATTCTCAGTTGATATGTCTGTCTATCTTCTTGTAAAGATATCTAAACAGATGATACTCCTAGATTAATATCAGAACGTTCGTAATTCGGCAACTCTGTGCATTTTGATTCAATAGGTAATGAACTGTACCTTTTGTGTAAGAACTAAATCATACCACCTAATTGAGAAAACATCCTTAGATGGCGCTAGGTCTAAATATGATTATAAAAAAAACATAGACATGGACAAAATTATTAGAAAACCATTAAAACTGAATAACTGTCATTATATAGCTTACACATGTCTTAGAAGTGGATGTTCTTTATTTGCTTCAAAATAAACTAACTGATTATCTTCATCAATCCAAATCTGTACAAAAATGTGCCGAAAAAAAAAATTGATAAAAACCAATATTAAATAAGATTATAGAATAAATTTTAAAGTCAATAATAATTATATATATTTGAAAGAACTAGCTAGGAATCATGTTGCTGTCCACCTCAAGCAAAATATTATGCTGCATCATGCTGGAAAGACTAAAGGACACGCTCGATTGAAAATTACGATTGGAACAAGCTGGCTGGCTGACTTCAGGAAGAATAAATCATATGCACATCAAATTGCAACACTATGCTGTGGATCATCATAGAAGAGAGTATTGAATGGCATTCAACTCTCTACCTCAACTTTATCGACTTTGAATAGACCTTGGATAGAGGCATCAACCGACAAGTAACTTGTCAGTTGCATCAGCATAACTGAGTGCCACAAATCTTTATCAACCTCACTCAACAGCTATATGAAAAGGCAATATGCCGAGTGATCCACAATGGAATTGTCAGTGACGCCATTGAAGTAGAGATAGGGGGAGTAAAACAAGGCTGTCTACGATCACGGATGATCTTGCTGATTTTGGTCGACTGGATCATGCAACGACAACCCGTGTGGAGCTGTGAGATGGGCATACACTGTCTGTTTGACGGATGGTAAGACTCTAGAAGATTTGGATTTCGCCGATGATGATGATGATTTGTGTCTAATGTGTAATGTCACACAAAGTGGAGAATTTACAAGCGAAAAGTAGCAAGTTGAGAGAAGAGGTAGGGCAGGGTAGGGCAGGTCAGGTCAGATCAGGACAGCGAAAACGGGACTGTATTCACGTGAACGTAGAGATGATACAGGTGATAACACACAACTTACCAGGTAACAACAATAACAAGCACCAATCACCATCAACGGGAGAAACCTAATAGAAGTAGTCTCTTTCACTCAACTACCTACTTAGGCAGCGTCGTTTCGACTACGGGCGCCGCACAGGCAGAGACGAGGACGTCAACTCAAGGATCGGAAAGACAGCAATACAGGCTTTCATGAACCTGAAACGAGTGTGGAGATTTTCTCCACTCAGCATGAAGTGTGAACAACATCCGGGTTTTCAACATGAACTCTTTCAATTCATTGCTTCTATGCGATAGTTGAGAGAATTGTCGCGTCACGAAAAACCTTAGCCTTAACAGCTGTCGCCTAAGCTCACTTGATACTGAAGAGGAGATCAAATGGCCAGAATAAGAAGAATAAGCAACAAAGAACTGTGGGAAGGAACCAAAGAAGCAGGAACCTATCGTCAACAAATATGCACTGGAAGGAAGTGAAGATGGATTGGGGATACACTGAGAAGGCCGAATTGGGACATTACGTCGCCCCAGGCCAGGCCGTCGAATGGAATCCAAATGGGAAACGACAAGTTGAGCGTGCGAGGCGAGGGTCACATGGAGATGATATGAGGAAGGAACGAAGGCTTATAGACAGTCGTGGAGCCAGGTTCAAAATACCGCAGAGAATAGAGTGGGATGGAGGCGTGCTACCGAAGCCCTATGTTCCACTAGGAACCTAAGGGAAAAATGAATATGTAATAATGAGGAATTATTAATCATGGTTCGAAACCTCGCCTAGTTTACTAGCCGGTCCTAACCTCGGATAAAAAAGAAACGTTGGACGTGGGGCTAGCAACTTTATCTCCCGAAAAACCGTTTCCATCCCTAAAGAAACTTCAAAGCACAGAGAAATTATATAAAATATACTTATTCCTCATTGAAATCGGGTTGACGAAACGACATTGGTTGCTGAAAGCCTTCAGGAAGCCAATTAGCCGATATATCTTCTCTCAATGAAAGCAGCGTAAAAGAACACTGAAACTCTGTAAAAGCGACGTGACCCAGTGGTCAATGGTTCGAATCCGGCTACAGTTCAATTTTTCAATTTCACCTTCAATCATCACCCAGTATAATTACTAGTCTGTCAAACAACGACTGCTATCTGTACAAGATCCACACGATGTTCAATATACAACGAAAATCTTTTTTTCAATTTACATTGTCAATAGCCGTTAGAGTGCAAACCTGCACCTTCACCCCTCCCCCTTCCAACTCAAAAAATAAAGTTTCACTATTCTTTTTTTCAAAAAAAAAAACGGTTATGTAATATATAAAAGCGAAATAAATAACTTTTAATAATCACCTGATCTCCTGTAACCTCCCAGTGACCAGTAGTCAATGGAGTAATAAAATCTTGTTTAGCTTTGATAAGTACAGCTGACTCTTTTGTAATGGTTACAGTAGTAACAGTATGATCAGTATTATCACCAATCGTTGTTATATCATGCCTAGGCCAGGAACACTGTATAAGATACAAATGCATAAAACCTGATCTATGAGAAGCCCATATGAAAGTGCAATGATTCCCTGGAAGACTTTTATTATTATTATTATTATTATTATTATTATTATTATTATTATTATTATTAGTAGTAGTAGTAGTAGTAGTAGTAGTAGTAGTAGTAGTAGTAGATGATGAATAATTCATCGGCATGGGACACCAGGAATGCTTTAAGAAGTTCAGAAAATCATGAACCTAAAAACAAAATGAAATGAAAGGGATTAGTCACTGAATAGATAGAAATTTTCTTCTAAAATTATAAACAATTAAGTTGATTTGTATACCTTGTGAAAATTATGCTTAAGTTATATGTATCAGTATCAGTGAACGCTCTTCTAACCTAACTCAGTATACCTTAACATGGTATATCAAGGTCGGCAGTGATCGGTCATATCTTTCAGCTCTAAAACACGATAGAATGAAGATGTGAAGATTCACGAAAATATTCGAAACCTTCAAGATAATAATAATGATGGAATCCAGGATGTGCATTCCATTCTATTTGGGATTCATCAGCTGGATGTACTTGCCTCCCAGTGAGTGATATTGTTCCCACTGGGATTCAGACACTAAACTGACCACTTCAAACGACAGAGCGTTACCCACTACATCAACGAGCAACACGATAGCCACTTCTTGTGCGACGAGTATTATTATTATTATTATATGTCCTTTGGGTTCCTAATGGAACATAGGACTTCAGTAGCACGTCTCAATTCCACTCTCTTCTCTGTAGTCTTTTCAACCTGGCACCACGACTGCCCACAACCTCTCATTTCCTCCTCACACTATCTCCTCCATGTCACCCTCACCTCCAACGCCCAACTCGTTGTTTCCCATCGCGGTTCCACTCGAGCAACTGCCCAGACGCGTGATGTCCCCAGTCAGCCTTCTCAGTGTATGCCCAATCTATCTCCATTTCCTTCCAGTGCATATTTGTTCAGCGATAGGTACTTGCTTAGTTGGTTCGTTACCAGCCAGAGTTGAGTTCCTTGTTCCTTATTCTTCCTGGCCATCTCAGCTTCAGTAACGAGTCACTGTAGACTGCAGCTGCTGATGAACGTCTATAGTTTGTTGGAAATCCCTTTCGTAACGCGCCAAATCTCTGAACCATACAGAAGCACTGACTTCACGTTGTTGTTGAAAGTAGCCTGATACTACCTGAGTGAAACTATGGCCAGGATTGAGAAAGGTGTACTAGGAATAGATTTTTCTAGTCAAAACATCGCATTGTATGCTTTATGGCCGACATTTTATGCCATAAATCGATTATAACCCGTTACTCGCTACTTGAGGCTCAAAATCCGGTATCTCCGTTTAAACAACCAGTCAGTCGGTAATCGCGTTAAATATGAGTTCCCTATTTAGCACACTTCTACGAATAAATTTGATTACACTGATGACTGAATACGTCATCGTAAGCAGATGTTATCCATCATAAAATTTACAGTTGATGTTGATGTACGTCAAAATGAAAACTAATCCAATTTGTAACTGAAAAATATACTATTAGTTTCCATGGAATAAAGTACATCTTTACATTTACTTGGTTTCCTTTCATTTCGATCAACTAGACGATTGAATCTTCTGATCAATCGGCTATTGCCCCCCCCCCTTTAGCGGCATGTTTTTTAGACAGTGTTTTGCATAATAGACATCTCTATAGTTACGACAATGGGATGGAAGTTGTGGATTTGATTTGCATAGCACAGTTGTGTGATGAGATGTATAAGTTGCATTTAGGTTTATATGAGCGTTTGGATGTAAGTAATTTCACCTTTCAAGGTGACTGTTGACTTCCTGGCAAATTATTATCATTATATACTATTATTTGTCCATTGGGTTCCTAACGGAACATACCGCTTCAGTACCATGTCTTCCTTTTACTCTCTTCTCTTCAGTCATTTTAAACTTACATACACATCAGGACAGAAGCTCTCATTTCTTCCTCACACCATCTCCTCAATGTCACCAACGCCCAACTCGTCGATTCTCATCTGGGTTCTACTCGACGGCCTGGCCTGGCCTGCTCTGACGCGGGATGTCCCCGAATGGTCTTCTCACTTCATGTTCAACCCATCTCCATTTCCTTCCAGTGCATATTTGTTCAGCGATAGGTTCTTGCTTCGTTGGTTCGTTACCAGTTAGTCACAGTTCCATGTTGTTTATTCCTATTATTCTGTCCATCTGATCTTCAGTATCGAGTGAGCGTAGACGCCAGCTTTTGATGAATATCTTTAGTTTGTTGAAAATGCTTTTCGTACGCGCGAAGTCTCTCAACCATCACATAGAAGCACTGAGTGACTTGACTGAATTGGTGTTGAAGATCCGGATGTTGTTCACACTTTATGCTGAGCACGGTAGATCTCCACACTAGTTTCAGATTAATGCAGGAAGGTCTGTCTTGGTGTCTTTCCGATCCTGACTGCCTTTGACGTCCTCATCTGTGCCTGTGCAGCCTGTAGTTGAGAGGATGCTGTCTAGGTGGGTGGGTGAAAGAGACTACTTCCTTAAGGTTTCTCCCGTTGATGGTGATTGGTGATTGTTGTTGGTTGCGTATCTTCATCACCTCTGTCTTCTCTACATTCACTTGAAGTCCCATCTTCGCTGCTTCTTCTGTCAACATGTAAGTTTTCGCTTGTAGATCTTGGAGTTTGTGTCGCAAGACATTAAACATAAATCATAATCGCTGGCGAAATCTAAATCTTCTAGGCTCTGAGGCTCACTCCACACGGTTTGCAGCATGATCCAGTGGACCACAATTTGGAAGATTATAGGCGATAGTAGGCACCCTTGTCTTACTCCTGGGGTATTATGTTTAGTCTAAGGATATTATTTGGTTATTCACGTCTAAAAGAGTGGTGTTCCAGTTGCAGTACATATTAAAATATGTTGTATGAAGTAGTCAACGAATAGCCAGGATGTCAAAGATCAACCTAATAAAACTTAACGAGAAGAATATACATATGTGTATTGTTGGTCTTCGTCACAGCATAGTTTCAACTACACGTGGGATAGATGACAACATCAAAGCCAGCCAGGATCCGACAAGCAAGACAGGCTTTTATAATCAGTGTGGCGGTCTACTGCACTCAGCATAAAGTGTGAACAATATCCGGATCTTCAACACCAATTCAGTCAAGTCACTCAGTGCTTCTATGTGATGGTTGAGAGACTTGGCACGTTACGAAAAGCATTTTCAACAAACTAAAGATATTCATCAACAGCTGGCGCCTACGCTCACTCCATACTGAAGATCAGATGGACAGAATAATAAGAATAAACAACAAGGAACTGTGGCTAACTGGTAATGACCCAACGAAGCAAGAACCTATCGCTGAACAAATATGCACTGGAAGGAAATGGAGATGGGTTGAACATGCAGTGAGAAGACTATTCGGGGACATCACACGTCAGACCAGGCCAGGCACTCTAGTGGAACCCAGATGAGAATCGACAAGTTGGGCGTCCGAGGCGATGGTAACATGAAGGAGATGGTGTGAGGAAGAAATGAGAGCTTCTGTCCTGACGTGTATGTAAGTTTAAAATGGCTGAAGAGAAGAGAGTAAAAGGAGACATGGTACTGAAGCGGTATGTTCCGTTAGGAACGCAATGGACATATAATAATAATATTAAGACGACACATCTATATAGTGCTGTCAAGTTTTCAATCATTCCCGAAGTGATAATAGTTCATGATGATAGTAACTCAGTATCAAGGAATCCATAAAGTTCACTTCTTTTCCAATTTTATGCATCTTTTGTTTTGTAAAATCATTACTCTAAACCAATAAACTAGAGGTTCAGAAATTGTTTTCGTTTCTATTGAAACCATTCAACTGTAAATAACAATCGTTTATTACCTTGATCCAAAATTTTGGCTCTTCTTCACTTAATAATTCAATACACGGTGAAATCGATAAAACCGATGATGATGATGATGATGATGATGATGATGATGATGATGATGATGATATTCCAACTGAATATTGATTATTGACAAGAATAGTTGTAATGGAACAAAAATTATCGATTGGAATTAAAATTAATGAAAGACGCTGTTGTAAACGCGTAATCAATTGACACCAAACACTGAATGATGAGAAAGAAAAGAAAAAACAGGAAAAGAGAAAAACATAACTAAAGATAAATTATTTCGCTAAAAACTTGGTTGTATGCAAAACTATGAGGGGTATAATGAGGATAATTCGTTAATATTTCGTATAGACCTCCTGGCTCAGTTGATAAAGATGGTTAATTATACAAGTCACTACAAGCACCTTCTCATCCTACATATGATGCTGTATAGGATTATGAACACTTCTATACTAGGATTGAATAATTATCTAAAACTCTGTTTATCATTCAGATAATTCAGGCTTATAGTAGATTTTCGTAACATTCCAACTTACTAGTTGTCTAAATATATTTACTAATGGTGTTAAGTAGCAATAGGAAATCATTCAAAGTCTCGACTTACCAACTCTTATGACTTAAAATATGGATTAGACGACAGTGAGAGATGGTTATTTTTTAATATAGGTAGCCTTTACGCGAATATATACCGATCGACATGGCTCTAGAGGCAGTTCGAAATGAACTTAAAGATGACAAACAACTTAAGCAGCGAACCAACCTGCCGATTGATGAAATCATACTAGGAGTACGATTGTGCCTAACATCTACAGTTTTTAAGTTTCAAAATAAAAATATATAAACAAACTGAATGTGTTGCCATGGGATCATCAATATCCCATATCGTCGCAGACATATTTATAGATAGTTAGGAACAGGGTGGCCCTTCAAACATTTACTCCTACTCAAAAGATATGGTTCCGATATATGTAGATGATACGTTTACAGTACTGAAATCGGAACACATCAATAGGTTCCTGGCACATAAAAGTGAATACAACCCAATTTACCTGTGACTTAGATAGTGATGAAGGTGAGCATAGTAATGTTGGATTGTAAGATTAAACGAACATAAGAAATAAATCTGGAGACTAGTGTCGTTTATAGGAAATTTACCTATTCGAATCGCTACTTAGACTTCGAATCCTCCCACCCCATTCCAGTTAAAGTAGGCCTAGGTAAATGCTTAAGTGATAAAACGAAAAAGCTTACTAGTAGAAGAGAAAATCTACAACAAGAAATTAGATACATTGAGAATACCCTACGTCTCAATAACTACCCACTTAGCTAAATCAAGATTAGTAGATCCTACCTAATAAGATAAGAAATCTAGAGAAAAGCTCACCTGGTCATAGCTCTGCATGCGATGACACACAATCAATCACACAGTAGAACGGGATAGGGCGACAGTGTTGAAAACTATCTTAGTTGGGTGGAGGTGGAGGGAGAGATTGATAACCGAGTGAATCTTCGTTGATTGTTGATCGAATCAACACCAAACACATGAGGCAATCGAAATGATGGTGCACCTGTCCCAGATATGTGGAAAATTCTACTACCCTTATCATCACAGAGAAGGAGAGAGAATTAGGAATATATAAGGTCTGTCTCGAAGTTGTGGAGTCAGTTACCTGATATGAATATGGACAATGAATTGTATCCGAAACGTTGTTATCCAGTAAATGCTACTGTCGTTTCACTGTGTGTCACATTTCTAATAAACAGACTAAAATGGAATTACAATCGACAACAGTGCCAAAGTTTTACTCCTATATTAATTCAGTAAAGAAAATTCATTCCTTCGCTCTGTTCTGCTGAATGGCTGTGAAACATGGCCATTGAAGGTGGAAGACATGAAAAGGTTTAGGGTGTTTAACCACGGTTACCTTCGTTGTATAGGCGGTGTATCGTGAGGTCACGATGTGAGTGAGGCAGAAGTGAGGTGTAGAGATTTAAGGAGGGAGGGAGAAGAAGTAAGTCAGTTGATGAGGTTGTGAAGCTTCGTTGACTGGGGTAGCTGGCTGGGACATGTGTTGTGTATACCTAGTCATTGTCTGCCTCGTCACATACTGTTAACCGAAGAAGGTTCAGTCTGGAAAATGGCCCGAGGCGTCCAGACTAGAACATGACATCGAAGTATGAAGTGTTTGACTATTGGTTTGAGCCATGTGTAGCGATTCAGACTAGCGCGTTGGGGTCGACGGGACAAGAGGAAGCAGTGGTTGGAGAATCTAGGTGATATGGCTCAGAACTGATGTCAATAGTGCAGATGTATATATATATATATATATATATATATATATATATATATACACGCATTATCTTCATGTTAACCACGCTATGCCAAATCCCACCGTGTTCTCACTCTTCCTTTTTTCTCTCTCTCTCCTTTAGTACTTCAGATTTCTTTTGACTGAATTTTCTTTTCTCCATCTTCTACTTCACTGAGTTTTCATTTGATGTAGTGATACGAGGTGTGGCAAGTATCACAGTATGAGGAATGTTGAGGTCAGGCAAAGGATACTAGGCAACATAGGCAAGTCGTTTGATGAAGTTGAGATGGCTTAGACAGGTACTGAGCTTGCCGAGCCACCACCTACTTCGACGTGCGTTACTAGGGGAAGTTGGATTAGGTTGAAATAGGGTTCAGTGTGGCCAAACCAAGACGTGACACCAGTTCACCAAGTCCCTGACTGTTGGCTTGAGTTTTGCGGGGCAGTGTAAAGTGCCTGGCTGAAGTCCCAAAGAGCATGGCTGAAAATCGGTCGGTCACAATACCACGGATGTTTTCACTCCTTGGCATCTTATAAAGCTTGACTATTTGCATTATCCGTTATCTTAAGATAGTTTCTTCTCTCACACCACTTCATGTTTTTTTATATCACCCTTTTTCTATCCATCTGTTCTCGGTATACTATTATGTCGAGTGTGGCACAATGAACCAGTGTACTTGTATGCAAGGCTATACATTAGCTTCGTCTCTCTCTCTTACTTCAATAGCAATAGATCTAGTTCAAATTTGACTTCTGATTCAGTTAGCAAATCAATGTCGCGTATTACAAACGATTGATATTCATGAAGCAGAAAAAAATGCTTGTTCAAGCAAACGTATTAGGCGTACGTAATCTAGAATATCATCTGTACTTAACAGCCTACTGAACAGCTAGAATGAGTAGTTACAAACCACCCAGAATGATCTGTAGATAGAATTACCCGATGGTCATTTTTCACTAACTTGGAGTCATACTACCTCCAATGTTAACTATATGTCTGGTTTATCCTTGATTGAATTATGTGTTAACAGTCTCTAAAAACAAAGAGCAACTTGGATGTTAATTCCTTTCTCACTTGTTCTCGTTTACCCCGAGTGATGTTGCATCCCTTTTTATATTTTTAGTTTTATACTACTTAATATTATTGAGTAGTATGATTCATATCCATTTCAATAATGTTACTTCGTCCACAACTTCACTGTTCGTCATATTCAATCATATCTTGTTCATCATTTAACATTACCCTTCACGGTTAGTGACGGTGTTAAGTTTCCTTTACCTCATCAGCGTATCTTTTTTATTCCCTTCTGGTTTGCACTGGTGACATACTCATTGTAGACGCTTTGATGGCGATAAAGGAAGAGATACTTGACGATTCGGGATTTTTAATTCATTATTCACTATCGATGATTGGTATACCAGGTCATGAGATGAGAACAACATGTAGAGGCTATTTGATAATAATCCCGATAGTATATGTACAAGCATTTGCAACTATGATTTCGTTGTTTTTCTACAGTAAAATATCAACGCATTGTACATACATATCATTTTCAAAGTGTTGAAGTAAAATCTAACCATTTAAAAGGTAAACAACAACAATAATACTGTTTCAATGACCTACTAGTTACCATCTGGTGTCCAACCAGCACGAACAAGATATTCAAAGTTTGGTAGATATTGTCTTAAAGGGGAAGGAAGTGAAAGAGTCTGTATGTTGGATATCTGTAAGAGAGAGAGACAGAAAAAAAGAGAGGCAATTTCGCTACAATTTATTATGATTTGACCATCTAAGATAGCAAACTCGCCTGGTTAACTAGTTCACTAGTTACTAACCGGTCCTAAGCCCGGACAAACAGGAAAGGTTGGGCATACGGCTAGCAACCTTAACCCGTTAAACTAACCTAACCACTACAAAAACTTCAAAGCACAAATGAAATATAAAAAATAAAAACAATCTTATACCTCGCTGGGATCAGGGAGACGAAATGACGCCCGTTGCTGAAACCTTTCGGGAAGCCAGTCGGCCAATGTGTCTTCTATCAATGAAAGCGAAAGTAAAAATAGCGACATGGAGTATCCGCATGATGTTTCAACCTAGTAAGGCTGCCCAGATTGCCAAAGAGATGAGGAGGTATGGCATGGAAGCCCTTGGAATCTGCGAAAACAGATGGAATGGAAAAGGACTCTCCAAACTGTCAACTGGAGAGTCAATAATCTACTCCGATATTGTCACCCAGACGACAACCACGAGCATACTGAGTTTTCGAGTGGCTATCATGATGTCCCTTGAAAAACATCGAAGGCTCTCATGCAGTAGGAACCAATCTCCTCCAGGATCATGACACCAAGATGGACTCAACTCAAAACGAATGAAAATCACAATCATACAATGCTACGCACCTATAAAGTTTACAAGAACTGGCGGGAATCATCCCCCTGTCCGACCTAAGCAAAATATTGAGCCGTATCATCCTGGAGCGACTAAACAATGCTTTGGTTGCTAAAACCAGAGAACAGTATGGAATGGAGACGTGCTACTGAAGTTCTATGTTCTACAAGGAACCCAAGGGACAAATAATAATAATCTAAGATAGCCACAGTACTGTATGATGATTGGTGGTCGTTGGTTCGAATCCGGCCACGGTCCAGATTTTCACCTCACGTTCAATCATCATCCAGTACAACTTATTATAATAAATTTAGTATAACTAATTGCATCAGTAAGCCAATTACTTATTGCTAAACAAGTGAAATTATGAATGGTAAGCTGTTACGTAATAGTCTCTTCGACAATGAAACTTTAAAGGAAGGAGAAAGAGTTAGATGAGGGAAGATATTGTTACTAGATGTGAAATGCGATGGTTGTATCCACTTCACAGAATCATAATGAAGGTGAATAAATAAACCGACTCAACATACTTCTTCTGCATTGCAGAGATTAGGTTTTAATTGGTGATGAACAACTGTCGACAGCGTACCTACTTTTGAATAGTTATCCTTTCGACAGTGTTAATGATACTGGTGAAGTTCTCCATTCTGTTCAGAGTTGAACAGATAGCTAACTCCACCAGAGTCCTTATTCAGTGTTATTTTACACAGTCAAAATGAAATCATTCGTATTATTTTGAAATACTGAAAAATATTTGTAGCTCAGGTGGATGGTCATTAGTTGTATTGTTTTCCCTCAACTGGATTGTTTACTCGTGAAGATTTCATCGTCTTCTCTAGACAATCACATCATCAGCATCAATTGGCGGCTACTAAACGTCATTATACAACATTTCATCACTCATCACTCAATCTACGTAGATAACAACTATGCATGTGAATTGAATTTTGACAATGTTAAAATATTGAGCGGAGAGAGGAAAAAAGTATCAGAAGAACAATCAGTCAGTCAGTCAATGACACAATAACCAAAAGTAACAACCAATCACGCAAAAAGAAGTTGGTCAGGGGAAGCTATTGAATCACTCATGAAGAGATATTCGCAGCTCACTTCATACAGAATTGAGTGCTGATGATGTCGCTATCCACGATTAAATAACCCAGTTGACAGACCATAATAAAACCAGAAAATCATTCAAAAGTTGTACGCTTTCGACAGTAGTTCAGCATAGCAGGATCATCACTGCGAATTCATCAATTCAAGCCTTATCTCTGCATACATAAGAAGTGTATGTTCAATCACTCATCTTACCATTGTCTTAACACCCTCACAATCTTCTCGCAATTCCATTGTTATTAGTCAGTTTGGCAGCATTTTCATCATTATGACCCTTGTTTCTTTCTTCACCTTCTCTATATCTAAAACAAGATATTCAACGAAGACGAGAAGGAGGATGAAGAGGACTATTTTCAAATACAAAGGCCGTGTTCAGTGAGAAGTTGACTAGGCAGTTATCGGAACAGAAGACTATCACTCATCCAGAAGAAGTTTGATGCCATCTTCAGTATGCTGTAAAAGCAGTATTGAAGACCGTAGCCAACTCCAAAATAGTGGCTAAAAAGAGCCAGTGGATATCAGCAGCTTCTTCCGAACTAATGGATGCACGTGAACGCATCCGTGTAGGCTCTGAGTATAATGAAGAGTGAGTGCAACTTAAAAGTAGATTGAGAAAAAGTCTACGCAACGATCAGGAACAGTGGTGGACAGCAAAGGCTAAAGAGATGGAAAAGGCAGTGGCGATCGGTAATAGTAGACAGTTATTTAGACTTATTAAGGAGACTGTGGAGAAATGGTGAACAACACTTAGTGAGGCTATAGCAGAGAAGGACGGGTGTGTGATTCACTCACAGGAGAGACGACTTGAACGATGGGCAGAACACTTCGAGAAACAGTTTAACTGGACTCCAGCCACCATTGCGTTGCCCGCTATCCAGTTGAATCCTGAATGGAACATTGAGATAGGCCCCTCAACAGTAGGAGAAGTCCAGAAAGCTGATGACGATGATGATGGACTCTTTTCAACGAATTCCTTCTCAACCTGTACATTCATATATGATATTTGAAGACTGTAATCCATGAGGAGGATTTAACTTAAATAATGGGAGGTTATTATTACAATAACGTTAACAGTTCATAATGTGAAGGTTGAATGATAACAAGAAGGGAGGTTATGTATGGTCTCTAAATTGTTTATAAGGTGCATATTGATTACAAAAAATGAAGACGTAATCGAGTTAACAAACAATCAAAGGTGATTAGGCGGTGGTGGCTATTTCGAATCCAGCTGCGGTTCAAATTTTCGTTTCACTTTCAATTACCACCTAGTTTAATTGGAGTAAAACAGGCTGGCTTCAGGAAGTACAAATCATGTGCGGACCAAATTGCAGCGCTTCGCATCACCACAGAACAGAGTATAGAATGGCAGTCAACCCTCTACCTCAACTTCACCGACTTTGAAAAGGCTTCTGGCAGCATCGACTGACAAATACGGAATACTACAAACCTTTATCAATCTCATTCGACAACTATATGAAGATGCCACATTCCAAGTAATTCACAATGGAAAGCTCAGTGATGCCTTCTTACTGAAGACAGGAGTGAAACAAGGCTGCCTGCTATCACCCATGATATTCCTGATTGTGGTGAACTGGAATATGCAACAAACAGTGAGGAGCGAGAACAGGGAGATACGCTGGATCGCGGAAAGGAACCTAGAAGATTTAGACTTTACCGATGATTTATGTCTAATGTCACACAAACTTGAAGATCTACAGGCGAAAACTAACAAATTGTCAGAAGAAGCAGCGAAGACAGAACTTCAAGTGAGCGTAGAGAAGACAGAGGTGATGAAGATACCCAACCAACAACAACAACAAAAACAAGAGGCATCAGTCACAATCAACGGGAGAAGTCCAGAAAGCTGATGACGATGATGATGGACTCTTTTCAACGAATTCCTTCTCAACCTGTACATTCGTATATATACATATATGATATTTGAAGACTAATCTGTGAGGAAGATTCAACTTAAATAACCTTTTCCAAAAGAAGACCACATCCATGTGTATCTAACAGTTCACCTGTTCCTGTGGAGCAAGGTATATCAGCTGTATATGAAAACATATTCCAGACTGGTTTTATAAGGGCGGAAGAAAATGTATCAGAACTTCTATCCTTGAACACTTAATCGATTCCAACCATTCAACCCACGTAACACATGGATTTTAAGGTTGTCCATCAAATTCGCGTAAACACCTCAAGTTTCCTCTGTGTTCATTAATATAGGTGTATAACTTGGGTACTGTGGTGGAATTTAATTCCATATTCGATTTGTTTATTTGATTTATAACACACATATATATATATATATATATATATATATATATATATACACAGTGGTCTGGTATTATTTACTTGGTGACCACGTTTCGAGCATTAATCACTCATTACTCGTAATCATACCTCAATGTAATCACACTCCACTTTCGACATCTGATTTTTACAGTTATATCACCTTATATGAGTTGCTTTTATTGGTAGCAAAATTCTCCATATCTCTGGTATACGTATGTTGTGTCATTTCCATTACATGTGTTAGGTGTTGACTGATTCGATGAACAGTGATTCAGTAATCAATCTCCCTCTCTCTCTACTTAACTATATTGGACTTAAGTACAGTGGCTTTATCCCACCCAACCTATTGTGTGGTTGTGTGTTAATGTATGCATAGCGATAGCCGAGTGCTTTTCTACATTATTGATCTTATTTAGGTCTGTTATTCTATATTTAGCTAAATTCCTATGTTGCACTAATGTAACTGACCCTGACCGACTAGCTTGACCTATGTACTTGACCTGACTCATCGTCATTACATGGAATTTGATAGATTAGATTATTTCGCTGAATTGGTTCCATCGGATCCTTAAACTAACCGACAAAGTTTATCTCCGAGTGAGTTTGTAGGTTTGAATACCACCCTAATTCCAGCTCAGTTGAGGATTCTACGTAGAGTTTCTCAGGTACTCTCCCTATAGGGTAATACAGTGGAGGCTGTGAACTCCTTTTTACTCGTGTCGTCGTTATTAGTCGCACTCGTATGACTGTTATTTTTTCTTTTTTTCTGTGTCCGTAAAAATTTCTTAATAAACTGAAGAGGATACTTATTAACTATTGGAGCTTCTTTTACGTGCTCCAATTCCTTGTTTAGGCTCTTGCTCTGACTAGTCAGTTTTCTGGCTGTATCATTTAGACATTTGACTAAACTTGCCATAACTGGGATAACTTGGATGAGATGAATTGAAGTCTAGACACCGGCTAGAATGTGTCGGTGTCCTGTAGAAAGTAGTATCCAAGCCACCGTCTGTTTTTCGTTTTATTCTGCAATAAAGTAGAGATAATTCTTCTTGTTCATTTTCAACCTCCTCGTAAGTGAATTGCATTACGTTTACTACTGAGTTTATATGCACGTGTTCAGCTCCTAAAAACAGTAGAGGCATTGGCTATCCATGAACTCTAAAGTCAACCTGACCTTTATTTGGAAAAAAAAGTATGTACAGATTTTTATCGCTACCTTGACCTTAACTTACTTTCGTCTTGATATGCTTCATCTCTTTTTTTGTTTTTTCAACAGCCCCTCCCCTCTCCTCATCGTCATCAGCTTTCTGGACTTCTCCTAGTGTTGAGGGGCCTATCTCAATGTTCCATTCAGGATTCAAATGGATAGCGGGCAACGCAATGGTGGCTGGAGTCCAGTTAAACTGTTTCTCGAAGTGTTCTGCCCATCGTTCAAGTCGTCTCTCCTGTGAGTGAATCACACACCCGTCCTTCTCTGCTATAGCCTCACTAAGTGTTGTTCACCATTTCCCCCCAGTCTCCTTAATAAGTCTAAATAACTGTCTACTATTACCGATCGCCACTGCCTTTTCCATCTCTTTAGCCTTTGCTGTCCACCACTGTTCCTGATCGTTGCGTGGACTTTTTCTCAATCTACTTTTAAGTTGCACTCACTCTTCATTATACTCAGAGCCTACAGGGATGTGTTCACGTGCATCCATTAGTTCGGAAGAAGCTGCTGATATCCACTGGCTCTTTTTAGCCACTATTTTGGAGTTGGCTACGGTCTTCAATACTGCTTTTACAGCATACTGAAGATGGCATCAAACTTCTTCTGGATGAGTGATAGTCTTCTGTTCCGATAACTGCCTAGTCAACTTCTCACTGAACACGGCCTTCGTGTTTGAAAATAATCCTCTTCATCCTCCTTCTCATCTTCGTTGAATATCTTGTTTTAGATATAGAGAAGGTGAAGAAAGAAACAAGGGTCATAATGATGAAAATGCTGCCAAACTGACTAATAACAATGGGATCGAGAGAAGATTGTGAGGGTGTTAAGACAATGGTAAGATGAGTGATTGAACATACACTTCTTATGTATGCAGAGATAAGGCTTGACTTGATGAATTCGCAGTGATGATCCTGCTATGCTGAACTACTGTCGAAAGTGTACTCCTCCTTTATAACGATGTCCTTCCGACTGTGTATAGAACACTGATGGAGGTAGCTATCTATTCAGAGTTGGTCAAAATGTTAAACAATTGAACTGTTAATTTTCGAGAGAAGAACGTAAATCGATTAACATTTGATCAACTGTGAGGAGATAGCTAACTCTACTTTGATTTACACCGTCGAAAGGAAACCGTTGAAAAGGAGTACGCCGTCGACAGTTACACATCATGACAGAAACACTGACAGTTCACTAATTCATGCCTGATTTCTGTGTACAGAATAATCACAATCAAAAGATCGAAAACACACTGGAACATATCAGAAATCACGACTAGATTGCTGAGTCTACTTGGAATCGGTGTGGCCATTCATAAACCAACAAATTCCATCCAAACACTATTATGCAGACAAAAGGATACAACCACCAAAGAAGATAAACGGAATATCATTTACAAAATCAACTACAATAACTGTAGTCAACACTACACATTGTACAAAGTGGTCGCCCACCTTCGCCTTCGTCTACATGAGCACCAGTCGGCTATTAAACGCCACGTTATTTCGTCACTCATTTCAATGAACGTATATAATTATGGACATCAGTTCAATTGTGACAATGTAGAAATGTTGGACGGAGAGAGGAAACACAAAGAATATTAGAGAATTTCTAGAAGCTTGGCATTCATGTCATTCAGTCAACAATCAACAGATGTATAGACATAGACCAAATCTATCAACCATTAAGAAAAATGATAAACGATAGAAAGATCAGAGGTCAAGCAGAGGAACAGCCAACAGGAACATCTATACAGTGAGTCAATGACACAACAATCAAAGGAAACAAATAATCACAGACCGCTTCGTCAGAGCAAACCACTAAATCACTCACGGAGAGATATTGACAGCTCACTACTTCATACTGAAGTTAGTGCTGTGGATGATGTGACTGTCTAGCAAGATGATGAAAGCGTCTAGACGATTAAACAACACAACGAAGACCATCCACCTGAGCTACAAATAGTCTCCATTATCTCGAATCATAATCAGTCAGTTTACTATTATCACCTTCATTATGACTCTATCAAATAGACACTCGGTGTTTTCATTTCATATCTACCAACAGTTTCCACCTTGTCTTTCTCATTATCTGGATTGTCTAAGAGAATATTACATAACTACTAATCTCCATTGTTGATTTCAGTCTTTAAGCACTAAGTGGTTATCGAAGGAAGGAATTTTCTCCACTGAATTATCTGAATGACAGATAGAGTTCGCGATGGTTGTTCAATCCTAGTACACGATTATTCATAATCCCATGGGTTAAGAAGGTGCTTGTGGTGAATTTGTGACTTATCCAATTAACCAGGTTAGTAATGGAAATGAATGACTCATTACACACATGACATTAAATGATGGTGATTGTATATCAAGAAGTTACAGAAACTTCTGAAATGTAAGTTATTCAATCCGAACTCAACAGCAGTTTTGAGTGAGTGAGTGAGTGAGTGAGTGATACTATCGACGAAGAATTAGATAAACTACGGAAGATTCTCATGCAAAATGGATATCCATCCAGATTTATCGATAAAAACCTGAAAGTAAATCAGAATATGGAGCGAGTATTCACAGTTCCTAAGAAGACCTTGTTTATGAAGATTGTTTTCAAAGGCGATGCGGCAGCAGAGATCCTGAAGAATCAGCTATCCAGATCACTGAACAAGATATTCCTCTATGCAAAACTGTAGAACAGCTTCTCTAGTCAACAACTCATTCCGGAGTACGTTAAAGACAAGTTAACACTTTTAGCCACCTCGATGTGTATCTACAAATTTACTTCCTCCTTCCTGTGAAGCTACTTATATAGGCCGCACAAAGCGCACGATTTCCAAACGTATCTCTGAGCACTACTATCCTGCATGATTGTCGAGGGGAGAATGTAAATCAATTAACAGCTCAATTATTGAACATTTGGTCAACTCTGGACACATCAAGGTGGACCAGAGTCCTCCTTCAATGTAATTTATCGTGTGAGATGGAATAGTTGAGAAGGAGTCCGCCTTCGACAGTTGTGCACAGCGGAGGCACTGGTGATTCATCAATTCAAGCCTGATCTCTGTATGCGAAAGAAGTATGCTCAATCCTTCATCTTATCATGGTCTTAACACTTTCATAATCTTCCTTCGATTTCATTATAATTAATTAGTTTACTGTTATTATCACCTTCATTATGACTCTTGTCTCATTCTTCACCTTCTTTACATCCATCCATCCATCCATCCATTTATCTATCTATCTATCTGTCTATCAAGTGAACACTCAATATTTGCGTTTCTTATCTACCAATAATTTGCACCTTATCAAACTGCTTGGCTTCCTCATTATTCCTAGTGTCTCAGTGTATGTATTACACAACTACTTTGCATTCTTGATGTGGGTTTATTTTAGCACGTTGAGGATGTAATTATAGTGTATTGCATTATGATAGACTGTTATGTGTTTTCAGTTGGTTGGAGTCAATCGGCAGGAAACCCTGGACCTAGGGTGTATCTGCAACCTCGACGGAACTGATGTTCCGCCTACAGGAGGTCAATTGCGGTCCCAATAGATCAGTGGTAAATTCGCTGACTACACCACTGGGTGACGCAGGTTTGAATCTCAGGCGGAACATCAGTTCCGTTGAGACTGCAGATACGCTTTGCTGACGAGTCCCAAAAGGCATGAAACCTAGGTGAGTCAGGGCTTCCTGCCGATTGCCTCCAACCAACTAACATCTACTAATGTGCACCGCGATGCTGAGCTTCCTAGCTTGGTTGCTACATTTCAAATATGATTGATAGAATTCGGTCTACACTCATGAGTAGACAAGATGAAATTGGTTGTACTCACCTGACCAATCAATACATGTTATATGTTTATGATATATGTATAAATACGATTGTACAGCTATAGAAGAAGGATATCGTGGAAAAAAGAAAATTTTCTTCGTTGAATTATCCCTTCTATATATTATTATAGATGAGATTCCATTAAAGCATCCTAAACATAACTGTTGAAGGATTCTCTTCATCTAAGTATTTCAACAATTTATTTTATTGATTGTCGATCATCAGACCCTTTCCCCCTTCTAATAAAGTTTTATCAATGAAACAAGAAATTTTATAAGTGAAAAATATTGAAAGGGGAAAATTTCTTCAAAATACTCAAATACTCACTTTACCCAATGAATCCAGGTGAAATTGACAGATTTTCAAATTACTTGACGCATTCTCACTACCTAATGATAATTAAATGGATACAATGTAGATATTTTGATTAAAATGAACGTTAGAAAAACTGTAACAAATTGATTATTCCCAGTCGAAATACAACAGTTAGAGGATGATTGGAAATCTAAGAGCACTGGAAAGCTTTTACATCCAACTACTATGAGATTCTTCACAGGTTTCCAATGTTACATCATCATCATCTACTTGTCGACATAGGACCAGTAATTACTGCGTAACAATCCGACTTCCCACACCTCATATCAGTACATCAAATAAAAAGGCAGTCAAGTGGAAGATGAAGAAAAGAAAATTCAATCAAAAGAAATCTGAACTACTAAAGGAGAGAAAGGAAGAATGAGAACATGATGAGATTCGGTATAGCGTCGTTAAGATGGGCAAACATCTGCGCCATATTATCACCTAGAGTCTCCAACCACTGCTTCCTCTTGTCCCGTCGACCCCAACGCGCTAGTCTGAATCGCTACACATGGCTCAAACCAATAGTCAAACACTTCATACTTCGACGTCATGTTCTAGTCTGGACGCCTCGGGCCATTTTCCAGACTGAACCTTCTCCGGTTAACAGTATGTGATGAGGCAGACAATGACTAGGTATACACAACACATGTCCCAGCCAGCTACCCCAGTCAACGAAGTTTCACAACCTCAACAACTGATTTACTTCTTCTCCCTCCTCCCCCCCTCCCTCCTTAAAACTCTACACCTCACTTCTGCCTTACTCACATCGTGACCTCACGATACATCGCCTATACTACGAAGGCGACGGTGGTTAAACACCTCAAGTCTTTTTATGTCTTCCACCTTCAGTGGCATGTTTCACAGCCATACAGTAGAACAGAGTGGACTACTGTGCAGTACACGCCACCCTTAATAGACAATCGCATATCACGGTGGTGTAAGTTGACAAAACCCAGTCAAGCCTTTTGTAGTCGGTCACTGAGCTACCAGGGCATGGTTGGTTGCACTTCGCGGGTTAGCGAAGTCGTCAACACACTCAAGCACTACACTCTCTATTATTAACCGAGGCACTCACTCACATCGTGACCTCACGATACACCGCCTATACAACGGAGGTAACCGTGGTCAAACACCTCAAGTCTTCTAATGTCTTCCACCTTCAATGGCTATATTTCACAGCCATTCAGCAGAACAGAGCGAAGAAGTGAATTTTCTTTACTGAATTAATATAGGAGTAAAACTTTGGCACTGTTGTCGATTGTAATTCCGTTTTAGTCTGTTTATTAGAAGTGTGACACACAGTGAAGCGACAGTAGCATTTACTGGATAACAACGTTTCGGATACAATTCATTGTCCATATTCATATCAGGTAACTGACTCCACAACTTCGAGACAGACCTTCTATATTCCTGAATGACCTAAATAATGCTAGATCCACATATAGTTAACAACCAATGAGAATTGAGCCTTGAGAGCAGAGGGAAGAAAAACTAGTACCGGGGAGTGAAAACAGTCATGTAGGTTACTTTTAAGGTTCATGGTTCATCATGCACCACACATGTCCAAGTCATCTAAGTTGATAGAGGTTAACAACTTCAAAGGTGAAATAACCAAGTCACTAATCCATCCAACTGAGATATGAGATCAAACTCTTGTCGAGATCATAATACCACTTCAATCAATAAGAATTTTACCCGGTTGCCATACCAGTAAGATCTTACCATCTCAAGCTAAATTATACACGGGGCGAGGGACTATATCATGCATGGTGACTTATCAGTGTAAAACAAAACAATGAAAATGAATCAACAAGTTTTTTTTTTTGGCATTTGAAGCAAACTACTCTAATCACCTGCAGTTGGATAACGTTGATTTTCCCAAACACCTCCATATTCCCCATGAAATAATTTTGTTATACATACATTACGTTCATCAACTTCTTCATATAATAATTGGTAACAATCTAAAGAGTAAAAATGTTTCAATAATTAATCAATAAAATAACTAGAAGAATAAAAGAAATATGAAAATATACACATATTACTATTAATAATGATAATGACAAAAACTGAGATAGTAATCTTCGTGAACTGACTATCAGTTGGAGAATTCAGTACACATTCATGACCTGACTTGGGAGTGAACCTATGAACACGAAGTTTCATGGCGAACGCATTAACCATTCAGCCACTAGGTCAGAGAGTTAAATGGTCCACAGTTTCTAATTTATATCAATTCACGACTATCTCGAACCAAAGTTTTCAACTGACTGATTACCGCTTCATTTCCAGCAATTTGACCTCAAAGGTCACAGCTTGTCATTAGGAATTCTCAAAGTATGTCACTAATCAGTCTCATAATGAAGATTTAGGTGAATTGTTCAACTACATAACAAACTGATCGACGTAAGGAACTTCAGATCATTGAACATAAACTCAGTGACTGAATGGTTGATAGTTATGCTATAAAACCTGAGAGGTGGCGAGTTGGATCACTGGCGAGCAGGGTAATGGGTACATACTGAGGAGAAGTTCAATACTAGGCGAAAACAGTCGCCCAGTCTTGCCGGATTTTCGATGGCTCTTCAACCAATGTCAGTCCATGATTAATCTGATTATACAGACATAATTGTCATAAGTATTTATATGTATAAGGTCTCTGGCACCAACCATACCGCAGCCAAGAGTTTCATTTCCCATACAATGATCACTTAGTATCAATACAAAGGTCCGCCAAACCACAGCTATCTAAGATAGTCAAACTGGAAAGAAAAATAATACATATCTAAAGGTAAAACTATGCAACAATGTTTCATCCTGGTCCGCTACTCATCAGCAGTGTTTAAATAGAACAAGTTACAGCTCGGAAGTATGAATGATCACACACACAGAGAGAATTCAAATCGTGCAAACCAGACTATCTTGACTATCGCATATCGAAGGATATGAAACTTCATGACTTTCAAGTTACTTGGACCGTGCATATACTGAAAAGTAATCAAGTAATGAATTTAATTAGCCAACATCTCGTTCCATATATGTAATCTCTATCTTCATAGCCATTCAAAGAGAACATGATAAGTTTACAAGCGTTCGACTACTATTGCCTTCATAGCACAAACGTTTTGTCGAGTTGCCACCATGTGGATCCGGTATGGTTAAGAAACAATCTCATGGTAACCAATCAGATTGTACTTGAGCGAAGTAGCTCGTTTTAGATGTCTATCCACAACCACCTACTTCGCTTCCTTTTGAATCTGTAGTGTACTAATGATGATATAATTGTTTTTTTTATATCATACCGTAGTTGATTGGACCCAACTGATCGGTCTCTATTGGTGTACTGGATAACGCGCTGGAGTTTGAAGCCATCGCTCCCAAGTCCGAATCCCGGTGGGAACAAAATCACTCACTGGGGAGCAGGTACATCCTGCTGACGAGTCCCAAATAGGACGAAATACGCATCCTGGATTCCACTGTTAGCCACGATCCATCATTAATACTAATGATGATGTCTAGCATGATAGTGAAGTGTTTGCTAAGTAAAAATTCAAGTTAAGAGAATATTACACTTTGAACATCTGCATCTGAAGCTGTGAATATGCGTCGAAATTTCACCACAACATAAAATCTACCTAGATTTCTGCAGAAAGATCTCGATATAACGTAAGTACCTAATTGGACAATAACTTTCAGTATATATAAAACATAATATCATAAAGATATTTACAAACAGCCCTCGTTTTTTTACGACTATGAAAAATCAGTGACTTCATCGATTTATCCAATCAGATTTTAGTACGTTAGGGCGTGTACCCATTGAGAACCTTGGAGTTAAATCTGATTGGCTATGAATACATTCAACATTTTTGTGTTTCTTTAACTAATTAGAAAGAGAAAGAAGGCGCTAAACATTTTAACAGATCCCTAATCAATCTTAACTATACGCAGATCATATAAACAATCAACTATAACAGTGTAAGGAGGGAATGTTCTTTTCAGAAATTTCTATAAACGCTATTAGAAGATGAAGATTATCTGAAAAATGAGTGATTTACTTACGTAACACATTTCGAAAAATCTGATCCCTTACGCACTTAGTTGTCAAGTCAATTTCATAATCCAGTTCCGAAACAGAGATTCACTTTAACTACACAAGACTTTATTATTATTTATCCCTTGGGTTCCCAGTGGAACATAGCGCTATAGTAGCACGTCTCCACTGTACTCTCTTCTCTACAGTCTTTTGAACCTCGCGCCACGACTGACCACAAGCTCTCATTTCCTCCTTACACCATCTCCTCCATGTCACCCACGCCTCGGACGCCCAACTCGTCATTTCCCCATTGGATTCCACTCGACGGCCTGACTTGACGCATGACGCCCCCAATCGGCCTTCTCAGTGTTTGCCCAATCCAATCCATCTTCACCTTCTTCTTCTGCATTTTTGTTGGGTAATAGGTTCTTGGTTGGTTCGTTCCCAGTTCAGAGTTCCTTGTTGCTTATTCTTTGTGGTCGTCTGATCTTCAGTATCCGGATCTTGTTCATGATCTATGATTAGTGCAGTAGATCTCCACACTGATTTCAGATTAGTGAAAGCCTGTTTTACTTTTTCGATCCTGGTTTTGACATCCTCATCTGCATCGCCGCCTGTAGTTGAAACGATGCTGGCTGGCTAATTAAGTGGGTACGTGAAAGAGACAACTTCCTTTAGGTTTCTCCCGTTCATGGTGATTGAAGCTTGTTGATGCTGTTGTTGGTTGGATATCTTCATCACCTGTGTCTTCTCTAAATTCACTTGAAGTGCCATCCTCCCTGCCCTGCCTCTTCTGCCAACTTGTTAATTTTCACCTGTAGATCTTCGAGTTTGTGCGACATTACACACCAGACATAAATCATCATCGCTGGCGAAATCTAAATCTTCTAGGCTCTTTTCATCGGACAAACAGCCAGCGTATGCCCATCTTCTCGCTCTTCATTGTTTGTTGCATAATACAGTCCACCACAATGAGGAATATCATGGGTGATAGTAGACAACCTTGTCTTACTCCTGTCTTCACTTCAAAGGCATCACTGAGCTTCCCATTGTGACTTACTTGGCATATGGCCTTTTCATATAGCTAAAGCACTACGGTCTAATATTTTCAATTTGTTAGTCTCCTACACATAAATTGGTAAAGTGGTTAGCCAAAATACCCAGACCGTTTCACAATGTTTTATATAAATATACATTGAAGAATACTTTTGAACTTGTTGATTGGTTTACTGATATGAATATCGGAGATAAGAAAGAGCATGTACTCTTCTGATGTCAAGTCTTTATTGATAGATGTAGGTACACCGAACGAGGACAGACAATATTCTTTCCGACTATACATGTCCTCGAATTACCCTCAATTTCCCTATTTCTCCAATTCCATCTGAAAGACCTACGTTTTTGTTGTACACTGTGATAGGGTTCATTTCACTTTCGAAGTTGAACACTAACGGCATACTGATGATGTTGCTATGAGGAGTCCATTAGGACCGTTATTAGATGACGTACATATGTGACAGATAAGGATGCCGTGGATTTCTTAAAAAGCCTTAATACCGAACAAGATCATACCAGTCTGACATATGAGAAAGAAAAAGACCATCAACTTGCATTTCTTGATATGTTCTTGTATTGGAGGGGAGTTGAATCTATCAGACAATCAATCTATAGAAAGTCTACTTTGACAGGATAGTACTTGAGTTTCTACAGGTTTTGTTCGATGAAATATAAGAAAGACTTAGTAACATGCTTATTCAGCAGAATCCGACATATCTGTACAACATCTAATACGATGGATGATGAGAGCAAATTTCTGACAGACAGACTCATGAAAAACGGATATCCATTACAGTTTGTCAATGGTTGTAGAAAACAGCTGGCCCAGATGCTTAAAGTTTCCTCGGTCTTGAAGAAATATATACTTTTTAAAGTTCGATACAGAGGGGAAATGAGTAGTATGATATTGAAACAGAGATTGAAATCTGTTATCAGTAAAACATACTATACAGCTGAGTTTATCATTGTTGAGACAACAAAACACCTACTTCACTTCAGACCTCAATCTCGCATAATTGATTATGTCATAACCAAGTGTATTCACCAATTTACATGTATGTGTGGTCACACATACATAGGGAGGAGTAATCATGTTATGCAGACTAGAATGGGTGAACATATACCGAAATGGCTTGAAAAACAACTTTGATAAGCTCAGGTGACAAAAATCCATCTTCCACAGCAGAATATTTCATCGAAACCAATCATCAGGTTGCTATGATAACAGCCTTCAAAATATTTTATATAGGAGCAGTAAGGGGGGGCATTCTGAAATTTGCCGACGTGTTAGCCATTCGTAAACCTAATCCTCCGTTGTGTGTACATAGACAATTTTTTATTACACTCAACTCATCTTGGTAATTCATGGTAATCTGATTATTCTATGGAGATGAGTGATACAACCTTTTCATGATTCATACTAAAGGTGGAATGAAAATTTGGACGCCGCTGGATTCCAACCACCGGCTACCGGGTTTCCAACCCGATGCTCTACCACGAGGTCCGACTACTACCGACCAGATTTTTATTTCACTTCAATCACCATGCGTTTGGCCCGACGACTACCATATGAATTCGTCACGCGTTACTACCACACGATCTTATTTACACTGGCTACCTACCACTCAGGACTTCTCATCCCAATCCAAATGTAAGTGAATTCGAGATAGAAGGTGCAGTATCATTTGACTGTCTGAGATATTCATTGTCATATATAAATTGACTTGAGATAAGTGAATGTGTTGGGGGAATCGGACTGTTCGAAACGTTGTACTGCGTAAATACATCACATACGTCATATCGTTCAGACAATCTTCGTCTTTTAATAACACTATTGAAATCAACTACAACCTGAGTAATGAAATTATTTCACACTTTCTTTATATTGCACAAAAATATGTAGTTACCTTTACTCATTGTCGGTCTCCACCAGTAACCAATATATCGATTGAATTCTTCTTGAATCACAAAAGGTGGAATACCTGCAGATAAGCCGCCTGAAATTAAAATAATACAATATTTGTATACTAGAAATTTACAAATATCCCAGAATCCTATCCCACCTTCCTCTATTTCTTAGAATTACCAAACACACTTAAAGAATAGTACTATTTAGGGGATAAATAAGAATTCTCCATAAAACTAAAATAAGAACGTGAGATAGTTTATCTTTACTTCCCTTAATAACACAGGTTCGCAGCTGCCTCCATCAAAAATCAGAAGCTGTGGTGTAGTGGATACGCACATTATACGCACGGTTATTGCCATAAAGATAACTACAGCCGACACAGACGAGAACGTTAAAGCCAGCCAGAATCGAAAAGACAGCAAGACAGGCGTTCATTTACCTGAAAACAGTATGCAGATCTTCTGCACTGCACTCAGCATACAGCATAAACAACATCCGGATTTTCAACACCAATTCAGTCAAGTAACTCAGTGCTTGTATGTGATGATTGAGAGAGACTTGGCGCGTTACAAGAAGCATTTCGAACAAACTGCTGACATCATACATCAACAACTGCAGTCTACGCTGACTCGTTACTGAAGATGGAGATCAGATATCCAGAATAATAAGAATGAGTAATAAGGAACTGTGGGAAGGAACGAACGAAGCAAGAATCTATCACTGAAGAAATATGCATTGGAAGGAAGTGTAGATGGATTGGGCATTCACTGAGAAGGCCGACTGGGGATGTTAGGCGTGAGGCTAGGCCCTTGAGTGGGACCCAGATGGGAAACGGTGAGTTGGGTGTCGCAGCTGAGGATGACATGGAGGAGATGGTTTGACGAAGAAATGAGGGATTGTGGGCAGTGGTGTAGCCAGGTTGAAAAGTTTGCAGAGGACAGGGTGTACTAGAGACGTGCAGTGCAGTAGATCTCCACATTGACTTCAGGTTAATGAACGCCTGTTTTACTGTCTTTCCGATCCTTGCTTTGACGTCCTTATCTGTGCCGCGTGTATTTGAAATGATACTGTCTAGACAGCTGAAAGATACTACTTCCTTTAGGTTTCTCTCGTCTTGTCATACTTATTTATATGGAAATTCATAAGGAGATAATGGATGGACAACATGAAAAGAGGTCAAGAAGAAGGCTGAATAACAATGAAAATCAATGAAGCGAAAATAATACAGTATGAAACTTGGTTTCAGGGTTGAATTTACCAAGGAATAAATTGTTTAAGAGAACACAAAGATGGTTTTCAACCTCCTAACAGCTAAGGGTCTCAGCAAATTTAACATTCCGTACTCAATACCTTCTTTTGTAAATAAGGTGTAAACGAAGTAACCATGTCAATCCTCTGACCTATCACAACCATATGTTTGCTGATCAAAGAAATTCGATGCCTGATACCAACATTTATGAGTTCAGGTGATTGATTTAATTTCCTTGTGAAACCATTTTGGAATATGTTTCGAGGCACTTACTTACATGGATCTCTGATTCCTCCCTATCTATGTATCACCACATGTTCATTTGAATTGGTAAATACAATGGGATGTAACATTGTCAATCACATGTTGTACGGGTTTAGGAGAATATACAGGCTTCATGGTCTGTATAGTAAGTCCTTCCAACATCAGCGTTAAATCTCCACCTAACGATTCCACTGTGACAGTCAGTCACCTTTTCACAGAAGACTCATGAAGACTTCTTTCTTCGGGATAAGGTGAATAGCTAGCTGGTTTCCGTGCTCTGATTATTTTGTTCTGCCTAGTGAAATTCCACTGAATAACCGCTTAACTGATGGTCACTTGTAGTGAACTGGACAAAATCTATGATAGTTCAAATATTGTCCTATTCATGTTAGTTTTCTGTAGATAAAAGGTTTTATAGATCTGTCCTGTTATTATCATTATTATTAATATTGGTCCATTGCCTTCCTAGTGGAACATAGAGCTTCACTAGCACGTCACCATTTCACTCACTTCTCTCTAGTTGTGTTTAACCTGACTCCACGATTATCCATTAGCTTACATTTCTTCCTCACACTATCTCATCCATATCACCCTCGGACTCAAAACTTGTCTTCTCCAATTCGGCTTCCACTCGTCGGCATAACTTGGCCTGATGCTTGACTTCCCCAAGTGGTCTCCTCAGTCTATACCCAATCCATCTCCACTTTCTCCTTCTGTATATTTGTAGGGCGATGTGGATCCATCCTGCTGTCTACCAATTAGTATATCCGAGGATGGGAATCAGTCAGTCATCTTTCTCTTCTACACATGTCATAGATATGCTGTTTTGTACTTTGTTCAATCGGTTTACAATTCACGTAGACTAACTTGAGTTATCAAAAATAATATCGATTATCGTCAACATATCTTCAATCTAGTTGGACTTGGTCGAAGAATACGGAATAGAGTATAGAATGGCAGTCAACTGTACCTGTATCTCAGCTTTGTCGAATATGAAAAGGCGTTTGATAACGTCAACCGAGAAGTAATTTGGCAAGTGCTTCAACACTACGGTGTGCCATAAACCTTTACCAATCTCATCCAGCAGCTATATGCTGTATGATGTTATATGCCAACTGATTCACAATGAAAAGCTCAGTAATGCCTTTGAAGTGAAGTGAAGACAGAAGTAAGACAAGACAAGGTTGTCTACTATCACCGATTATCTTCCTGATTGTGGTCAGCTGGACCGGACTGAACCATGCAACAAACAACTGTGAGGAGCGAGAAGATTTATGTCAAACGTCTTATGTCCCACAAACTCGAAGATGTACAGGCGAAAACTTACAAATTGGCAGAAGACAAGAGGCATGGCAGCGAAGACTGGACTCCATTCAGGTGAACGTGGCGAAGAGAGAGGTGATGAAGATACTCAATCAACAACAACAACAAGCACCAATCACCATCAATGGAAGAAACCTAAAGGAAGTAGTATCTTTCAGCTGTCTAGACAGTATCATTTCAAATACACGCGGCACAGATAAGGACGTCAAAGCAAGGATCGGAAAGACAGTAAAACAGGCGTTCATTAACCTGAAGTCAATGTGGAGATCTACTGCACTGCACTCAGTATGCGGAACAACATCCGGATTTTAAACTCCAATTCAGTCAAGTAAATCAGTGCTTCCATGTGATGGTTGAGAGACTTGGCGCGTTACCAAAACCAATTCCAACAAACTGCGGAAATGCATCATTTCAACAGCTACCGCCTATGCTCACTTGATATTGAAGGTGGAGATCGAATGGCCAGAATAATAAGCATAAGCAAGGAGGAAGTCTGGCCTTGCGACGAACTATCGAAGCAAGAAATATGCAGAAGAAGAAAATGGAGGTGGATTGGATTGGACATCGACAGAGAAGACAGTTTGGCGACATCATGCGTCAGGCCAGCCCCTCGAATGGAACCCGAAAGGGAAACGATGAGTTGGGCGTCTGAGGGTGATATAGAGGAGATGGTGTGAGGAAGAAATGAAAGGTGACGGGAAGTTGTGAAGCCAGGTTGAGCCAGACTGCAGAGAACAGAGAGCCCTATGTCCCACAAGGTTTATAACTTAGGTTGTTGAATACTTCAGGATCAGGCTTGACATCGAGATATGGCTCCTCGGTTTAAGAAGTTGACATTAAGTCAGTGGGTCATTTGTTCAATAACTCCCCCATCGATCGAGATGTCGATAGATAGGCAACATCACTGTTTGAGGATGGAAAAGTGTAGAGACTGCAAGAATCACAAATTTATATTCTGTCAAGATGAGGAGTATGTTTCATGGTTAAGTCAGTAGAATCTGGAATAAAGATGCCAAGTAAAATCTAACATAGATCTAACACAGATGTTAGTCAGCGTTTCGTCTAAGGAGAGAGACGTTTTTCTCTTAATTTGATTTTCTCAATAAAGCCTTTTGAAGAGTAATTGTTACACCGGTATTCCCTTCTCTGACTGCAACTAATCTCCAAAATATATCAAAAACGCATTGCAAATCTTCGGTCGACAACAGGCTTAATTCTCGGCATTAAAAAGGTGCTGGACACTAAGAAGAACAATTTGTTCAGTCGAAAATATATAGATAAACTGCTGTATACACAAATCAAGTAAATCAGTGCTTCTATGTGATGGTTGAGAGAGACTTGGAGCGTTACCAAAAACCATTTCCAACAAACTGCGGAAATGCATCATTTCAACAGCTTCCACCTATGCTCACTTGATATTGAAGATGGAGATCAAATGGCCGGAATAAGGAGAATAAGCCACAAGAAACTCTGGGAACAAACCAACCAGGAACCCATCGTCCAAGAAATAAGCAGAAGAAAGTGGAGATGGATTGGATTGGACATCGATAGAGAAGACGGTTTGGAGATGTCATGCATCAGTCCATACCAGGCTATAGAGTGGAACCCAAAGGGGAAACGATTAGTTGAGCGTATGAGAGGGTGACATAGAGGAGATCGTATGATAAAGAAATAAAAGCTAATGGGCAGTCACGGAGTGAGAATGCAGAGGACAGAGTGAAATCAAGACGTCCTACTGAAGCTCTGTATTCTATTCCTTCTGCTCATCTGATCTTGAGTATCGAGTGAGAGTAGGAGTCAGTTGTTGATTGTGTGTATCTCTAGTTTGTTGGAAATGGTTTTCGTAGGACGCCAGAGCTCTCAACCATCATATAGAAGCACTGACTTACTTGACTGACTCCGTGTTTGAAAATCCGGATGTTGTTCCACATGGTAAGTGTAGTGTAGTATATCTCCACCCTGACTCCAGGTTAATGAAAGCATGTAATTGTATAGTTCTGTACAATTGTATACATAAGTATGACTTAGCTTTTCTCTGAATTATTCTTTGTCCTATCTGAATCTTCAAAGTCCTGAACGCCATAAAGCTACTGAAATGTGGGAAAGCAGCAGGATCAGATGGAATCCTGCCATGAGTACTGAGAGCAGATGCAGGGACAACAGCGGACATGCTCACATCAGTATTGCAGATGGTGTGGAAGGAAGGGAAGGTACCTGACTATTGGAAGAAGGATCACCTTGTCAAACTCATGAAGAAGGATGACCTAAGCCTTTGCAAGAACTGGCGAGGAATCACGCTCCTGTCCACCCCAAGCAAAATCTTATACCGCATCATCCTGGAGAGACTAAAGGATGCGCTGGATTTAAAACTACGACAGGAACAGGCTGGCTGGTTTCAAGAAGTACAAATTATGTACGAATCGAATTGCAACGCTTCACATCATCATAGAACAGTCCATAGAAAGGCAATCAACTCTCTTCCTCAACTTACATTGTGCAACTTGTTAACTGCATATGAATGAAAATAACTTTATAATGAATAATTCAACTTACTATTACTTTCATAGTTTGTAACACTTATCCATGTATTCGTCGGTATATAACCAATCACTATATTGTCATTTGATAAACAAACAGCAAATTGTGAATTTATTGGACAAACAATTGGTTGAATTGCACTTGTTAATGGTGCTTCAATTGGCTCTAGTAAGTTAGGTTGTTCCTATTCAAATAGAGGATAAAAGAATTGAAACAAATAGCAAAATAATTGAACACAGGAATGAGTAATTGGTCAGCTGAAAAAATTCTTAATCGAGAAAAAAGGTGGCTTACTGTAAGTGATATATGATTGCCTTTCAACCCTGGAGCTTTGTTCCAAGCACGTTCTAAGCACAAATTATCATACCTCAATGTGTAATCACACTCCTTTCGACATATAATTCTTTATAACCTTGTCACATACTTCATATTCTTTGGTTTTATTACTAGTAAAATCTTCCATATCTCTGGTATAGGTGTGTTGCATCATTTCTACTACATGTGTGTTGGGTGTTGGTTGATCCATTGAACAAAGATTCAGTAATCAATCCCCTTCTTTTCTCTCTCCACCTAATCATATTGTTGGACCTAAGTATAGTGGGTTTATCCCATCCGATTGTGTATGGTTGTGTATGCGTGTGCAGTAAGTGCAATCATCGAGTTTTCTCCTAGATTACTGATCTTATTCGCGTCTGTTAGTTTATGTTTAGCTAAATTCTTAGGTTTCACTATTCTAACTGACTCCGATCGGCTAGTTTCATCTATGTACTTGACCTGACTCACAGACATTACATGGATTGCTGCTTAATTGCTTCTATCGGATCCATAAGTCAGTCGACGAAGTTTATCTCTGACTGAGTTGGCAGATTTATATGCCACCCCACAATGGAGGCTGCGAACTCCTTTCTACTCATCTTGCCACTATTATATCTGTTCGTACTGCTACTATCATTCTTCTTCTTATATGTTCGTATCATTTTTTTTAATAAACTGAGAATAGTTGTTAACTATTAGTGCTTCTTTGATGTGCTTCAATTCCTTGTTTAGGTCCTTGTACAAACTATTCAGTTTTCTAGGTCTACCATTGCTACATTCGACTAAACCTGCCTTCACTGACTGACTGACATTGGATGAGATGACTTAAAGTGTAGATATCTATTGGAATGTGTCGGTTTCCTGTAGACGGTAGTATCTAAACTATCACCTGTTCTTCGTTCTATCCTGTAATCCAACATACGTAATTCTCCTTGTTTATTTTCGACTTCCTCTCAACTGAATCGGATTCCGCCAACCACTGAGTTGATGTCACATGTGAAGAAATTGTCGATATGTTCCGATTTCAACATAGTAAATGTGTTTTCCAGATATCATCACCATATCTTCGGTGCAGGATTAAACGTTTGTAATGCCATCCTTTCTCAACTATTCAGAAATATATCTCCTATGCTTGGAGATTTTGGCAATCGTATTGCTACTCCTTCTGTTTATCTGTCGACGTGGTCGAAGGCCTTCTCAAAATCGATGAAGTTGACGTATAAAACCAGTTAACTGCCATTCTATACTCTGTTCTATGATGATGCGTAGAGTGGTGTAGCAGTTTAATCCACACATGATTTGTTCTTCCTGAAGCCAGCCAGCCTGTTCCGGTCGTAATTTTGAATCCAGTGCATTCTTTAGTCTCTTCAGCATGATGTGGCATAATATTTTGCTTGGGGTGGACAGTAGTATGATTCCACGCCAGTTCTTGCAAGGGCTTAGGTCTCCTTTTTTCTAAGAGTTCGATAAGGTTTCTTTTCTTCCAATCGATAAGCAGGTACCTTTCCTTCCTTGCAAACTTTCTGAAGTAGTGGTGTGGGGATGGTTCATAGATGGTGTATAACTCAGAAGGGAATGAAAAAATTGATGAAAGTGGTAAGTATTACGTAATAAGATTAGACAAGTTGATCAAGATGAAATCAATGTTTCCTAAAAAGATTAAGACAATTAAGTGAAATTGCACCGAAAACTAATCAAACTGAAGGCAATTATAATAAGAATAATAGAGATAGATGAAGGATACAAAGGTTAAATTAGCAAAGGGAGGAAGCTAACGGGGTGGAAAAACGTTATGGCTATGATAAAAATAGTGACCACTGTACATACTTCTTTTGTACATACAGATCAGCCTTAAGTTCATGAATAACTAAATCCTCCACCATTTTAAGAAGTTGAAAACGAAGAAAACTTGGGAGGTTTGGGCGAATTTGAAAACTAATTTTAAAGTTATTGGCTGGTTTTGCTGACTGATGGAGATTAATCTAATGTTCTAGAATCAAACTTCTAATAGACTTTCTTTTACCTCTATAAAACCAAGCCAGGAACATGTTCTCGTATACGTGTAGAAAGCATTCTCTGATTAAGGCTGATATATCTCACTCCACAACAGCATGTGAACTGGTACATGAAAATACAGGCGGCCAAACGAGGGAAACTTATCTTTGACACAAACACAGAATAGGTTATGGCTGGTAAAAGTCAATTGAGGTCTTGCTGCAAAGAAAGTTCTATTGATTGATTTTTATAGACGATTGATGAGTACATCTGATGCTAGACCACCTTCGAATTCTAGGCACATGAATAATCTTTTCTTTGAGACCTAGTGGATGACCGATTTATTATTTCGTTCCAGCATATCTTCATCAATAAAACGGCTAGGGTAATCGTTTTCGTGACTATGATTATTTAGTCTACACATTCAACTGTCAACCTTTCTCTAGTGTTGAGATATCCATACTCATCGAAGAGATGAACGGTGTCAACTATTACACTCCCTGTTGTTAGGGCTATCGAAGCAGACTATTCTGAAAGTAACAGTTGGGATATGTATCCCAAAATATTCTTAAATTATTACTCAATGTGTCAACACCCTATCAGAAAAATCAATTTTATTCTCACATTAAGAATAAATTAGAAAATCTATGCGATTATAAGGATCAATCACTTTAAAGTCAGGAAAAAATTCTGACTTCCATGAGTGCGTCTATAATAAAATCAAGCTATAACACAATTTTAACATTTTCCATGTTATTACTATGTTACTCATGAGTAGTTGATATTTTTTGTGTACAGTTTTTAACTTTCCACTGATTGGCCATCTGCCGTTTCCCTAACATTTGGGTAAGTTTATTCAGATGAACCTTTCAACGACCGTTAAACACCCTTCAAAAATATCTCAGTTGTATTTATTGCAAAGAGCAGCTTAAAATGAATATTCTTCTCACTAATCCACTAAAAATGTGAAGTATGTCGGTTGGGCCTTTTCAGACTACACTTCCACATTTGACTCTATCCAAAGACTTCTTTTGCTGAACAAGCTAACCGGGACAAATACTGAGTCCTGGATAGTCAGTAGGCTGCATTTCTATTTCTCTGAAAAGAAACAATAGACTTTTCACAGAAGGAAGCGCTCCACCTCATTACTTACCGTGGCTGGAGTTCCCTAAGGAGACATCCTTTCCCCTTGTCTTTTCTCATTCTTTCTGCATGAATTACCATATTAAGCAAGTATCAATTTCATCAAATATGCTGATGATCCCACAGTTTTCATACTCATCTCCTCTTCACTAGACTTTTCCCAACTGAACGATTTCCTATCTACAGTTAGACGTTGGTCCTACAAGAATGATCCTGTGCTTAATTCTTCAAAATGTCAGACTATAAACTTCAGTTTTAGACGTGAACATAACCAATGTAAACTGCTCAGGTCTCATGATTCCTGTTCTATAGATAGTTGCGTAATAGAGAATGCTACAAGTGTGATTTATCTTAATGTGTGTGTTTCTCTTTGGACCTTTGCTCGTCCTTCCTCTTATATCTTACTAATTCCCAGAAGAATCTCCCACCTAACTTTCTATATTAGAAAGCTGAGAGTATCTGGTATAATTCAGTCTCTCATCTTGTGTTTTATAAACTCCTGCATCTTGCCTATTCTCTCCTCTATTGTCCAACTTTATTCTTTCCCAGGTTACTGAAAAAGGACTACGCTTTGCTGTGTAGAACTTTAAAGATTGTCAGTAGAACTAATTGGAACTGTTGTGGACAAACAAACATCTTAACTCATGTAAACATCTCGCAGGAGATATTTTATCAGATGACCAAAACGTAATTCATGTGACTTCTCCTAACTCCATCCAACTGATGCTACATGACATGCTGAAAATTCTGCACAGTATTCTCGAAATAGTTTCAAGAATAAAGCCATTATTATTATTATTATTTAGTATGATTGTTTTTATATCATACCGTCGTTGATTGCACCGAATTGATCCGTCAATATTGGCATATGGAATCCTGTGCGGATGCCACGATATTACGGTGCTTTAATGGTAATAATGATGTCAGCCTACGATGATTATCAATTTGAATAATCACTAAAAATCTCCACAAACTCACGAATTCAATTAACCCACAACTGTTTGCCATTATGAAGAAAGTTTTCCTTTCCATCACAGCTGTACATCTTCGTATCATTTCTCGCATGTGAATGAGTCACTTTGTGAGTACTGTTGAAGTCAGATAGAGAGAATTAGGCAAGACAAGCAAATCGATTTATGGGTTTATGAACCATCATGAACTAAGGTGGTTTGGACATACATTGTGAGTGCATGCCGACGTTCAATGTTAGGGGAAGTTGGATTGGGTTAGAAGAGGATTGAAGGCAGTCAGGCTAAGAGGAGGCATTAATTCATAAAGTCTTCGTCTGTTGGTGTGAGACATGTAGGAAGGTGTAGACTACCTACCTGACTGGGGTCGTGGAGACAGACCTCTTGGTGAAATGGTTAAAAATCGTTGACAATGTCACAGATGTATTCACACAATGACGTCTTCTAAAGCTTGAATGCTTTCAACTTGAATTTGTGTATTTATATGCAAGGTTCTACATCTGTTTATCTTCAATTTATGAAGATTTCTTCATCTTTTGTGTTCTCCACGAGTGACAATCAGAAAGAAAATATATTGTTTTCTTTACAAAGAAGAAAACCTTGTGAATAATTGTGTAGTAGGCGCCAATGAGGCACGTCTACTGTCTGAGAGGCTAGTGATGCTGCCTATTTGTCTACACCTTGATCGATGGAGGAGTATTTGAACAAGTGACCCACTGATTTAATGTCAACTTCATAAACCGAGGAACCATATCTCGATGTCAAACCTGATCCCGAAGTATTCAACAACCTAAGTTATAAACCAAAGTAAAGATGAAGAAAGTCATACGTTCACCCGAAGGAATAGTGAACCAAGTCGCCGCCACCCGATCACACTAAGAAATGAGGAGTAAATTAGAGAGAAAAATGAAATAAGTGAATACATCTGTGATCCATTTTGAAGTCTAACATGTTGAGCGTTGTCAAAGTACATTCTGTGTGCTTGCTGAGTCGTCAGACCACGTTTATCGCATTCTCTTCCCTCTCCCAGATTCTCATGATCACCGTTAAATTCATACTCTTCTATGCCCCCACCTGCAAAAGCCTACCTATAGCCTAGATAAAACCTTACCAACAGCTGGTCGTTACATTGTGATGCCAGAGTTGGTATCCAGCTCGCTCACGGTCAGACCAATGTACACTCAACAACAGCAATCCCAACCTCACACGTTATATCTAGCCGAGATCGTATCCTCCAGGTATACTCAAGTACTGCGATAATGCTTTGCCAACCACTAGAGGGGGGAGGGAGCAGCGTTATGCATCCAAAACCTTACTCACCCACTATCCAGCTTCAATTTATAGACTCATTTCACCTTGTCACTGTGAATGATTACCGTCTACAGCGATTATCTTTTAATTACTAAATGTTATTACATCTTGTGTACTTTGTGAGTCGTAGACTCACGTTTTTCTTTTCCAGATTCTCGTGATCTCCCCTAGCCCCCCTTAGTACCCCCCTCCTAAATTCACACTCTTTTGTGAGCAACAGCAACAGCATATCTACAGGCTAGACCCAACCCAAAAGTTGGTCATCACATTCATTTTGCTTATTTTCAACGATGACGCTTTCTAGTGATATATATATATATATATATATATATATATATATATATATATATATATATATATGTAATTTATGCCTTGGGTTCCCAGTGGAACATACGGATTCAGTAGCACGTCCCTAGTACACCCTGTCCTCTGCAAACTTTTCAACCTGGCTACACCACTGCCCACAATCTCTCATTTCTTCCTCAAACCATCTCCTCCATGTCATCCTCAGCTGCGACACCCAACTCACCGTTTCCCATCTGGGTTCCACTCAAGGGCCTAACCTCACGCCTAACATCCCCAGTCGGCCTTCTCAGTGTATGCCCAATCCATCTACACTTCCCTCTTCTGCATATTTCTTCAGTGATAGATTCTTGCTTCGTTCGTTCCTTCCCACAGTTCCTTGTTACTCATTCTTATTATTTTGGACATCTGATCTCAATCTTCAGTAACGAGTCAGCGTAGACTGCAGTTGTTGATGTATGATGTCAGCAGTTTGTTCGAAATGCTTCTTGTAACGCGCCAAGTCTCTCTCAATCATCACATACAAGCACTGAGTTACTTGACTGAATTGGTGTTGAAAATCTGGATGTTGTCCACGCTGTATGCTGAGTGCAGAAGATCTACACACTGTTTTTAGATAAATGAACGCCTGTCTTGCTGTCTTTTCGATTCTGGCTGGCTTTGACGTTCTCGTGTGTGTCGCCTGTAGTTATCTTTATTGCAATAACCGAAAGGACTTGCGTGGCCAGTACACCACACCTCCTGGTTATTAATAGGCTGCAGCTAAACTACATCGAAGATTAAATGAGTAAAGCTTATATAAATGGATATACTGTTCAATGTTAACAAAGTGTACATAAGGTGCAGTATAAACTTACCCCAATACAACTTTTATCCTGAGCAGTATAAATTTGACTTGATGCACAAATAATAAGTTTACCAGAATCAGATAGACAATAGTTAGTTATGCTAGATGCTGAGATACGCATACGTTCATGTAGTAGGAAATCAGCTAAAGAAAGTGAATTTCTGTCATATGACAAAAAAGTTAAAGGAAAGTAAACTAAACGAATGAAATAAATCTAGTGTTGAATTCACAATTGACAAAAACATAGTCAAGTGGTTGCTGGTTACAGCCTGATTTAAGTAGTATAACACGTAAACAATGAGATGAATTATTATTATTACTGTTACTTGTCCTTCGGGTTCCTAGTGGAACAGAGGACTTCAGTAGAACGTCACCTCGAACGCCCAACTCGTTGTCTTCCCTTTGGATTCCACCCGAGGGCTTGGTCTGGCTTGATGTGTGATGTCCCCAATCGGTCTCTTCAGTCTATGCTCGAACCATCTCCACTTTCTTCTGCATATTCCTTAGTCAATAGGTTCTTGACTTGATGGTTCATTGCCAGGCCAGAGTTCCTTCTTGCTTGTTTTCATTATTCTGGACATCTGATCTTTAGTATCGAGAGAGTGTAGGCAGCAGCTGTGGATGTGATGTATGTCTGTAGTTTGTTAGAAATGCTTTTCGTAACGCGCCAAATCTCTTAACCATCACATAGAAGCATTGACTTGACAGACTTTTTGTTGAAAATCTGGATCTTCTTCACGCTTTATGCTGAGTGCAGCAAATCTCCACATTGATTTCAGATTACTGAAGGCCTGTTTAGCTTTTCGGATCCTGCTTTTCACATCCTCATCTGTGCCTATGACGCCTGTAGTTGAAATGATGTTGCCTGCCTAGGTAGGTGAAACAGGCAACTTCCTTCAGATTTTTTCCGTTGATGGTGATGGGTGCCTGTCGTTGTTGGTTGGGTGTCTTCATCACCTCTGTCTTCGTTGCCTCACCTCTTCTGCCAACTTGCTAGTTTTCGCCTGTAGATCTTCCAGTTTGTGTGACATTAGACATAAATCATCGGCGAAATGCAAATCTTCTAGGCTCTTTTCATCGGTCCAGTGTATGCTCGCCTTCTCATAGGTTGTCACAGTTTTTCATAATCTAGTCCACCACAATCAGGAAGATCATCGGCGATAGTAGGCGGAAACCTTGTCTTACCTGTCAACCTTCCTTCACTTCAAAGGTATCACTGAGTTGTTACACAATTTTCTGATCAAATGGTTAAACACACAAGATTCGTTCGGTATTTGCCAACTTGTATCATCTATGGCACCGACTGGCAAGATATTCGACTACGTATTGAAGGACAAATATGCCGCGCTGTAGCTCGTTATGGCCGTTGAAAGTAGCATATATGAAGCAGTTACAAAGTTTTGATCATAAGGATCTTCGCAGAATCTCTGATGTCTGGTGTAATCGTCGTTTAAGTAATGTTAAGGTCAGGAGAAGGGTACTGGGCAAGATACGCAAGTTGATTGCTGACACATTGTGAACCTTCATCACTTAAAATGGCTTAGAAATGTATTGCACATGCCGAGTCACCACCTATGTCAAAGTGCAACGCTAGAGGAAGTTGGATTAGGTTGGAAGAAGGTTCAAGGTGGTCAGACTAGAACTTGACGCCAGTCCATGAAGTCTCTGATTGTTGGCTAAAATCGTGTGGAGAGATGTAGCCTGCCTAGTTGGGGACCCAGAAACGAAAGGAAATCGGTGGTTGAAGAATATTGGTGGCATGGCTTTAAATCGGCGACAACGCTGTAGATATATTCATTATCTGACGTCCTCTAAAGCTTGACTAAAATCCTCTGGATTCAAAATTATGACCGGAACAGGTTGACTGGCTTCAGGAAGAACAGATCATGTCCGGATCAAATTGCAACGCCATGCATCATCATAGAACAGATCATAGAATGACAGTCAACTATTCGCCTCAAATTCATCAACTCGGAAAGGACTTTCGATAGCGTCGATCAAGAAGTAGTTTGACATCTGCTTCAACACTACGGTTTTAGTGACACAAATCTTTACCAACCTCATTCAACAGCAGTTAAATGACGACGCTGTATGCCAGATGATTCATGATGGAAAGCTCAGTGATGCCTTCGAAGTGAAGATAGGAGTAAGACAAGGTTGCCGCCTACTATCACCGACCATCTTCCTGATTGTAATCGACTCAACTCAACTGGATCATGCAAGAAACTGTGAGGAACGAGAAGATAGGCATACGCTAACTGTTTGACCGATGAAAAGACCCTAGAACATAAAGATTTCGCCGATGATGATTTATGTCTGTCGCACAAGCTCAAAGATCTACAGGCAAAAACCAAAAGTTGGCAAAAAAGGAGGAGCGAGGCAAAGCAGAGAAGACAGGACTTTTTTCAGGTGAACGTAGAGAAGACAGAGGTGATGAAGATACCCGACAAACAACGAGAACAAAAACAAGCACCAATCGCCGTCAACGGGAGAAATTTGAAGGAAGTTGTCTCTTTCACCTACCTACCTAGGCAACATCGTTTCAACTACAGGCGGCAGCGCAGGCACAGATGAGAATGTCAAAGCCAGGATCAGGAAGACAGCCAGACAGGCCTTCCTGCATTGATCTGAAATAATCAATGTGGAGATCCACTGCACTGTAGTCAGCATGTGGAACATGATCCGGATTTTCAACATTAACGTTAAATCAAGACTTCTATACGGCTCAGAAACTTGGCGTGTTATAAATAGCATTTCCAACAAACTACAGACATGCATCATCAACAGCTGCCGCCTACGCTTTCTCGATACTAAAGATCAGATGGCCAGAAAGAATAAGCAACACGTAGCTCTGGCCTGATAACGAACCAACCAAGAACGCATCACCCAACAAATATACAAAAGAAGATTGTGGAGATGGATCGAACATACACTGAGAAGATCATTTGGGGACATCACGCGTCGAGCAAGGCCCTTGAGTGGAACCCAAATGTGAAATGATGAGTTGGGCTACCGAGGGTGACAAGGAGGCGATGGTATAAGGAAGAAATGAAAGCTTATGAGCAGTCGCGGAGCCAGGTGGAAAATTCGGATTTCTTTTTGTCACTAGTGTTATAGTGTGCGCTAAGATTTAATTTGAGATTTGTGAGGATTTAGTGATTTCTCCAGTTGGTATTCATTATGGACTGACATCAATTGCAAGAACATTGAAAACCTGGGAGCAATGGACAGTTGTTGCGTTCGACTAGTATGCGACTCCTTACCAGTGCGCATCTACGACTCCACCCCACCAGGGGTCGAACCCATAACTTTCAGGTTTCGTGATCAGCACGTTACTATTAAGCAACTAATTTAGCGATAAGATTCCCAAACCCTCATCAAAATCCTGAAATCCTGAAGCCTTTCATAAACAGTCTTGTTTTACTTCGAAGTCTCGACAAGAGGCTAGAAATATTCAACGCCATTGTAAATTTATATAAACCGTTGTGTTTTGCACATATTTTGGCATTACAACACTGACTCCTATCGTACAACCTTTTCTATTTATCGAGGGAACTGAGCAACTATTAAGCGTAGGGAATCTGATGATAATTGTTCAAGTGTATCCACTCTCATGTATAGTAAGCCAGCTTACTAATACGCCAGAAAATCTACGACTAGAAATTAGACACATCAAGAATATCTTGCACTTCATTAACTACCCACCTAAGTTTATAAATAAATTCATAAGAAATTGAAAGAAAAATATTAGCAGTAGTAGTAGTAGTAGTAGTAGTATGAGTGGTATGAGTAGTAGTAGTGTGAGTAGTAGTAGTAGCAGTAGTGGCAGTAGTAGCGTTAGTACTAGTATTGGTAGTAGTAGCAGTCGTAATACACATGTTATTATTAATGATTTTACTAATAATGGTAAAGATGGTCACAGGTTTGAGAGAGAATTCAGTGTCCCTACCCTGCCTCTTCTGTCAACTTATTAGTTTTCGCCTGTAAATCTTCAAGTTTGTGCGACACTAGACACAAGTCATCGGCGAAATCCAAATATTCTAGGTTCTTTTCCCCATCCTAGCGTATCCCTCTTTTCTCGCTCCTCACTTCTTGCTGCATGATCCAGTCCATAACAGTCCGGAAGATCATAAGTGATATTAGACAGTCTTGTCTTACTCCTGTCTTTACTTCAAAGGTGTCGCAGCTTTCCATTGTGGATCACTTGGCATGTGGAGTCTTCATATAGTTGTTGAATGAAGTTGACAAAAGGTTTGTGGCACTGCGTAGTGCTGGAGCAGTTCCAAAATTACTCCTCGGTCAACGCTGTCGAGGGCTTTTTCAAAATCGATAAAGTTGAGGTAGAGCTAAGTTGACTGCCATTCTATGCTCTGTTCTATGATGATGCGTAGCGTAGCTTTGAAATCCGGTCCGCACATGATTTGTACTTCTTGAATCCGACCTGTTCCGATCGTAGTTTTTAATTCGGCGAATCCTTTAGTGTCTCCAGTTGCTACTGTGCGGTCAAGAAATCCCTATTGGACAATTTATCCACTCTTGACCTAGGAGTTTTATACGCTCATGAAAACTGCATATATAAACGAGGTATTTTTGTCAAATAGTTTCTCCCTTACAATTACAGGCCAGTTCTTTGTCTTCCGACTTTCATGGCTCAGCAAAGGATAAGGTTTTAAGGCAAAATAGTCGCTATCAGTGTCCATTTCAGCTACCTTATCGCGTTATTGTTGTTTGCATGTATTTATTACCTGTATTATTCACTCGATTACTTCAATTCATAGAAAAACAATTGGTAACCAGGATGGAAAATATTTACTAGTCTTTTCTCAAGTTTGTAGTGACAATAACTAGTTATGAATAAAATATTCTTGGACAACTACCTCAAGAGAAACCTTAACTTCATCCGGCCGGCAGCTGTTACCTTGACGTGATGGTCCTGCTTGCACATCACAATGACTCAAGAAGCTATATTGGTGAAACGCTTGTTTCCTCGAGGTCCTATGATACCAGAAAAGTGTTGGATAGCGGTAAGATGAAAATCAGTTACCGTTGTAGTGTAAATTACTATAGTATGATGGCAATCCAAGAGTGAAGTCGTACTGGATGGGATATGACAGCAATAAGGTGTTTCCCTTGAATGACCATAAGTGCCACGCTGATGCTGCCTACTCTTTGGAAAGAGGGCTTGAAGAAGGTCAGCCCCCAAAATAACACACTACAATCTCCCACAAAGCCTTCCGGTGCCGGTAGTATGAGCTTTCTCTACTCAGAATCAGAACAACCAAATCACAAAACAACACACAAAAGGCAACGTATGGTAAGCCTCAACGAGATATCCTATAACCTCTGTGGTAACATAAATCTTCTTCTCTTCCATGGGGTTAGGGTTGCCAAGAAGTTTCAAACACTTGAACACTTCAAGTAGGACACAAGACCCAATCAAACATAATCTCTCCCCATCAACTCTATCTACTTATTTGCCTTACATCTTATGTCTTCCCACAACTGCTCATTATGCGACCATTGCCAATTATCAAAGCCATTGAACCAATGCACTTGTGTTCGAGATCCTACATTGATTCTGTCAGCTATTCAGTCCTCAATTTCATCAACCACCTTTAAAGTAATCTTCTTGGAATGTTGATATATTACAGTACTTACCTGTATTCAATAAGTTCATCAGGAAGTAATGGATACCAAATCAGTTGGTTATCATTATTATTATCATCATGTGAATACGGTTGAATAATATCAGCACAAAATAATGTAGGTTTAGTGCCAGAATCGAAAATTTCCAAAGGAAAAGAAATGAAATAAATTCGACAACGTAACTAAAAATTCAAAAACAGACATTAAAACATTTAATGATCGAGATAATGTAAAACTTTGACGAAGTTTTATGATTTAATATGTCAGTCACTACCAGCATAATTAGCTTAATGGTCAGTTTTCGCATATCACATCGTGGTACTCTAGTGGTTCATTGAATTAGGCAGTTGAGCATAGGTGATAATAGGTGAGTTTTCAGAATTTGTCACGTTTAGTGGAACTACCTTGAGAGTAATGTTGAGGTGAGGGGAAGGGTAATAGGCAAGACAGACAAGTCGATCGATGATACATTGTGAACATGCATCAACTGAGATGGCTTGGAAATGTATGGTGCATGCTGAATCACCGCCTACCTCCAATGCCACAGAGAGTTGAGTTCGGTTGGAAGAAGGTTCAGGGTGGTCAGATCAAGATGTGTCACCAGTCCATAAAATCTTTTGCTGTCCAACTTCCACTAGCATTGGACGTCCAGATAGGCGATGACTCGGCTTGCGCAGTACATGTCAATGCCATCTCAGTCGACTAACGTTCACAGCCCTGTCAATCAACTTATCTTTCACCTGACCTCAACATTGCTCACACAGTGATTGCACCATACGGGAAGAATGCGAAGAAGACACATATGATCGAAAAACTGTAACTGCCTAATGTCTCCTAGCCGGATAACTCGCCGATGCCAAAGGCAACTCAAGTTGCCAAATGCCAAACTTCGGTTCAAACTCCGCTCCATCCAACGAGGTTTCGGTTACCAGATAGTGGCATCATTAGCCCTCAAAACAGTAGGTGCAACTAATAGATGCCTCAGTAAACGAATATGCACAAAGTCACTGAGTCACAGTGACTCAAAGTGGCAGGGAATGTCGCGAAAAGGAAACAAGAAGGAATGAGATATTAATGAAATTCAGGATAAAAATAAAGATGACGGTTGTTGAGAGTTTCAGTCATGGTTAACTAAAGGACGCATAATCTAGATACCGGATGAGTACCTTCGTAGCACAGGCGGTGTATCGTGGTGTCACCACGAGAGTGACGCAGAAATCAGGAGTAGAGTTTTAGGGAGGGAGAAGAGGTTAGTCAGTTGATTAGGTTGTGAACCTTCATCGATTGAGGTGGCTGGTTGGGACACGTGTTACGTATGCCTAGTCGCCAATTGCCTCATCACGCAATGCTGGCCGAAGTAGGTCCAGGCTGGAAAAAGGCTCGAGGCGGTCAGACTAAAACATTACATCAATGTGTGAAATGTTTGACTGTTGGTTTGAGCCATGTGAGGCGATGCAGACTAGTCGGTTGGGGTCCACGGGACAAGAGGAACCAGTGGTTGAAGACTCTAGGTAGTAATATGGCACAGATGTATCCTCACACACATTATCCTCATCTTAACACAATGCTATGCCGAATCTCACCATTTCCTCATTCTTCCTTTCTCTCTTTTCGTACTTCATATTTCTTCTGACTGGATTTTCTTTCTTCGTCTCCCACTTCACCGCTTTTCTACTTGATGTAGTGATATGAGGTGTGGGAACTCGGACTGCTACGCAGTAATACATGGTCCTATGTTGATAGGTGATAATGATGACCAGATGAGCAATATGATACACGACAACTCTAACATAAAGAAGAAGACAGTACTGAACTGGACAGAGTTTACCGCAATCACAAAGTATGAATTTAGTGGGTGCAACTTTTGCGTTTCTATACAATGTGAGAATCCTTATGATGAACAGACAAACTATTGCATTAAAGGTGACTGATTAACGAATAGGGAAGTACCGTTTTTGAAGGCAGCAATATGAGAGACACGTGAGGCGGGAAAAGGCATACAAAAAGATAATTCGAATTCTCTGTAAGGTAACTTATAGAATTTACACATAAAATGTTCAGTTTCGGGGATTGAAAATCCCTAAGAAGGACAATATGTGAACACATGCATGTCAATGAGATAGATTCTCAGCTATGTTAACTAGAGTCTCCAATCATTGATTTCTGTTAACAAGCGTACTTCAAGAGGATAGTCTGCATCTCCGAGGATGGTTCAAACCAACAATGATGCCATGTTTTAACCTGACAGCCTCTCACCTTCTTCCAGCCTGAACTTACTTCATTTAACATTGCGCGACGAGGGAAACGGTGACTAGGCATGCGTGACACATGTCTCAATCACACTTGTGTTTATTTTCAGCTAATTTGAAATAAGCAACTAGGCAAAACATTCCGTTGTAGCCTGTATTACATAGAAATAGGTCACAAATACAAAACGAAACGAACTTATCAAACGCGTTCAAGTGCATTCAATAGACAATGAGCCACAACTACTGTTTGAGGACTACAGATACTAACTGATCGCCCAAACTTCTGCAGGTGGCTCGAACCCTTGACCCACTGATTCTATCCATCCATCCAAATCAACATAGGAACAAGCATTACTGCGTAACGGTTCCAGTTCCCACACCTCATACCACTACAACCAGTAAAAAGGCAGTGAGGCGCAAGATGAAGATAAGAAAATCCAATCAAAGGAAATATGAAGTACGAAAAGAGAGAAAGGAAGAATGAGAAAATGGTGAGATTCGGTATAGCGTTGTGTTAAGATGAGGATAATGTGTGTGAGGATACATCTGTGCCATATTACTACCTAGAGTCTTCAACCACTGGTTCCTCTTGTCCCGTGGACCCCAACCGACTAGTCTGCATCGCCTCACATGGCTCAAACCAACAGTCAAACATTTCACACATTGATGTAATGTTTTAGTCTGACCGCCTCGAGCCTTTTTCCAGCCTGGACCTACTTCGGCCAGCATTGCGTGATGAGGCAATTGGCGACTAGGCATACGTAACACGTGTCCCAACCAGCCACCTCAATCGATGAAGGTTCACAACCTAATCAACTGACTAACCTCTTCTCCCTCACTAAAACTCTACTCCTGATTTCTGCGTCACTCTCGTGGTGACACCACGATACACCGCCTATACTACGAAGGTAACGGTGGTCAAACACCTAAAGTCTTCTCATGTCTTCCACCTTCAATGACCATATTTCACAGTCATATAGTAGAACAGACCGGACTGCTGTGCAGTACACGCGACCCTGAATAGACAATCGGATATCATGGCAGGGCTACAGGTAGCGTAAGTTGGCAAAAGCCAACCGAGCCTTTTGTATTCGTCCAGAGATTTCATCGGCCAGTGAGGCACCAGGGTTGGTCCCACTTCGTAGGTTAGTGAAGTGGTCAACACACTCAACCACTGCACTCTCTACTTTTAGCAAAGGCACTGTTGAAGACCAACCCTGGAGCAACAATTTACATTAGGGTGGTGAGGGACCCATTGATTGACAGTCATATTTCTAAACTACTGAGCTGCGGACAAAATGTTCTTATTGATTCGTTAGAGGCAATCATAGGCAGGAAGACCTGCTGGATCGAGGTTCCGGGCGTTTCGGAAGTCATCGCCAACCTTGAGGGAACTGATGTCTCCTCTCAAAGTGCATCGTGATGGTCAGTCATAAAACGTTATTTATCAGAAAAATAAATAAATAAATGCATCCTTAAGTTTAATGAATGAAGATAGAGTTCCTATATGGTTTAAGATAACTCACGTAAGTCATTCTGTATGAACACTCTATTTGTTATCTATTACGGGGTTATACAATGAACTTGTTTGTTCAAGAAAATACGTGATGGGAATAGTATATGAATGGACTATTCATAGGGAAAACAATATCAGAAGGAAAAAAACTGTAAAGGAGATGACTTACTTCATCTTTATTTTGGGAACAATTTCGGATGTTGATTAAACTGGGAATAGAATATGTATGAATACCAAATCCACATGATGAAGCTGTATGATAAAATTGTTTAAATGCATATTTATATTCATCAGCTGAACAATTGTTCAATTCAGATGTCATTTCTCACCTATCAATAACAAAATAAAAACACTTTCTAATATCTAAAAGTCAAATAAACTTTAAAGAGCTAATATGAACACAGAATAACACCTAGACATAAGTTCATCAATGGGTGTGGCCTGAATAAAAGTCTCTTTCTGACTTCAACACTGAAGGATACAGATTAAAATCACCATGTGAACATGAGTTCTACAACTGTGGGTCATTGCTTTTGACATTTGACCTCCAACTGATGACTTACAGGTTTAAACATCGTTCCATTTACCGAAATCTAGGCATGCAGAACCAATAAGATATAGATGAAAAAGATAAACGACTAAGTGGTTTAAAATATTATCAAGTACGTTTTAGAACTGAAAGTAATGTGGATGTAAGGCTTTCGTCTCCTTGTACTGTTTATTTTACGACATAGTAACAGAAGTAATGCGTTTCAAATGGATGTTGCTGCTTGTAATCACTCTACTACCTCTAAAGTTTATTTCCTAGTACAACCGTAATGCCTCATTATCCTAGGCACTGAAAGGAGTGCCGAGTAAGTACATCACCTTATTTAAGGCCCTCTACTCGAACACTTGCGGGCGTGTGAGAGCCTATGGTGAGATTTCAGGTGAACTGTACTCATTGAGCGGTGTCCGTCAAGGGTGCCTACTCTCTCCATTCTCATTCAATTTTTTCATAGATATTCTTATGCAGGTTTCCCTCTCATCGCCTGATTTCACAGACCTTGACCTAATCGGTGGAGAATTTTCGTTAGACCTAGAATATGCAAAGGATATTGTTCTGTTAGGCGAAGACGCTGACAAGATGTAAAGTCTTCTGAACACTGAGTAGCAATTTGAGAATGTTGGGATCCGTTTCTCACCACTAGTACACAAATTGCTGCTCCAGGATCGGCCTTCAACAGTGCCACGCCTAACAATAGAGACAGTGAGTGAAGTAGTAGAGTGTGTTGACCCCTTCACTTATCTGGGAAGTGGGATCATCCCTTATGGCTCAGTGGCCGCTGAAATCTCTGCACGAATATATATATATATATATATATATATATATATATATATATATATATATATATATACGAACATGATATCGGATTGTCTATTCAGGGTCGCGTGTACTGCACAGCAGTCCGGTCTGTTCTACTGTATGGCTGTGAAACACAGCCACTGAAGGTGAAAGACATGAGAAGACTTTAGGTGTTTGACCACCGTTACCTTCGTAGTATAGGCGGTGTATCGTGGTGTCAGGAGTAGAGTTTTAGTGAGGGAGAAGAGGTTAGTCAGTTGATTAGGTTGTGAACCTTCATCGATTGAGGTGGCTGGTTGGGACACGTGTTACGTATGCCTAGTCGCCAATTGCCTCGTCACACAATGCTAGCCGAAGTAGGTCCAGGCTGGAAAAAGGCTCGAGGCGGTCAGACTAAAACATTACATCAATGTGTGAAATGTTTGACTGTTGGTTTGAGCCATGTGAGGCGATGCAGACTAGTCGGTTGGGGTCCACGGGACAAGAGGAACCAGTGGTTGGAGACTCTAGGTAGTAATATGGCACAGATGTATCCTCACACACATTATCCTCATCTTAACACAACGCTATACCGAATCTCACCATTTTCTCATTCTTCCTTTCTCTCTTTTCGTACTTCATATTTCCTTTGATTGGATTTTCTTATCTTCATCTTGCGCCTCACTGCCTTTTTACTGGTTGTAGTGGTATGAGGTGTGGGAACTCGAACCGTTACGCAGTAATGTCTGGTCCTAGGTTGATCGAGATGGATGGATCCTAGGCAGTTGACTTTTAAACACTGAGTAAAAGGTTCTAACTCCGTTTGACAAGCGAAGTGTGGATCACTGCCTAGTCCATGAACAAGCATATGGTTACCAAGAGAGTTTAGCAGTTATCATAAAAGTAACTTCATTGTCTTGTGTTGCGCATTATTGGATTTCCTTATTGCCTAATCTTAGACAATGAACTGAGACCTTATGACACTCAGTAACAAAAAGTTGATGTAAGTGGAGCATGGATTTAAAACTACGGTACATTGTCTAGAAGTTGAATGAGCAAACATATAAATTTGGCGTCACTTCAACATTCTGAATACCATTACCTTCTTTTCTCACATATACATTCGTCTACTGTTATGTCATTCCTTCAACAGTCACTTCTTAATTTACTGCTGTGAATTTCGCTAATTTGAAATGCAGCAAAGCCATACCATGTTTTACGTTGATTCATACAGTTATGCACACGTGAGCCAACTTCAATAAAAATACATCAAGACAGGTTAACGGAAAATCAATGTAGAACCTTGCGCACAAGTACACTGGTTCCAGTTGCCACATTTCACAGTAGCACAAAAAGAACAGGTGGATAGAAAAGGAGTGATATCAAGGTAGACGAAATTGTGTGCCCACTGAGAATACTCAAGCTTTAGAGGACGTCATCTGCACCATTGTAACTGACTTTCAGCCACATCAGCAAGTCCTCAACCACTGATTCCTATCGTCCCTTGGATCCCAACCCGGCAGTCCACGTCTAACAATACGACTCAGTCCGACAGCAAGAGACTTTATGGACTAGTGTCATATCTTCATCTTGCCACCCTGAACCCTCTTCCAACCTAATCCAACATCCCCTAGCGTAGCACATTGAGGTAGGCGGTGACTCGGCATGAGCAATATTTCCAATTCATCTCAAGCAATGAATATCCACAATATTACCAATCGACTTGCCTATCTTGCCTAGTACCCTGCCCCTGACCTCGATAGTGCTCACACGATGATTTCATTATACGCAACCAGTGCTAAGAAGACACCCATAATTAAAGACCTGGAATCGCTTCATATCTGCTACTTTCAACGGCCATGTCTCAGCTGTAAAACAGTACAGAACTAACTGCATTGAATTATACTCGTCTTTTGATAAATAGTCAGATATCTCCTCAGTCGGCGTCACAGATGACGCTGGTTAGCGAATGCTAAACGGACCCTTTGTACCGGGCTAATGCAACTCGTAAAGTATGTGAAGTGGTCGACACATCCCACCACGTCACTCCTTATCATTCAACTAGGAGTTCTTGCAGTATACGAGTCTTGGAGCATCATCTTACATTTTACGGGTGCGAGATGCGTAGCAAACACACATAGATTTCTGCCCAAGGTGTTCAAAAGACCTTAAGTTTTGTCAGCGTCTTCACCTAGGAGGACAAAATTGTCTGTATACTCCCCAAATCTGCAGCAAGCATTGCTCTCCAGAGCCATGGATGTATGCTGTATTTCTGAGTTACCCATACATGAACCGAGTTTGGCTATTAAGTTAACTTCACATAGCCAATGTGGTGTATCCCCGAAATTCACCCTGAGTATCCGCAACCTCAATGCTTACCTCTCGTGGACTTGGTGGTGTAGGCCTAGAATTGTGTTGTAGTGCAAAAAGTGCGCTTCTCGACTGGATGCCAGTCGACAACCGTTTATGTCCTGTTCGACTGAATGGGTCTGTAATAACTAGAAAGGATTATGAGACTATCCGATGCCCAATCATAATTTTTGTCTATGCACCCACTGATTGCATTTCGGATGATGTCAGGGATGAATTCTATGCGAAGCCGTCAACTTTAATACAAAAAACTAAACGTCTGGATGTGTTCATAATGTCAGGTGAATTTAATGCTCAAGTAGGGAGGATGAGACAATCAGAACGGGATCTTGGGGGTATTTATGTAATCCTATCCCAAAGGACGAAATATAGTGATCACCTCTTGTAATTTCGTTCTGACAGTCACATATCGTCGGATAACACTAACTTCGAGCTTACGAGCGGATATTATCTCACTTGGCTTCCACTGATATCAAACGAATGATGGACACAGACAGATCATATTGCTATAAGCTGTCGTTAGACGGTTGTTGGGGGATTATCGCTCATTATGAAATACTTGTTTGAACTCTGATCACGCGCTAGTAGGGGCTTGTGTATGTCAGCGACATACTAGGTGCAGAAAGCAGGGACTAGAGAAGTTTGTGTGTGCTTACTGGAAGATGAAAAGATGAGGTACGCATTTAGAAAGGAGATAGGTAGACATTCACCTGACTTTGACAGCAATGCTCATGTTGAAAAAGCCTAACGTGATATTAAGTCTATTATAGAAAAAGCGGTACCCAAAGGTTGATAGATGTCAGTGGATTTCCATAACTTCATCCGGAATTATTGATACGAGAAGGCTCTAACAACAATGAAGAGCGAAAGCAAACTGAACGTAAATTAATCACAAACCTCCGCAATGATAACGAACAGTGATAGGTGGCGAAAGCGAAAGAGGTGAAGAAGACACCAGCGTTGGGTAACACTGCAACTGTAAAGTTTTATTAAAGACACCGACAAGAAGAAAACGACGGTTAGTGAAACCATCAATGAAAAGGATGGGACGCCGATAACCTCCCAGGACAGGAGGCCAGGACATTAATCAGAACACTGACCGACCGTTCAACTGGCCCTCAGCAATGTTTCAGGTGACCAACGTCCAGCATGAAGCCAAATGAGGTGTAGATCCTGGTCCTGGAACTCTGAACCTGAAATGATACAAAGCAGTAGTATCGTGTATAACATTTTCTTTTCTAATCACCTATGCATTTCCACCGTTCTTACTCGTTCAGGATATGATGAAAATAAAAGACACTTCACAGAATTAGGTTTGATGATGGTTAAAAACGTCTAATTATATACGCGATAGAGTGTTGAAGAGTTACATCCTAAAAATATGGTAGTAATACATTTTACAAGTTGGGGGAAAACATGGGACCAAACAATAACAAGGAAGGAATCAGGGCAAAACTTTAAAACTCTGAGAATCGTTTGGCATTGTTGATATAGTTTTTTTGGCATAGTCTCTAGATTTGCCCAATGGAAAAGTTCACTGGGACAGCTCTTCAAATTCCGTGTACTGCTAACAGCTTGAGTCCAATTAAGGTCACAAATTAGAAGAACTTGACCTAGAAACTTCCAAACTAAGCTACAAAGCGAGTTGATAAAGAAAATAGTAGAAGTGAAATAAAAAATAATCTCCAAATGCTTACAATATCCAAGTGGCGAACCCCATATTCACTTACCAAAATATTGAACAGAGGGTTGGATAACGAAATATGCTCAAAACTTAAAAATATGGTCAAATAATTTGACTACAGGAGAAAACTACAGACAAAAGTGAAACTTACTACGCTAATCCTAAATGTAACGCACCATGTAGAAATGTCACCACTAGCTCCAATGTCCAATATGTAGAAAAAAAGGGTGAACTCTAATGTCACTAATAATACCGAAAGCTGAATATACTGAGCAGTTCAGCTCAGCGTCTTAAAGTTTGAGAGGAGTACTAATTTTATTAGCTTCAATGGACAGCTTAACCATTTCGGAAGATGAAGAGGGAGATGTTAAACCCTAGAATGCTGTTCCTCCAAACGTGATCCAGGTCACTTCTCCTGAATCCTTTAAATGCCGTTTGATTAATTATTTGGAAGGTGCCTGAGACATGGTCTCAAGGTAGTACTACAGCTCCTGGTCTGTAGATTACGGAAAGCTTATCTAGTACAGCCCTTCCGTACCAGACTCTAGATGCTCATCTAACCTCCTTTTGAAAGTATCGGTGGACGGGGCCATAACAACTGCTGTAGGAAGAAGGTCCCACGGTTAACAAACTCCCACGACAGATGACTTAGCATGGATCTTTTAAATGCTCTCTCAGGCTCTACTCATAACGCGTGACCCTGAAGTAGCGTTTCCAATTACAGCCTGCATGGATGCACAGCGACAAGAGGAACTGAGTACAATGTATAAAACACTGGACAAAGAAGTGAATAAGAATGCACGCAAAGACAAACGACACTTCTACGAAACACTGGCAAGTGAAGCAGAACAGGCTGCAGGTAAGAGAGACCTGACGACATTGTATCAAATAACCAGGTTGCTATCTGGGTAGAGGCCAACACAGATGAAACCAATAAAAGATGATGATGGAAATTTAATTACGAAAGAAGAGAAACAAAGGAAACAATGGGCCGACCACTTCAAGAAGCTCTTGAATCGACCACCACCACCACCTGCACTTCGTCCAGAAATACCACCTGCAGCCGCTGAACTACAAGTGAACATAAATCCCCCAACGAAAATGGAAGTCCTGAACGCCATAAAGCTACTGAAATGTGGGAAAGCAGCAGGACCAGACGGGATCCCGCCAGAAGCACTGAGAACAGACGCAGGGATAACAGCAGACATGCTCACACCACCATTTCAGGAGGTCTGGAAGGAAGGGAAGGTACCTGTCAATTGATTGGGAGAAGGGCTACATTGTGAAACTCCCGAAGAAGGGAGACCTCAGTGTTTGCGAAGACTGGCGCGGATCTTGTCCGTCCCAAGCAAAATCTTAAGCCACATCATCCTGGAGAGACTATAGGACACAATGGATTCAAAACTACGACCAGAACAGGCTGGCCGACTTCAAGAAGTACAAATCGTGTGCCGACTAAATTGAAACGCTTCGCATCATCACACAACAGAATATAGAATGCCAGTCAACTGGATCTCTACCTCAACCTCATCGACTTGGAAGAGGCCTTCAACAGCGTCTACCGAGAAGTAACTTGGAAACTGATTCAACATTACGGAATTCCACTAACCTTTATCAACCTCATTCGACAACTATATGAAGACACCACATGCCAAGTAATTCACAATAGGAAACTCAGTGATGCTTTTGAGGTGGAGTGAAGACAGGAGTGAAACAAGGCTGCCACCTACTATCACCCATGATGTTCCTGATTGTAGTCGAGTGGATCATGCAACAAACAGTGGGGAGCGAGAAGAGGGGAGGGGGATACGCTGGACTGCAGAGAAGAACCTAGAAGACTTGGATTTCGCCTGTGATGACTTGTGTCTGATGTCACACAAACTTGAAGATGTACAGGCGAAAACTAACAAGTTGATAGAAAAGACAGGGCAGGACAGTGAGTGGAGACGGGACTTCCTTCAAGTGAATATAGAGAAGACGGCGTTGATGAAGATACCCAACCAACACCACCACCACCACCAACAACAACAACAACAACAACAACAAACTCAAACCACCATCAATGGAGAAACTAAACGAAGTAGCCTCTTCCATCTACACCTATCTAGGCAGCATCCTCTCAACTGCAGGTGGCACAGACGAGGATGTGAAAGTGAGAGTCGGAAAGACAGCAAGACAGGCATCCGTCAGCCTGAAACCAGTGTGGAGATCTTCTGCACTGCACTCAGCATACAACGTGAACAACAACCAGATTTTCAACACCAACATGAAATCAGTGCTCCTGTATGGTTCAGAGACTTGGTGCGCGACTTAAACGATTTCCTACAAACTAAAGATATTCACCAACATCTGCAGTCTACACTGGCTCGTTACTGAATATCAGATGGCCAGAACAGTGAGAATAAGCAACAAGGAACTCGTACTGGTAAGGAACCAACGAAGCGAGAATCTATCGCTGAAGAAATATGCAGAAGAAGGGAGTGTAGATGGATTGGGCGTACACTGAGAAGGCCGACTGGGGACGTCACGCTCCAGTCACTCGAGTGTAGCCCAGATGGCAGCGACGAGTTGGGCGTCCGAGGTTGATATGGAGGGGATCGCGTGATTAGTAAACGAGAGGTTGTGGGCTGACGTGGAGCCAGGTTTGAAAGATTTCGGGGAACAGAGCTCATTGGAGACGTGACACTGAAGCCCTGTGTTCCATTCGGAACCCAAGGGACAAATAATAGTAATAATAAATCCAATGTCATGGTTTTCGTCAATAATTAGTAATAGTGGGGGTAGTCATGTTTTCTGAGCTGGGTGGTTTACCCGTGAAGCTTTCAGCACTACTTCTTCCTCATAGAACACAACATAACCACGGTCGTCCACCTGAGCTACAAATACTCTCCACCATTATGTGACGGACTTAGTTACGGCGCATGGAGATAAAGCAAGATTAAGAGTTTGACGTTTATAGCCATTGTAAGGAACCGCGCTCATTTAAACTCCTGTGTCCCCAAGAAGATGAGTCCCAGGGTTTTTTTATCAGTTACATAGAGCGAAATGTCCGTTGATGAATAGGCTATTTGTAGGACATAATGTAAGAGTGGGTGAATTTGTCTGTATTTGATAAACCAGCCTATCTGGTGGATTAATCCCTCTCACAAGAATGAACTTGCAGGCGGCTAATGTTAATTTTTAAGACAATAACTTGTCTGACGATCATCAGTGTCCACGGGGTGGCAACCAATTTCACGTTTGCCGGTCCTGATTGCTCACAGAATTCTGCTGATTATCTTGCAGTGTGGTCGTGAAGATAAGAGGCTCACCATTGTGGCGCATTTTGATTGATGTTAGCCAGCTGAAAATGATTGACAGAAAGCGCAAAACCTTGATTTCGCCCCCAGTGACACTATCCAGTAAGGTTTGTTTCCAACCTCAAAGGAACCGATATTCCCTCTAAGATTCAAACCAGCGTCAAGTAGGTCACTTTTGAACTCTGGATTTTCTTATCTTTCCAGTTCAAGTAAACTGTAGTGACGGGTAACCGTGAGGATGTCCAATCGGGTTGAGAGTCACACATGCCATTAAATAGTATTGGTTTCTCCCATCAAGGTATTGTTAACATGAAGCAGTTCGTCGACCCCACAAGCGGAGCGTACACAAACAGTTTTTGAAACATGTGGTATCGTCTCAAAAGGCTCCCACGACCCCTAGTAGAATCGCAAGGGGATATGTTATCGTCATATGTGGATGAGCGCCAATACTGACTCTGGCATAGGTCCAAAGATTATAAACCTGTTGGAACTTTCAATATTTTTATTCCTTGTGTGAAAAAGATCCTCAACTTTTAAATAAAGTCCCATTTTCCCTAATAACTACTTTGTCCCTCGTATTCCCGATTGTGATTGGTTAGTACATGCTTGAACGTGGTTGACCGCCACTGAAGTTCACTTGAACCGTACTTTCTATTTCACAATGTGCTGAATGACATTTAAATGAATTCGCAAATGCCGCCCGTGAAAGTAAGCAAATTGGTTGTAATCGTCAGATATTTTTTACTACGTTTGTTGAAACTGTCAAAAAGAGAATCCTCTTCACCGCAGCACTCATGGCTAAAAATGAGAACGACCTATCTGGCTACTGTGGACTTGAAAATTAGGCGAATATATTAGCTTGGCATGACAACATCGGTTGAAAATGTAGTGGAGATCCTGTAGTAAGATCAACCATTACACTGAAGAACTTGGTGAAAGACGTAGAACTCAACAAACAGTAGATTAAAATGCATGAGTACCATCCAGTAAGGGAGGTTACTTCATTAAGTTCCATGTACCATTTTAATCCAGTGGAATTTGACCTGAGAACTGGATATATGCCTAGATAACTTTGGCGTTTAAAGTGATGACTGTCAGACAGGTACATCCACCTGACAAGTATCAAGTGGGATGAAAGGTGACTTCTGGGGTCCACTACTAGCGGCCACCAACCAAATGACAAAGGAGAAGAATAAATGAGGGCTTTACTTTTTTACAGTCATTGTTTAATCAAGGATGCACTTACGCCAAGTGTTTGATGTTCCTCGATGTCACACAAGTGGCTTCTGTGCACTATTGAGAAACTGCATGGGGCACGAATGTGCGTGTGATTGCTGAGTGCATTCGGATTTCATATTGAAGTATCACATGCTAAACAGATATGCAAATGAATGTTATGGAACAGCTTGTACTGGTCAAAAGGTTTCGGTATCCAAATTATTGAAGATGGTGTTGTATTTTGCAGCTGCAGAACAGCTATCATTGCATTTCGATTGAGCGGCTGAAAAAAATGGTGCTCACTGTGAGAATTCAAAATTTTCCACTAGATAACATGCGAAAGGTGATTATGAAGCACTTAAACAGCGTGGCACTCTTTGTTCAGGCCGTCATAACCTCAGCAAGTGCAAAGTGTTGACTTGATGGAGTAACCTGATACCCCAATCTCAATGGATCAAAACTAGGGTCCAGCCGTAGCATATCTCTTCATTCTTTATCGGAAACAGGTTAGTAAATAGCGGACGAAGCCTGACATCAGCCAATAGTAGAAAGTCAACACAAAAACAGTCTTTCTGAGAGGATAATAAACTGAATAGGTGAACTCTTCCTCAGCAAGCACTAATGCCTTGGAAACAAGTTTCACTGCAGGTTTAAGTTTGTTTAGAAATGAAAATG